CTGTGTATGCGAGTGCGGTGCATAAAGCCCACCTTGAGAATGGGTTTGCCGGCCCCTTAGTAGATGCGTGGCTTCTGGAGAGGGTGTTGAAGGGCATCCAGCGATGCCATGGTACAGCTGTTCTCACCCCTCGCCTTCCTATAACTATGCCAATCCTACGACACCTGACGGATGCACGCCGGAAAAGTAGTATCCTGAATGGCCATGACAAGCTGCTCTACCAAGCCGCCATGCTCCTTCTTTGGATTTCTTCGGTGTGCTGAATTCACTAATGGCATCACACGGGGCTGTACTAGCTCCCCTGGTGACGGACGCCTGCAACTCTTCCTGCTTTCATCCAAGACGGACCCATTCGGTAAAGGCGTTACTAGTGACATTGGCCCGTCTGTACCGCCGTACTGCCCGGTCCGTGCCATTGTTAGCTACCCATTTGTCACTCGTCGCGAGGGACCAGAGCAACTCTTGTTCGTACTCTCGAACAGACAGCAGCCGACCAGGCAGTCATTCACAGTAACAGTATGGTCTCTTGTCGCTGCGGCCGGTGTACCATCCCAGTCGAACTACTCCGGGCATTCGGTCCACATTGGTGCAGCCACCACCGCTGCTATGGCTAGTGCCCCGACTCCTTCTTCCGAGTGGTAGGTCAGTGAAAAGAGCGATGCGTGTCTATGCTACATCCGGACTACAACAAGCGCTAAGCGCCAGCTATCGTCCCGGCTTGCTGCTGTGCCATGGATGCCATGATCCCCAACTCGGGTGAGTAATGAGCTACTGAACTCTAGCTGCGCAATGCTTGCCTGTGCTGACATAATTGACCCTTGCTGTGCGTCAATAGTGCTTAGCTAACGGAGTGCTGGTTTCATGGGTCCACTCTCACAACTGGTGTTATCTAGCTATTTGCTGCGGCTCTGCCTTGCGCTATATTACATCCATTTAGCATTGCAGCTCTACGTTGAGCTAACAGCAGCTCTACTTTGAGCTAACAGCAGCTCTACTTTGAGCTAACAGCAGCTCTACTTTGAGCTAACCGCAGCTCTACTTTGAGCTAACAGCAGCTCTACTTTGAGCTAACCGCAGCTCTACTTTGAGCTAACCGCAGCTCTACTTTGAGCTAACCGCAGCTCTACTTTGAGCTAACAGCAGCTCTACTTTGAGCTAACAGCAGCTCTACCTTGAGCTAACAGCAGCTCTACTTTGAGCTAACAGCAGCTCTACTTTGAGCTAACAGCAGCTCTACTTTGAGCTAACCGCAGCTCTACTTTGAGCTAACAGCAGCTCTACTTTGAGCTAACAGCAGCTCTACTTTGAGCTAACCGCAGCTCTACTTTGAGCTAACAGCAGCTCTGCTTTGAGCTAACAGCAGCTCTGCTCTGAGCTAACAGCAGCTCTGCTCTGAGCTAACAGCAGCTCTGCTCTGAGCTAACACCAGCTCTACTTTGAGCTTCAAACCAGTTGTTTCGAAACCAGCACTCCTCAATCCAAAGATGCCTCTTTGTTGACTTGTTTTGTGTGAGGGATGGGGCTAATGGTGTACTAGCTGTGCTAGTACTTGTTAGCAACAATCCGAACTAGCGCACACACTGCACTGCATTACTTTGTACTGCATTCAAGACTGACGTCATGCGCTTTGTTTTGCTGCGTAATCACAAAAGGCACCAGCCCATTTTGCGGAAAAGAAAAACAAATCTTGCTTGCCCTGTTGTGCTCTTCCAGACAACGGATCGTGCTTCAGCAGTGTTTCTTTTCCCACCATCCCTCCCTATCCAACTTATTCACACCATCATAATTATCGTACCCACTAATCGGGTCCACTCTCACAACTGGTGTTATCTAGCTATTTGCTGCGGCTCTGCCTTGCGCTATATTACATCCATTTAGCATTTCAGCTCTACGTTGAGCTAACAGCAGCTCTACTTTGAGCTAACAGCAGCTCTACTTTGAGCTAACAGCAGCTCTACTTTGAGCTAACCGCAGCTCTACTTTGAGCTAACAGCAGCTCTACTTTGAGCTAACCGCAGCTCTCCTTTGAGCTAACCGCAGCTCTACTTTGAGCTAACCGCAGCTCTACTTTGAGCTAACAGCAGCTCTACTTTGAGCTAACAGCAGCTCTACCTTGAGCTAACAGCAGCTCTACTTTGAGCTAACAGCAGCTCTACTTTGAGCTAACAGCAGCTCTACTTTGAGCTAACCGCAGCTCTACTTTGAGCTAACAGCAGCTCTACTTTGAGCTAACAGCAGCTCTACTTTGAGCTAACCGCAGCTCTACTTTGAGCTAACAGCAGCTCTACTTTGAGCTAACAGCAGCTCTGCTCTGAGCTAACAGCAGCTCTGCTCTGAGCTAACAGCAGCTCTGCTCTGAGCTAACACCAGCTCTACTTTGAGCTTCAAACCAGTTGTTTCGAAACCAGCACTCCTCAATCCAAAGATGCCTCTTTGTTGACTTGTTTTGTGTGAGGGATGGGGCTAACCCATGTTAGGGATCATTGGGATGAGGTGTATCATGGCAACTGGTAGTCCTGCCTGCAGACACGCTGCCACTGCATCGGTTCTGTGAATAATCTTTTCACCTGAAAGTGAAACAGCAGATATTAGGCTGATCCCTTCCATTTGCGGTGAGCGTGAAAAAAATGCGGCCGGATTATTTTGCTGCTCTACTTCCTTTACTTTCATAACTGTTAGTCTTCTTCTCCTTTTGGTGTGGCATAGACAACTGGGTGGCAACATTGACAAGAATCGTGACTCTTCTTTGTTGATAGCACTGGACTAAGTCACTGCTGTCTTGGGAGCACAGCTGTCCACATCTAACTGGACGTGTTTCATCAGGAAACTCAGACACGCGCTGCTTCAGAGTGCTCATAACGACTTGGTGCGGCTGAATCCATGAGTAATTCTAGTTCTTTTCGAGCTAGTTCGGCTGGACTCCGCTAAGGCAGTTCCTCGGCACAACATGTATCTCTTTCTGCTTGCAGCTGCTCTTTCAGCCTGTTCCAAATTTATGAAAGGATCGGCGTCTACTTCAGTACCGCTACTAGCCTAGTGATGCTATCTTCAGAGCTGGCTGAGGCACAACGAGAAACTTCTCTTCAACTTTTCGATATTCACTTCGCCCCATGACTCTCTATCACGGTTTTCGACAAAACAGTTTCCTCCTTGCAAATCCGTGTTGCGAATTTTTGCAACAACTTTGGTTTTGCGCACGTAGATAGTCATTGACCTAACTACATACATGATGTAGTCATTGCTACATCAAGTGCTAAAAAGTGTTACAAGTAGATCTACATGTATACACAAAGCGATCCACGATCCAGTAACCTGGTAACACGAGGAGGGTTGCACGTACAGTAAAACCTGTAATGGCGACCACTCGGATATGGCGACCACTCGACCATGGCGACCACATTTCCTTGTCACGGACACATTCACATTCAAAACAGCTCAGATGAGGCGACCACTCGCTCAACGCGACCGGTGACCACCCACCCGCGACCGCGTTGCACAGTGCTAGTGCATGTAACTGTATGCATTGCATGGTGCACCATGCATGGTAGATCTACACATCAGTGCAGGAAGTGTAGATGTGCATGTAATGGTGCATGCACGACACTTGACACTGGGTCTGAGGACCCCAGGCACATGAGTCGTGCTAGAGTAGCATAGGTGTGTGCACTGTGATACACTGATCAAAATGATGTATCACATGTGGATATGGTCACGTGACCCACTGAACCTGGATAAGAAGACCACCTGGCCACGGCGACCACTTTTTCTCGTCCCTTGAGGGGTCACCTTAGACAGGTTTCACTGTACCTCATGAGTGTAGCCGATTGTTGCCAAAAAGCTGGGATTTCCCGATATTCATGATCCACTATGAAAGTCCAAATATAAAAATGGCGCTCAAATCTCACAAAAAAATGCTCGTTTTCTTTCTTTCTAATGGAGTAATGCTCCATAATGCTCTGATGCTCGGAAAGTCCCATAATGCCGAATATAATGCCGGCATTATCCGCTGGACCCTACCGACCGTACAGAATCCAACGTCACGCACTCTCGCAGAAGTACATCCGCAATGGCTGCCTTGTAAACTACCAGCACACGTAGGTACCGATTTTCCCGAATATAAGTCGACCTTCTGTGCGCCAGAAATTTCTCCAAAAGCTGGGGGTCGACTTACAAACGGAACTCGACTTACATACGGGAATCTGGCACAACAAATGAAGTGACTGGAGTGTCCGTACGATTTGGGGTGGTCAACTAATATCTAAGTCGACTTATATTCGGGAAAATACGATAGGCATGATATTCCATGCTCCACTTAGTGGTTGCCACGGTATTTCATAATGCGCCTTACCACCTCAAGCATCAGTGTGGCCGCCGGACTCCTTCATTAGCCGCTTGGCAATAGTTTAGGATCATGTTTTAGGTGAATGTTAGAACACAGGCCGTGCAACATGTCTGTGTATGTGTGTATGATGGTCTAACAGGTATGTTTAGGTTCTACGGGTAGGTTCCGATGGGACACGTGCCGCAATGCAATCAGCGTACACATTAACAGACTGCCAAGAATGTGCTTCGGGCTATGCTCTTAAACGCTTCAAATCTTCATCCAGAACTCAATCCGATAGATAGGCACCTGTGTGCCCCTAGCTCGAGTGATTATCAAGAATCTTTGCTATGGGTGAATTATTGGGAGGCCAGATTCAAGTCCCGGTGCCAACAATTTTTAGCGAGGACTAGCTCAGCTCCATGATCAGCGACTAGTAAATCAGGGTTCAGTCAACTTTCAATAGTTACAACTGAATGCTCGTGGGCACATGCTCTCACAAGCCGAAGAGGAGATGACAAACACATCATAATACTAAGTAATAATAATACTACTTGAAGTAATAATAATACTACTTGAAGTAATAATAATACTACTTGAAGTAATAATAATACTACTTGAAGTAATAATAATACTACTTGAAGTAATTACGATCATGTGCAGTAAAAGAAAATCTCACCGCTCAAGTCTTTCCGTCTTGCGGCATGGAGAATCCGCGTGTAAGCCCAGAAGGAAACGGTGTCCGTGCTCAGGTCGACAAGTGCCTGGATGTGCATTTCATGAGCAAATGTAAACCAGTTCAGCAGCTGATTATACGGAATACTTAAAATATACACAAGTAAACACAATGGATTAATTAAAGGCACACACTGCGGAGTTGTAATTGAAGGCAAGCCAACATGCTGCCGGTTACTGTTTGCCTTCAGTTCATTCATGGGAAACTGGCACCCTAGTTTTCTAATTACATCTTAGTAGATTTTTAGGAAATTAGAGGCCACATGCCACGTACTGCTCTTTTCTCTCCGAAACTCAACACTTGCAAGCCAGATACGAAAGAAAGAAAAAATCATCAGTCACACCACCAGGACTCGAACCAGGGACCTTGCTATTCGCGAGCAATGCTCTAACCAACTGAGCTACAGTATGACTCTTATCCATGATATCAAGCGAATGGCCGAGGGCCCTCTTGATTGGTGTGAGTTGCCAGTATGATGCAAGCCAGATATGGATTGATCGGAGAAGGATAGATTTACCATCACCGTGGATAAGAGTCATACTGTAGCTCAGTTGGTTAGAGCATTGCTCGCGAATAGCAAGGTCCCTGGTTCGAGTCCCGGTGGTGTGACTGATGATTTTTTCTTTCTTTCATATCTGGCTTGCAAGTGTTGAGTTTCGGAGAGGAAAGAGCAGTACGTGGCATGTGGCCTCCAATTTCCTAAAACTTTGAAATTCTCCGTGAAGTCCTAATTTGAAATTGCAATCTTAGTAGATGCAATAAAATAGTCACTGCTTTCTCTACACAGCTCAGGCCCCATTGAATGACACGTGCGACTGACCCTATTAATTAATTTTCCCGATGGAACAATTCCAGAACTGAATCATCTAGTCCCTGGGCTGCCCCTATTGTTCTTGTAAAGAAGCCGAATGACTCATTTCGTCTATGTATTGACTACAGGAAACTCAATAGTGTCACCGTTCCCGATGCTTATCCACTACCCAATCATAACTGAAACTCTTGATTCTCTTGCCGGGTGTTCCCTGTTCAGCACGTTGGATCTGGCGACCGGCTACTGGCAACTTGCCATGGACCCAACCGATAAGTCCAAGACTGCCTTAACCACTCCTTTGGGTCTGTATGAATTTAATGTACTGCCTATGGGGTGTTGTAATGGTCCTGCCACCTTCCAACAGGTCATGGATAAGTTGTTTGGTGACTTGACACATGCTTCCGATGGTCCTGTCACACGTGTCTTCTTTGACGATATGCGCTGTCGCGTCGTCTTCTGTGTCCTCGTCTTTGTCACCACACTGCGCAGAAACAAAACTTTGCCGGATATGCTGCACACGGCACCAAAACGCTGAAGCTGCCATCCTTGGCTGCATGGACCCTCATGAGCGGTTGGGCAACACATACCTGCAGAGCCAGGAAGGTGTAGTGGTCCACCTTAGCACTGTTGTCTGCAAAGTGAGACATGCGGGTTTGATGCTCCGGGTAGAAGTTAGCGATAATGCTCTCCACAGGGACACGTTCAATCTCGCCAAACAAGACGCTCCAAGTCCTGAACGCCGCATAGTCTTCAAAGAACCGTCGAGAATCTGGACCTTGACCCAGAACAAGAATAGACCAGAGTCACGGGAAAGCGATCAAGGAAAGACCAAATCTAAACTCGGCTAAAACAAGGTGGATTGGGAAAGTGCTCAGCATGTGAAGACAAAACATAAACTCATCCTAAAACGAGTAGAAGGAGGACAGTGACCCTGGGAAGACCCAATCTAAACACAATTGAAAGGAGTTAGATTAGGAAAGTGCTCATGGGAAGATCCAGTCTGAACGGCAGCAGCAGCAATGCACCAACAATAACCCGTGACTGGAAATAGAAAGTGATTGCATCCAAGGATTACAGCCCCGTTGTACCTTAGTATTTTATTATTATACGCACGTCCGCGTTTACGTCAACAGTAAGTCCACGTATTCGCATGTGCCTTAGTAGACCTGTGATATTCTGTATTCAAATGTTAATTTTAAAATAATGCTGCCACCTCTCCAGTTATATGAAACATGACTATTCGCAGGCAAAGCCAGGCCAGGCAAAGCCAGGCCAGGCAAAGCCAGGCCAGGCAAACTGGGCAGATGTCATAAGTAAGGTGATACCGGTAGTACATTGCACGTTTTCAGATATTCAGATTCACACACACCTCAGACCTCAGACCTGCCCATCGCAGAAGCAATGATAGCGAACAGCTATGTTAGACATAGCAACTAGTGCTGGGATTACACCATTCAACAGCTTGCAAGGCTTATGAATTAACCGCCACTAATTTTAGCCTGGTATCCACCACACAGCTGATTGAAGTGGCTTTTTCTGGCCAGTGAATCCCTATTTTTCATTTTATTCAAACACACACACACACACACACACACACACACACACATACACACACACACACACACAAACACATACACACACAGACGTGCGCACTCATGTACATGCACCCCCCTCCCTCCCCCTCCCCCCCCCCCCCCCACACACACATGAACTGAGAGGCTAGCTGCCCTTGACCGACCATCAGTCTCATTTCTATATAAAAAATTACTTACCTCCAACGCCTGCAAACTTGTTTTGGTATTTGGATGCGAAAGAGTCCATCATGTACTGCTCATTGAGGAGGAAGGTCTTTACGATTGCATCTGCAAGAAACACGACCATGGAAACAAACGACAGCCTAATTCACTGCTTTCGCAGTCGCCTCATTCAGTCCTGGGCAAACAGATTGCGTGACTTTATGTGAGTGGCTGACTTACATATACTCCAGTCCCATAGACAGATACAGACTCTCCAGTCCCATAGACAGATGCAGACTCTCCAGTCCCATAGACAGATGCAGACTCTCCAGTCCCATAGGCTCCAGTCCCATAGACAGATGCAGACTCTCCAGTCCCATAGACAGATGCAGACTCTCCAGTCCCATAGACAGATGCAGACTCTCCAGTCCCATAGACAGATGCACACTCTCCAGTCCCATAGACAGATGCAGACTCTCCAGTCCCATAGACAGATGCAGACTCTCCAGTCCCATAGACAGATACAGACTCTCCAGTCCCATAGACAGATGCACACTCTCCAGTCCCATAGACAGATGCAGACTCTCCAGTCCCATAGACAGATGCAGACTCTCCAGTCCCATAGGCTCCAGTCCCATAGACAGATGCAGACTCTCCAGTCCCATAGACAGATGCAGACTCTCCAGTCCCATAGACAGATGCAGACTCTCCAGTCCCATAGACAGATGCAGACTCTCCAGTCCCATAGAGAGATGCAGACTCTCCAGTCCCATAGACCGATGCAGACTCTCCAGTCCCATAGACAGATACAGACTCTCCAGTCCCATAGACAGATGCAGACCCTCCAGTCCCATAGACAGATGCACACTCTCCAGTCCCATAGACAGATGCAGACTCTCCAGTCCCATAGACAGATGCAGACTCTCCAGTCCCATAGACAGATGCAGACTCTCCAGTCCCATAGACAGATGCAGACTCTCCAGTCCCATAGACAGATGCAGACTCTCCAGTCCCATAGACAGATGCAGACTCTCCAGTCCCATAGACAGATGCAGACTCTCCAGTCCCATAGGCTCCAGTCCCATAGACAGATGCAGACTCTCCAGTCCCATAGACAGATGCAGACTCTCCAGTCCCATAGACAGATGCAGACTCTCCAGTCCCATAGATAGATGCAGACTCTCCAGTCCCATAGAGAGATGCAGACTCTCCAGTCCCATAGACCGATGCAGACTCTCCAGTCCCATAGACAGATACAGACTCTCCAGTCCCATAGACAGATGCAGACCCTCCAGTCCCATAGACAGATGCACACTCTCCAGTCCCATAGACAGATGCAGACTCTCCAGTCCCATAGACAGATGCAGACTCTCCAGTCCCATAGACAGATGCACACTCTCCAGTCCCATAGACAGATGCACACTCTCCAGTCCCATAGACAGATGCAGACTCTCCAGTCCCATAGACAGATGCAGACTCTCCAGTCCCATAGACAGATGCACACTCTCCAGTCCCATAGACAGATGCAGACTCTCCAGTCCCATAGGCTCCAGTCCCATAGACAGATGCAGACTCTCCAGTCCCATAGACAGATGCAGACTCTCCAGTCCCATAGACAGATGCAGACTCTCCAGTCCCATAGACAGATGCAGACTCTCCAGTCCCATAGACAGATGCAGACTCTCCAGTCCCATAGACAGATGCAGACTCTCCAGTCCCATAGACAGATGCACACTCTCCAGTCCCATAGACAGATGCAGACTCTCCAGTCCCATAGACAGATGCAGACTCTCCAGTCCCATAGACAGATACAGACTCTCCAGTCCCATAGACAGATGCACACTCTCCAGTCCCATAGACAGATGCAGACTCTCCAGTCCCATAGACAGATGCAGACTCTCCAGTCCCATAGACAGATGCACACTCTCCAGTCCCATAGGCTCCAGTCCCATAGACAGATGCAGACTCTCCAGTCCCATAGACAGATGCACACTCTCCAGTCCCATAGACAGATGCAGACCCTCCAGTCCCATAGACAGATGCACACTCTCCAGTCCCATAGACAGATGCAGACTCTCCAGTCCCATAGACAGATGCAGACTCTCCAGTCCCATAGACAGATGCACACTCTCCAGTCCCATAGACAGATGCAGACTCTCCAGTCCCATAGACAGATGCAGACTCTCCAGTCCCATACACAGATACAGACTCTCCAGTCCCATAGACAGATGCACACTCTCCAGTCCCATAGACAGATGCAGACTCTCCAGTCCCATAGACAGATGCAGACTCTCCAGTCCCATAGACAGATGCACACTCTCCAGTCCCATAGGCTCCAGTCCCATAGACAGATGCACACTCTCCAGTCCCATAGACAGATGCACACTCTCCAGTCCCATAGACAGATGCACACTCTCCAGTCCCATAGACAGATGCACACTCTCCAGTCCCATAGACAGATGCACACTCTCCAGTCCCATAGACAGATGCACACTCTCCAGTCCCATAGACAGATGCACACTCTCCAGTCCCATAGACAGATGCACACTCTCCAGTCCCATAGACAGATGCAGACTCTTCCTATACTCTAAGTCAACAAATATTCGGCGCATATTTATTTTCGGCTATTTTCGGTCGGGTCATATTTGGCCGGAAATGTGTTGCGGCCGGAATTTAGTTTTGCAAGGTTCAGTGTGACAGTGTATACCGGCGGCAACAGTACAGGCCAAAAACTGGATGCGGCCGAAATGGGGTTAAGCCCCGCGTGGCCGAAATTTGAATGGGCCGAAATTTTGTACACTTACAGTATACACATTACAGGTACAAACTTTGCACATTCTGAGAAGCGAGTAGCTGATGGTGAGTCCTGCGTGAGTTAATTAAAAGCGGCATGACTGGCGCATGATTGAGTGCATTGTTGAGGACAGTGTCCACACTCTCAGAACACGTGTACAAGTAAGCCTTGCGACAGGAGGCAGTGCAGACAATGAAGTTGGAAACAACAACACACCCTTTCATTTTTTTGCAGACCTTACTCAGACCGCCGACAGGGTACATCTCGATCTGGGTGTTCGTCCGGCAGACAGAAAGCATTTGGGGTGGAATCGCGATTGCAAGCTCCAGCACCTCGTGATGTGGCCCATGTCTGAAGATAAACCTGCCAGACTTGTAGCACCAGGAGCAGTATGTACTCTGTTCTGGTGCACAAACAAGACACTAAGCTCACGAAAGAACCACAAACAAGAACAGACATGCACGCACGCACACACACGAACGCACGCACACACACAAACGCACGCACGCACGCACACACACACACACACACACACATACACACACACACACACACGAACACACACACACTTGTACTTGTACTTGCTCACTGCCAAAACTGGTCACGTGGGTCTCCCCGGGAGAGGGGAGTGAGTCTCAAAAGGAATCTTGGAAAGATGACTCAATTGGCTATTGAACCGCCCAATGGCCGACACCCCCTGAAATCCCCAAACTATGGGTGGACTTGGAAATGATCCCACTTACTGTAAGTCAACAAATATCTGGCGCATATTTATTTTCCGCTATTTTCGGTCTGGTCATATCTGGCCGAAAATTTGTTGCAGCCGAAATTTTGTTTTGCAAGGTTCAGTGTGACAGTGTATACAGGCAGCAGCAGTGCGGGCCGCAAATCTGTTGCAGTCGAAATGTGTTTTAGCCCTGGGTGGCCGAAATTTGAATGGGCCGAAAATTTGTCGACTTACAGTATGGACTCACCACACCTCAGTAAGTGGGTGAGGACAAGGTGCAGAAAAAGGGTTGACGGCATCAGGGTGTTCGTCTCCGGATCCGACTGCAGTTACCCCTGCCCCCAGTGAAGGTAATACTTGCTACTAGTATGGGTGGCTAAGTCAGAGTGGATCTGATATAAGCTTCACTAGCACCATTAATTACACAAGAGTTAATCTAGCCAGAAGCAGTACGTGGTTAACAGGTATGCGTCTTTCAAATAGCCTAAAAGTATATGAACCCTGAAACCAACAAAGGTGGCAGATACATAATTGAACATTACACCTTCAAGCAGCCGAGCCTGTTGGCAACACACCCAACACAATCTGGCATAAGTGTACCCACCAACCGAACTAGCTGGCATATGCAATCACACGCACGCGCCAGCCCGCCCGCCCGCCCGCTCGCCCGCGTACGCACGCACAAGGCACAAAACTGACAAGGATATTGAGACATTCAACACCCTAACACCTAGCTCCAGGACATCTACGAAGCGCAAACCAACCGTTGAACCCTCCAACTTGGAAGGCTCGGGTACGGACAATTCCAACGGACGGGATTGGTCCTTGAACTTTACTTTTAAAAATACTATTGGCTCGACATCCAAGTTTTCAGTGTTAACCCTTTTTTATTTATTTTTATTCATTTATTTATTCGACATCTTCTGGCTCATCGTAAGACTGCCAATATTTATGAGAAGTCGGGTGATAGCCAACCACGGCGAACTAAATAATAAGGAGAGAAACAAAAGGGAGTACTGCAAGGAGATGCATGACGAAAATGGTGGGATTATTTAGGACGAAGAAGCTGAAGATTTAACTCCTTAATGTCTGTGCATGCGTTAAGGCTAGTTGGCAGGGCAGACCAGTGAGTGTACGCGGAGATTTCAGAAACACGGAGGTGTTGGCACAGGGTAATGAGAAGGAACTACGAGTTGATCTGGTGGACACAAACCATAACTGGGTCTTTAATAATTTAAGAACGGGGCGGGGTTGAACCTGAAATTTGCTGCTGAGGGCTAATCCCCAGAGCATGAAAATCAACAACTAACCCCTACCGTACTACTCTGATCATGACGCTACGCATTTATTTTATTTAAAAGTGGCATTTGCAGTGAATATAGACCGTGATCGAGTGTTTGAATTGACCGTGTGAAAGAAGTACAGTAAGATTTGCACGAGGGCAGGAAACTCTGATTGTAACAACACTGCATCATTCTAGAACATGATGCTGACAAGAAAGCCTGAGAGTGCTCGACCAAGCCCGGCGAGGCAAGGGACGACCAAGCCCGGCGAGGCAAGGGACGCGGCGTAATACAGTGTACAGTAATAGTTCATCTCTGTGGCGAGCGGCTTCACTTGCACCCTGGACTCCACGCTGAGAGTCAACCTAGCCAAAACTAACCTGTCGGCGGTGTGCATGTCGAGTAGCAAGTTATACGCGGAATTCAAGTTTCAGTGCTGTTCAGTGATCGCCGTTACACCCGGCCTACAACATGCATTTCTAGATCATCTGATGAACCTCGCATTTCCCACTTAGTCTCTGTTACACAGCAGTATGGTCACGATTATCATCTACCAAGCTTGAATGCCCTCGAATCATAGCGGCAACACTGAGATGGTACGCTTTCCAACGGCCAAAGAGAGTTGGAAAGCTTGTGTCTTTGTAGGTAACTTGAACATTTGGGGCTCATGTAAAATCGCACTGATTTTGGGATTTCCCTGCAACTTTTAGCTTCAGCAAAAACGTTGTGCTTGACCGCATTCCTGTCACTTCGCAGTGGCTTTTCGTTGGTGCAGTTTGTATCCCACCCTCCCACACCTGACTTCTGGGTGTGTGTTTATCGATATACAGTAAAACCTGTAACTAACGACCACCGTGACTAGCGACCGGCCTGGTACTACCGACCACTTCGTCAGGCACGGACGGTCTCACATTCAAAATGCACTCTGACTAGCGACTACCTGCTGAACGCGACCAGCGACCGCCTATTCTTGTCCCAATGTCGAATTTTGACCCATAACTAGCGACCGCGATGTAGGAAATCAAACATTGCTCGAAGCTCCTTCTCGAAATGTTGATGATTTTCCATGGTCCTGAAAGGACTGTTTCGATACTACAGCTGGACAAATGAACGCAGTCTCATTTTGACTGTGGAATCAGTGTGGACTGCACTACAGCTGTCATAACTGTCAAGAACAAACATGATAGGAAACGTCTTGGAGAGCGCATCCAAAGCGCTCTTTGATCGATGTTACTACTCGAAGGAGAAACTGAGCGGCTCTCTGTCGAAGTGCAATCACACAGCTCAGTCACCAGGTCACACTGACAGTCTGTGCTGGCTAGCTAGCATGCTACGGTATCATGTACTCACCTGTACGGAACACAGGCCAGGATACGATGGCGCATACTATAGTCTACAGTGAAGGTGCGAAAACTCGCAACATCGCCGCATCACGTACATGTACATGTAGATCGAGTACTGGTACACACCAGCGCAAAGAGAAGCTTCAACAGGGAACTCTTGACTCCTACTCCTAGCTTCAGAAGTAGGAGCTGAATTTAATGTCTCCAATAGAACTTGATTTTCTCTCTCTCCAAGTGTTGTATGATCTCAAAGAAGAATGTCAGTGCGCAAGTGGTGGGGGATTGTATTATCTGCATTTTGACATACATAATTATCATATAATGGGATCCATATATGGTCACGCGGTGCAAACCTCTAACTAAAGACCACCTGCCACTAAAGACCACTTTTCCGGGCACCAAGGGGTGGTCGTTAGTTACAGGTTTTACTGTAATCTTATTGGCTTTCTTATTGGCCATGTGGCTGTGGCAGTTACGACTGCTTTTCTTTTTTAGTTAAAAACCGTAGGGGTGGTGTGTGCGTCGCGGGCCTTTGTATGGTTACGTACAGCTTCAGATTGTATGGATAGTGCCAGAGGAGTTCAATTGAATCTGCATGGGAAGAATACTGCTGTATTGTGATTGAACTGAAGCTGGATGATGAAGCTGGATGACACACTCACCGTGTGGTGAGTGTGTGGGTTTTTTTTTCAAGATACCGTCCTGGGGCAGGGATGTAGGTCCTTTAGCTTGGACGGGTGTTGTTACATTCATTGTAACATCTTGTCGTTTTCTGTGTGCTTTGCTGTGCGACTAGCAGCAGTATCTTGTGCTTATTTTTCTTATCTCTATGCATACAATTATTTATAAAAAAATAAAATAAAAATCAGCAAGAGGATATATCAATAAATAAAGCCATTGCCGAGCCACCGTGCTCACAGCAGAGACTTCTGTGTGTGTTATTGTCGTGAAAGTGGACCACAAAGACAGTCAATTTCTTGTAGCCAGCCACACAGCAGTAATGGCGGTGAGCAATCGCATCCTCAGGTCATACACTGAGTAAGTTGAACTCAAAACAGTTTACCTTCTTCTTCTTTTCCTTTTTTATTTTATTTTTTACATATGATGCGCAAGTACTAGTGAGCGAAACCTCGCTGGGCAAATAACGTTTCATGCAGAACGAACTGGCGAGGCCTCAGGCTGTGGGCCTCGGGTACCTCTCGACACTGGATCTTAGCTGGCGAGGCCAGCTCGGTGCTTGACATGTTTAAAACGCACGAGGAGTTTCTAATGTGTTTGTATACATGAACTAAAATGCCCAAGATCTCAATTCCAGTCCAGGCTGGAATTTCATAATGTCATAATAATAATATTGTATTGTAAGCACCCCATTTACAGTAAACTAGCCTCACACGGAAACTTCTTTCCATCCCATTGGGCAACAAATTCAAGGTTTTGACCTCCTATCGTGGTCGCATCATAGTACACTTTGCCAATAGAGGAAAAAAATAGAACTACTACTTGGTCCGCGTCAGCGATATTGTCGCTTATCTTTCAGCTTTGTTTATATGTCGCCAAAGTTCACTTGGCATCCCATTTCATCCCAATTTTGGTTAGTAAGTTAGTTTACTAGTACCTGAAAGGTCTAGTGTTGTAAAATGATGTGTTGTTTTCCTGTGTGATGGCATTCCCCAAACTGTCTCGTCTAGTCGCGTGCATGTGTGATATGAGCATGCGCGATTTTGTAGTCGAGAGTCCTTTTGTCAGTCTTCTTGTTAGTCCCTTTGAGTGTTGTCTCCATTTCCGTAATGTCAATAATAATTATGTAAACCAAACTAGTCTTGTCCTTTGTGTCCTGCGTCCCGGGGAACGGAATGGCTGTGATTCCGTTACAACGTGGTGCCGAAACCCGGGACGCAGAGGATGAGTAAGTTTGTCATGAGTCTGTTCGTCGTCGTCAACAACTAATACAAGTAATAGTACAACTAGAGAGTAAGCGTGGGGATGGAGGAGAGACGAGGAGCTGGTGGAAGCGGAAGAAGACGCGGAGAGGAGGCAGAGAAGGTGGTGGACCGGCAGAAGCTGGGGACTGGAGCCTGGGACGGCAGATACCGCATGGAGCGTGTGGCCGTGGCTCGCCAGAGGCCAGTGGATGAGTCTGGCATCACCGACTGTGTGTCGTCCTTTGTTGTTCGTCTTGTTGTTGTTTTGCTCGCTGTGTTGTTGAGTTTGGTTGTCGGTATGTTGCTCTTCTCGTCGTTCTGTTGTTCTGCATTAATTTGTGTTGTAGATTTATTTTGCGCTGCTGCGCGCATATTGTTATTATTTTGTTGGAGCTTTGGCTCTCGTGTTTCGGTTATCCTTGTGTGCCTGAGTTTAGAGCGTCGGCTCTTGTGTCTTGGTTTGGCCCTGTGTCGTGGCCCAGTTTTGTTGTGCTACAATGTAAGCTGTTGGTTGGTTTTTCTGTTTTGCTGTGGTTCCTTTTGCTGTTGTGCATGTGGAACGTGGTGTCGGTTTATTATTTTGTGGAATGTCATCAAGGGGGCAGGTGTTGTAAAATGATGTGTTGTTTTCCTGTGTGATGGCATTCCCCAAACTGTCTCGTCTAGTCGCGTGCATGTGTGATATGAGCATGCGCGATTTTGTAGTCGAGAGTCCTTTTGTCAGTCTTCTTGTTAGTCCCTTTGAGTGTTGTCTCCATTTCCGTAATGTCAATAATAATTATGTAAACCAAACTAGTCTTGTCCTTTGTGTCCTGCGTCCCGGGGAACGGAATGGCTGTGATTCCGTTACACTAGCTACAGTTCGAGTGGATTTCGAGAGCGACGGGTGTGTGATTCTGATTGATACAGCGCCGCATCAAAATAGATTATCTTGTTACGCTGTGCAGGCAAGAGCAGCGCAAGCCACAAGAAAGTAATAGGCTACTCGGAATCAGCTCTATTTTGCTGAACGGCCGAGACCGCTCACCTCAGGGATCGCTCGTCAAGCTGAGATCTCAGCTCCCTTACCTCCAACTCAACGCTCGGAGTATCCAGCGCATCGTGGAGATTTGCAAGTACTGTACGCGTCGTCGTCGTCGTCGTTCAAAATAAAATCTTGCAAAGAACGGCGTCTGATTTGAACCACACAGGCTGTCGTACTGCCCACGCGAAGTCCTATAGAGAAGGCGACCATCACGATCGACTTCTGTTAAGATAATAGCCAGGCAGCGGAGAGGTAGAGAGATGAGCTTGCAAAAGCAAGATAGTCGATCCCGAGCAAAAATATTTGTCGCCAGCGTCGAGAGCAGCGACGAGGAGGACCGAAAAAAATAGGAACCCTTCCTTGGACAATAAATTCCTTACAGCTAGTTGTCATTCTATACCTTACCGTCCATCGTACCAAGTTTTATCAGTTCAAGTGCACGCGTTCATGTCCAAAGTCTAAGTTCAAATTTTCGAAAGATAAGCGACAATATTGCTGACGCGGACCAAGTAGCATATTAAAGGGGTCTTCCACAAAATATCAATATTTTTTAGAGAAGATATTGGTTCGTTTGGGGGCGGGGGGGGGGGGAGGGGCCTTGGTCTGTGTTAGTCTCGTCTTTGCCAAGAAATATCAATGACTAAATGTGGATGGGCAATGCGGACAGGCACTCTGCAAACATAATGCATGTAGCTGATGACTTACAAAAAGTGAAAGTCAGCCGTGTGAATATAGCCCGGCACATCAAGGTTTTGCGACCGTCCCAAAGAAAACCTAGGTGTGGCGTGAGTTCGGAGTTGCTGTTGGTCACGTTTCATGAGGGGATCGCAATTCATTAAAAAAATTAATATCGTTCCCCTGCACAAACATGTGTATGTTCGTTTTGAGGGGGGGGGAACAAATAACGTCTTGAAAGATTATCGGTATTTACGGATGGCCCCTAATCGATACATGCGTCTCTGGAGCGGATACAAATGGTGTCCTGGTGGTGAGTCAGCAAACTGCTTATGGGCGCTTTGTATACAGTTTGAGTGGGCGGAACCGCTAATGGGCTCTATGCATACGACTTGAGTCGGCGGGTTCCATGGCTTCTCTTGAGCAAGTGCATCACGCCACCGTGTCGTAGCGGCTTTGCGAAAGCATCTCAACTCATGATGCAATCGCCAAAGCAAACAGATGATGTAATCGCCAAAGAATCTCAACCGATGATGTAATCGCCAAAGCATCTCAACTGATGATGTAATCGCATAACCTCTATACGATGCTGCGCTGACCGTAAGCCAATACAATGTCATGTACTGTAATCATTCACCCCTGTCTGCAACCTAGTCTGCACTGGGAATTTCCCCGGCAAAGGTGTGTACAATGCACAAACATGTGCCTACATGCACATACACACACACACACACACACACACGCACGCGCGCGCGCACGCACGCACGCACACACACACACAGACACAGACACGGCACATGCACACAGAGGCTCCAGGAACATCTCATACAGTTCGGTCCGTGAAGGCCGGGAAGCATGAGTACTTGTGCGCTTCAAAAGCACTCATCAGCATTGTTCGCCTGCTCACCTTATACATGACACCACGGATATGACAGTTGTAACATGAGCTACACTTGGAGCCGACGTGAATAGCTTCGAACGCTGCAGGGTTGCACAAAATTCAACGCACAAGACACAATCATTAGTTTCCTATAGAGATTACGCGACTGCATCATCAGTTGAGATTCTTTTTGTTCAAGTCGTGGACTCGTAGCACAGCACTGCACTTGCACTAGCAACTCATGGTGACGGGTGTATACATGTGTCGTCTTGGTTGAAGGACGAACTACTTCCACCCTCTCGTCACGCCACACAAACAAAAGGACTAGGAAGCTAGTTGTTCTCGTTACCGAGAGAGAGAGAGAGAGAGAGAGAGAGAGAGAGAGAGAGAGAGAGAGAGAGAGAGAGAGAGAGAGAGAGAGAGAGAGAGAGAGAGAGAGAGAGAGAGAGAGAGAGAGAGAGAGAGAGAGAGAGAGAGAGAGAGAGAGAGAGAGAGAGAGAGAGAGAGAGAGAGAGAGAGAGAGAGAGAGAGAGAGAGAGAGAGAGAGAGAGAGAGAGAGAGAGAGAGAGAGAGAGAGAGAGAGAGAGAGAGAGAGAGAGAGAGAGAGAGAGAGAGAGAGAGAGAGAGAGAGAGAGAGAGAGAGAGAGAGAGAGACAGAGAGAGAGACAGAGAGAGAGACAGAGAGAGAGACAGAGAGAGAGACAGAGAGAGAGAGAGAGAGAGAGAGAGAGAGAGAGAGAGAGAGAGAGAGAGAGAGAGAGAGAGAGAGAGAGAAAGAGAGAGAGAGAGAGAGAGCTTTTCTATAACACACTTCACGAGCCGACGAGAGAACTGAACTCCCACAAGACAAGACAAGGGAAAATATTGTGGGACGTGGAAAAAGTGGGGAGACAACGGGACGGGAGACAAAGACGGCAGACGATCAAGTACGACGGACACAAGACGGCAACTGGACAAATACAACGGAGACAAGACGATGAAATGCGTATACAACGGGGACAAGACGAGAAAGAGTGCATACGGAGGGGACAGAAGACGGTGCAGCTGCATGTACTAAGCATTCCAAGACAGCGCAGCAGCGTGTACCATGGGTCAGCAGCATGTACGACACAGAGACACAAACGCAGCAGAAGGTACGACAAAGAGACACAAGCGCAGCAGCATGTACGACAAAGAGCTACAAGCGCAACCTCATGTACGACACATGTACACAGCATGCTCAGCACCCATTAGAAACCCCACTGACATCCTTGCATCAGTGTTGTGAGCACTTCCCAGTCCCTTGCGCAGTGGCAACTACCATAATATATGAGGGGAACTCCTCATAGATTTCAACTTTGCGCATTCGACTAAATTTCTCTATTAAAAGCACACATCTATTAAATTTTTGCCAACCACCCTCCGACCGTTGCTTTTATTGGAGACTGTGATTTTATCATTTCAAGCCCACTTTTCCGTGCTCTTGCTTGTTTTTTGATTGCTCTATTTCTTCATATTTCCAACTGATACCAATGTCCATACCAGAAAGTAACGATGCAAAAAAAATGGTACTGGCACAGAATGAATATTTCGCACACTTCGAAGTACCAGTAAGCAACATAAAAAAGGATGCCGGGACGCACATCAAAAGCCCAACCGGGACGGAACCTGTTACCTTGTAAAAAAGACTCCTGGCGCATTCGGACAAAGTTGCAGGTGCCTTTATTGGAATACTGTCGCCTGAATGTGCTCGATGCATACGTGCAGTGTGCCTTTATTGGAGACTGTGCTTGTATTATGCGAGAAAATACAGTACGCAAGTCTATGAAGAATTTCACAAAATTTTGGTTGTCCAATTATCCAGGCACTCAGTTGCAACTGAACTGCTTTTTCAAATCAGATTTAAGGAGGCTCCAACCTTCTGTGCAGCGCAGAGGATGTCACGATCTGTTCTTTCGCCGGCGAAAGTTTTATTTTGCTGGTACATGTAAGTGAGAAAAATGGGGAAATTCCCATCTCCAGCAACTAAAATTTGAACAATCGCGATCAACGGTCAGAGGATAATGTTTCATTGTTCACCCGTAGTCTTCCCATCGAGTTTCCTATAGTTCTCTCTACCATCCATATTTTCAGTCGGTATACCGGGCATGGTGTCAAAGTATCCGCGGATGGCAATTTGTTAACAAGAAGTTTACTTTACAGGTTGATTTCTCTAGATCCTGAATATTTTGCTTGAGGAGAAAATCAGCAGGAAGAACAGAGCCGAACGCCTTGATGGTTGTGGAACATCAGGACACCAAAACTTACTAGCAGCGCATTTTGAGAGACTCTGCATCCGTTATGACAAGGACGACGAAGACAGCCACAACAAGCAACAATAAGTAACAACGACGATGGCAATAATGTCAACAAGAGCAACAGCAACAGCAACAGTATCAGCAACAGCATCCTAACAGCAACAAGAGCAGCAACAAAAACAACAAATCAAGGCCAAAGTGCACACACACACACACCTAGAAACCTTCCTCGTCGCACAGTTCTGTTCCTTTGCCTGTCTTCCTTTGAAATCGGTTCAGAATGCTTGCCGAAGCACTGAAGAGAACAAGAGCACGTAGATAATTCTGAATGCAACATTTATGTCAGGTGACGGCAGCTTAACCTGCCATGTTTGGCTTTTCTTTCTTTCATCATCGCTTTAGGTGCTGCAGCACGCCTTTTAATCCTTGTGGGTGGTGGTGTTCAGACGGATACACCTTGATCTTAAGGGGTGGAGGGGGGGGGGGGCGTAAAAACGGATACACCTTGATCTTAAGGGGTGGGGGGGGGGGGGGGCGTAAAATCGGATACACCTTGATCTTAAGGGGTGTGTGGTGGGGTGGGGTGGGGGGGGGGTGTTAAAACGGATGGACCAACTCTCAGGAGACCCGGAACAATTCTGAATATTTTCTCACGGCTGTATACTGTGAACTCAGAAACGTCCGTACTCGAAACGTGCCGTACCTTGATCCGCAAGGACCACTCCCATGCACAAACATATCCCGGGCACAGCTGAGAGAGGATGAGCACGCATGTGTATAGCTGAGACTAGTAATCAGTGGTGTGCGGCGTAGCCCAGTTTTATCTCTTCCTTTTTTGGCCCGGTTGCCAGTTTGGGCTGGTATGCGGCCCATGAACCAGGAAATGAAGCCGGCCGGGTAACTACCGTCTAACTAAGCAGAGTAGAACTGCTGTGTGCGTAGCTGCACCAGGCATGCCGCAGAGTCCACATACTGTAGAACGGCTAATTTTAGCGGGTAAGATTTTTAGCGTTTTCTGAGTCAGGACCAATTCGCGATGAATTCTTTAGCGATCCGAGTTTCAGAGTTAAAAAAAGGTGATTAGTACTGGAGTGTACATGCATGGCGTGGAAGAACTTTGGCAAAAACACTCCTTTCGCTAGAATATCGCCGGCACTAGTATTATCCGTTTAACAGTAGAAAGGAACCACCGAGCTGAATGCACCCCAGGCCAGGCTATACCCGGCTCACCGAGCTGAATGCACCCCAGGCCAGGCTATACCCGGCTCACCGAGCTGAATGCACCCCAGGCCAGGCTATACCCGGCTCACCGAGCTGAATGCACCCCAGGCCAGGCTATACCCGGCTCACCGAGCTGAATGCACCCCAGGCCAGGCTATACCCGGCTCACCGAGCTGAATGCACCCCAGGCCAGGCTATACCCGGCTCACCGAGCTGAATGCACCCCAGGCCAGGCTATACCCGGCTCACCGAGCTGAATGCACCCCAGGCCAGGCTATACCCGGCTCACCGAGCTGAATGCACCCCAGGCCAGGCTATACCCGGCTCACCGAGCTGAATGCACCCCAGGCCAGGCTATACCCGGCTCACCGAGCTGAATGCACCCCAGGCCAGGCTATACCCGGCTTGGCAGCTCCACATGAACGTAATTTTCATGCGACAGGCCGGCGTGCAAAATATATGCAAGCAATATCTAGAATCTACACTGTAGAACTTGATGATAAGGTTTTAAATGGAGCAATTCCAGCCACTCCTACTCCCAGTATCCCTGCATGCCTGTGCGGCAACATTTGCTTTCCAAACCGCCGGAAACGTGCCTCAGCTTCGCGCGAGCTATTGCCATATTCAGTGGCAATTTCCCGGAACAGGCGCGCTCACCTGTCGCATCAGCTTAGTCTTAGCCTGTGGCTCGGGCAGGCTAACAGCAGCTTCGAATGCACGCCTATAGTTGTGTCCGATTACTTGGTCGCTCATTCCCTCGAAAGCTGTCATCAAGTCTCCGGAATAGGCAGGACGATGTATCCACCGGTTAGCTTGGCGTTTGGTAACTTGTTTACGGAACGCTTTAGAACGGTCTTCAATGTACCCCAACATCTTCACTAGCGGCTGGGATCACGGCCAGAATAATACTGCAGGGATAAGAAGGCACAGTAAATCACACCAAATGCTGTTTAGAGCCAACAAGAATTGATCATAGCAGGTTTTACAGGCTGCAATGTCACTATGTGTGGAATAGCAGACCCAAACCCACATCATGTGTTCTGAACCCTGCTTTCAAAGGTTGCAGTCACCCGAAACCTGCTTCTCATATCACCATTGTGTATAATTTTTTCAAAATACTCCAAACTACTCAGTCAAAGTAGATTGCACCCGTAAATTAAAAATCTGGCACTTATTGTCTGAATCAACTGGTGCTGGCCCGAAAGAGGCTGCAACTAGGCATCTATTCGTAATTTGAATTTGTGCGCACACGTACACACACTGTCCTGTCCTGAACATTGCCGTTTCCGGGTGCATGTCCCCTCGTGTGAGGGGCCGACAGACATGGAGAGTTTGGCTGAGGTGCTGTTTCGTATTGACATCCTAGCGAGATCTCCTGGACTTTTCTCGAATCCATGTGTTGCAGTTGTGAAGCTGGAACCCTTGGGTTGACTTGCAACACCTATCGCATGAGCTGCAGTGGGCTTTGCAGCAAGGCAGGGAGAGCCGCTGATGGGAGCCACACGATGATCCAACAGGGGTGACCTGGCCGTGCACTGGAGCAGCCGATGGTGGCACATCCAGGCATTTGTGGACTGCCAGCCCACCAGGACTGCGAAACCAGCTTAGATACACGGTGCATTGCCTGCTGCCAACCTGGTCTGCTATAGGTTTGCGACGCTCTTGAGTGCATGTGTGGCATGACAGGCCGTTCTTCGAAAAGGATTTGCTACAAACACTGCACTGAATCCGATCACGGGAGGCCGGCTGTGGTGGCGAAGCAGTGCTAAATGCTGTGCGCCACTCTCCTCGCTGCTGCGCGGCGTCGAACCAGTCTCCTTCAATATGTTGGTGACGGATGTCTCACGGTTCGGACAACATCACGTCAACGCTTCCTGGGACCACATGTGGGGGGGGGGCATGTACATGTAGGTAGCAATGACCCGAACACCAGCTGTCCAGGGGGGGGGGGGGGGGCGGTCTGCGTCCATTCTGGCAATGTGGCCAAGACTACGTAACTTAGTATCCGAAGGCTAAGCCTTTCAGTATTAAATTTTCATTTCTGCCCAACTTCAAACAATCTTTCGAAGCTCCGGCCTCTGCACATTTATTGCACCCCTGCTAATGTCATCAGCCCAAGTGGCAACTTGACAAGCAGTACGCAAAGTGTGCAGCTCAACATCACTGCCTCCTGAAACATGAAATAATTGTCGGAATAGGTATTCAGGGGATGGGGGGGGGGGGGAATGGTCCGACCCGGGGAAAAAAATCGGATTTTTCGGCCAACAGAGCGTGTTTTCGGATGGAGAGCCAAGGTTCAATTTATAGAAAAGAGAAAGGACCAAGGAACTATAAGTTACGCCGCTATACTGTCCACTAACACCACCAGTTACCAGTCAGTGCCGTGCAATGTTGTCGCATGAGCTGATTGTTTAGTAACTGGTGGTGTTAGTGGACAGTATAGCGTAACTTATAGTTCCTTGGTCCTTTCTCTTTTGTATAGAGCAGGTTTAGTGCTCTTTTATTGCTTTTTTGGATGAATCGGGAAGACCATCCTGGACGAAAAGTGGTACGACCATGGTCGTATTAGTCGTACCGTGTGTGACGCTCCTGCAAACGCATGTGGAGTTTTTCAGAAAGGGCGCGAATGCTCCATCACTTCCAATTCTGCAGGGACAAATTCCGTCGGGTATCCATGAGAAGTGGAGCAGCATGGTGTCCTCGGACCGCCACCAATCCACCAAGTCAGTTCCAAAAGAGAACTGCACAAAATGACTCACATGCACAGTGCCGCCGCTCGCACTGCTTGCCTCGTTTCAAACTGCCAGTGCAACTGTGCGTGCCATGTAGCATTGCAGTGTGGACTTCATGTAGCATTGCAGTGTGGACTTCATGCAGCATTGCAGTGTGGACTTCATGCAGCATTGCAGTGTGGACTTCATGTAGCATTGCAGTGTGGACTTCATGCAGCATTGCAGTGTGGACTTCATGTAGCATTGCAGTGTGGACTTCATGCAGCATTGCAGTGTGGACTTCATGTAGCATTGCAGTGTGGACTTCATGCAGCATTGCAGTGTGGACTTCATGTAGCATTGCAGTGTGGACTTCATGCAGCATTGCAGTGTGGACTTCATGTAGCATTGCAGTGTGGACTTCATGCAGCATTGCAGTGTGGACTTCATGTAGCATTGCAGTGTGGACTTCATGTAGCATTGCAGTGTGGACTTCATGTAGCACAACTACTGACAGTACTGTATTCTTGTCCTCTACTCTAGGCTCCGCTCACGCACATGTGACATAGGGTAGTAGTGCTAGACTACGATACTACTACTAGTACTAGTACTACAGTGCTGGCAACTGAAATCCGACCCCCCTAGCGGTGCGCTAGCCGCATTAGCGATTCGTACGAGACGCTAGGGGGGTCGGATTTCAGTTGCCAGCACTGTACTACTAGTACTACTAAGTACTAGACTTCAACTATCCGAAAATATTCTTTACAGGCACGGAACCAAACAGATGGTGGCCCAACCATGTTCGGATAACCGACATACGACTTTACTGAAGTTTTGAGTTAGGTTTACCGCAACTTCACGTGCACACGTCGCAGCCAGCTTTGCGGGCGCGCTGCTATTTCCTTCGTAACGAGTTACGATCCCCCCTTGATTTGGCTCCATGACCGGCATCCGTGACTACTGAGCAGATAGACAATTAGTAGTATTCAACTGACTGGCGCACACAAGCATGTGCACGGCCAAGTGAGCGGCAATAGCTGCTCTACACTACAGTAGTCCAGGGATGCATAGTACTAGACCTACTTACTTTCGTAAAGTTTAGGTGTCGGCAGACGCTGTGCGACAACAGGAACTGAGCTTTAGAAGTGCATACGAAATGCAAGAAAACTGAATGCGGCTCGCCTAAATGTCCAACATTCACTCAGAGATACTTTTTTTCTCTTCGTACCAATCTATCACTAGCCTACACGGAGATGGGACCAACCGAGCTACTACGAGTACTGCTAGTATTACTATTAGTTCTGCACGCCACGGCTAGAACTGCATTACTCGCTACAGCAAGGAAAAAATGTAGCCGTGATTCGTGAAACTGAAACGCACTTACACTTTTCACTGCTGTACTTCTCCCCGACCCTGCACTGCTACAAAGTCTGAGTTTGACAAAGATGTATGTACGAGTATGACTCTACAGCAGTTCTCTGATGGAATACCACCGGTTGGCTGGCCAAGGAAGTAAAGTCTAAAGAAGGAACCTCTGCCTCTGGAAAGCAGGGCTCGATCAAAACACCTAAAGTCCTAAGCTAACTGTTACTCGTTGATATGACGTCATACACTGATACACTGATACACTGATAATACAGTCAACTTCGCTAATAACGACTGCGGATATAACGACAATTCGCGAATAACGACATAATTTCCATGCCCAGAGCAAAGTCCCCATGGCATCCCACTGTCATTATAATGAGACTTCGGGTATAACGACACTTCGCGAATAAGGACACCTTTTTGATGCCCCGCCGAGTGTCGTTATAAGCGAAGTTGACTGTACTTCTAGACTGCAGTGGTCGTAGTTCAGTGTTCACTAGTAACTGTTGTACACGTAGTGACGTACTACACTCAGAGTCACTCTACACAGTAAATCTACGCGGTCAGTCAGGGCGAGCAAAAGGCTTCACCATGCAGCATGCTACTCTGTACTCAGTGCTTTAAAAAAATGAAATCCGATCCATGAGTCGAGTTTGCGCTCTGCACCATTTCGCAGCCCATGTGCATTGGTTCCCAAGATCGGATTTCATAGAGCAGCACTGTCCTTGTAGAAACCAAAAACACTACCAACTGAGACTTTTAGAAGTGTCACTTATTACTATTAATACTGTATTAGATAATCCAATACTAGTACAGTACTACGCATATTGTTAGATTGACAACATGAAACAAGGTGGAGGACACTGTGTTCGGAAACAGTGACCTAAGACCTTCCGCGGCTGGCAGAGCCCCGGTCCCTGCGGACCATTTGAACCATAATTATGGGTGTTGAACCCGGTCAGTCTGACCCTCATTATGCTAGGGGGGGGGGGGGTTGGAGACTGTTTCCGTACACAGTCAGTGTCCTCCACCTTCTTTCATGCTGTCAATCTAACAATATGCGTGAACTATAACAAGGTTTACATGAATCCAAGAGTACATAAATTCATCATAATCCCCTGGGGGTTATGTACTCCTAATGTATCTAATACTAGTTTTGAACTACATGTAGTATTGGGTTATACGTGTATAATACACTAGTACAGTACATGTACTAGTGTATTAGATAAACCTTGTTATAGTTCACACATGTTGTTGGTTTGACAGCATGAAACAGAGCACCTTCTCACGACAGTGTCATGGTTAGGGGTAAACCATGGTAAACCGGATTATGTTCCGCCTCCTATTTTTGACTTGCAGCTTCGCGTTTCGAGACTTGTACGCGTACTCAGCCCCGCGAAGTAATAAGCATTGATTCACCGATAACAGCGTTACTTTTTTAAAAGTCTTTATCACTGCCTTTTTGCGCAATTGGTCTTGCTCATTTCAGCGGGAGTTGAGGTCAGCGCTTCCCAAGTAGAATGAAAGCCTAGTAGTAGTACGCCCATGCCATGGCCAGTAGGAAAGTGTACTTTGTATCCGTATCTTATCACAGCGTACTTCGGTACGATGGATCGCCGCACACCCGCGCTCCGGACAATGTCCGTACTTTGCCAGCGTAGCACTACAGTGTTATCATCAGTCGGAGTTCGTACTAGTACTGTACTATACAGTACGATCATGTACATGTACTAAGTGAGTTCCACGCCGTATATATTATATAAAATAGGAATTGCATTTACATCAACACGTATTCACACCGTATGTTTGAGGAAAAGTCTAACGTTAGAACACAAACGTTCACTGCCAACGCCAGGACTCGAATCAGGAACCATCCCTATAGCCTACAGGTCAGCCGCTAGCAATGCTCTACAAATGGAAACTACTCACTTAAAAACAAACAAAACAAAAACAAACAAAAAAGGGAAACTGCTGGTGAAGGTTATCGTGGTTCAAGGTAATTGCCTCTGAGTAGGCTGCTAAAAATGTCCTCAGTATAAGGTACACGGTTATCCAGCAGCATGCATGTCACTCTTTCTGGCAAGCCGTTTGGAAATCTGACCCTACATAGTCACAACTTCATTGGAATATGATTCAAATAGGACAAAGGAACCGCTCGCCATTACTCTGAATACCATGGTAGGTAGCGGGCTGTCCTTGCTCATCAACTGGAATAAGTTACACAAGAGGAACTGTCCTCTTCCGAAGATCCCGGCAAACATAGAACTCAGGGTGTACTAACAAAAATAATATAGCTTGGCGATCGAGACAAGACTGAGTCAAATATGACTGACTGGCATCAAACAGTGCTGCTCTGTTGAATGCTGTTGGCGAGGCTGCCATCACTTGAGCAAACGAGGCAGAGGCGACATTTGTTCTTCACTTGTCCAGTCCACGACCTGACCCGCGCTGGTTTCCTGAAGACGTGGCTCTATGCTCCTGTTGTATACTCCAAACACACCGCCTGCTCGCACACGCCATAAAGAGAGCATATTAGAATAATATAGGATGATGTCGCCCATCCGAATATGTACTTCATCGACTCGTGTTGAATTATTGATTGCCATCCAAACAGCCAGTGTGCGTGTGTCGCAAGGCCTACCATCACATGTGTGTGTGTGCGTGTTTGTGTGTGTGTGTGTGTGTGTTTGTGTGTGTGTGTGTGTGTACAAAGTTGGCAGGGCAATGCAGTCTAATCTCTCCTATGACACCGACATTATTTCGTGTAAAGTGGCATTACAGAAGATTCAAAAATCACTGATTTGATCGTCAATCTGACGCGCGTATACAACATCATCACTCGTATTACCTCTATACATGTACCTCATGACAAATGTGCATTTGCTCCTCACCTGAGTGCAAGAATAGGATACGCTTTCCCTTGAAGCGTTCTGGCTGCTTGTGCATGAGGTCGCGCATGCCAAACGCAGCTTTTCCGCAGAATGTCTGATCCAGGATGATGCCAGTGTTGCGTGAAACGGACAAGATGAAATCTGCAAACCAACCAGCAGAGCAGATATCCGCTTGCAGGTAATTACGGGTGCCATGCGGCAAGACCTAGTGTGCACATGTGCCAACATAATAATACAATACATTATATCACAATACATAATAATACAATACATCAGTATATAAAATACATAAGTATAGGCTATAGACCGGTTAGGAGGTCTATACAGGATATATAGACCGAGTAAAAGACCGAGGTCCCCAAATACTAAGAAGGTGACAATATACAATACATAATATACAATACAGCTTTGTAAAAGAGGACCGTGAGTGGACGTGCATCACACTCGTTTGGGGCCACCGCAGAACAAGCTATTCCCTACGTAGGCTGGCCGGCAGGTGATATCACCCAGCTAGCATGAGTGCACTACTGTCACTAGGCAAAGGTAAAGGTACATGTAGCCGATAGTCAATTCTGACCACCGTAGGAGCAGTAGCACTAGCAGACTGAATACTTGAAGTACTACTACTGGAGTTGCCTTCTGCATTGCTTTGCTTTTTCATCTGTTTGCTGTTTAACTTGGAATTATTTCAAACAAAGGTTTTGAGTAGTAGAAGTACTAGTAGTGCATGTTTTTAATGCCATCAGTCTGAGTTTTACCAAACACTTCGTCCGATGCCATGCCGTATCCCGGTGCGACGTAGCCGCCGACAACGTCAATGATGTCTTCGGAGCGTACACCCTTGTCCGCCAGGCCAATTTGCTGCAGCTCTGCATTGACGAGTTGATGTGCAAGCTGCTCATCCTCTGCAATGACTACACCGTGAATTCTGGTAGACAAATAGCATAAGAGATAGCCTAACAGATAGCTTTCCAGAAAGCCTAACAGATAGCTTTACAGAAAGCCTAACAGCTCGCATTTCCAGAAAGCCTACAGTTCAGGTAGTTGCACATGACTTGCTCGAATCAACTACCACCGATCCACAATCATGCAGTTGCAGAAAACGATCAACCTACACAGTTTGGGAAGACGCACGCGTCACCTCAACCAAGATACATGCACATGAATACTAGCTGGTACTGAACAAAGATTTGTAAACAATAAATTTCACATCTAGCAACTAACCGTTAACTGGATGAGGCGGGGCATGGGGGGGGGGGGGGGGGGGGTATTTGCTGCAGTCCTGCGGTATCTGGTTCTAGCGGAGCTCGGAGAAATTCTTTCTAATGATGTACATTCTGCAGCATTGGCTTGTGGCATGTAGTGCTCGAAGGGACCACGACAGCAGTTACACTGAGGTTCTAATTTGAACAAGTCAAGTTGGAAGTGGTCGAATGCCAGCATATCGTTACCCAACTTACAACGTGAACACCCACTCTAATTCAACCATCTCTTACATCTGTCCAGTTTTAATATTTAAAAAATTGCCAGTACAAGGCTCTCTCACTTTAAAGGAGATCCAAGGAGGTAATTTGCAATGGCCAGTCCCACACAAGTTCCAGCGCTACCAAGCGCGGCGACTATGTCATCGTAATTCTCCAGCAAACCCTGTGCAGACAAGAAAGCATAACCATCGGACAACACCGTCACTGAGTGTGTGTCTACTTTTACTGCAAAGAACAATACAACGGTTTGCAATCAATCCATATCAATATTTTAAAAGGTACATGGAAAGGATTGGGAGAATTTCGAATTCAATGTAAGCTGTAAGGGAAGGGAACTGCCTGAAAAAAGAGAAAAAAATGGCAAGCCCACAAGGACCCCACCGTTAAATTTGAAGTTCTCCCAATCCTGTCAAAAATGAATCACTTTCTTTCACCTCTGGTAGAACGTGCCAAACATTGGCCGTGGTTGGTCCACTGGGGGAGGTGAAAAGACCCATGGTGCCATCAGTATGCGTGGCATGTGTTGTGAGCTGTGGTTGGAGTGAAAAACATGTCAGCGCCTTCTAGGTTCGGCCTGATCCCATAGGTCACACGGGTAGAGCATTATTGCTCATGACAAGCAAAGTCCCAGGTTCAAGTATTGGTGGGGTTGGCATATTTTTTCCTTTTCAGGCAGTTCACTTCCCTGACAGTTTACATGGAAGCAACTGTCTTGTCACTTTCATCAGTGGTTTAGCATGACTGAAAGATGGTGGAATAAGATCAAATCTGAATAACACGATTGTGTGTAAAAACTGCTGCAGTGAGCAGGAACAGAAAAGTGTGTACCTGTTCTATCATTTCCTGGAACGCTGCCAAGTACGCCCACGTGCCCAGTACGCTGGTACCACCGACAGGAACAATGTAGGCCTTCTGGCCCCTGTCCGCCCTACAGGACCAACACAACGGCATACGACACACAGCACAAGTCAAGGCATTTCCTACCGCCACCTCCCCGTGCAATCAATCTGAATATACTTTCTTTAAAGCTGCCTTTCCGTCTAGTACTAGTAGCACCTTGATGGGCAAACTCCTTGTAGTGGCCGGTATTTGCCAAAGCTGACAGATTTCTTGGTCTATTTTCTGCTTGCCCAACTTTGCCCATCCAAATTTAGAAAATAGTTGTTTTTCAAGATTGTGCAGTCACTTACAAGTCATCCACAACCTTCTTCATGCGCAGGTTGACACAGTCGAATATGGCTCCTTCCGTGTGTGCCAGCACCATGCCAGCACCGACCATACGGTCCAGGAGGACATTGCCCGAACACGGTAGCTTATCCTTCTGTGCCTTTGAGACAAACCACAGGCATGCAGTTGGGAACATTTTAGAAGCAGGGCGCCACCTGCCTGGTCCAGTGTATCATACTGTTCTCTTAGAAAGCACGTGTGTCACACATTCGACACGACGGTGCCCTGTTTGAGCTATCCGACACAGATAAGCTGTGCAATCAAAAGGGTCAATACCCCCCCCCCCCCCCCCCCGAATGGAAATGGAATAGTACAAAAAGTGATGTTTAATACACTTTGGTTAAGTAGCACAATGTTTTTCAAAGAGAACTTCTTCATCATAATTATCTTGATTACATAGAAGTCTGTGCCCAGAGACCACCGTACATGTATGATACCCAGCAGTCCAACTCTCTTGATCCTTCGACAGCAATGTACAATCTGCACGTAAATATAGATAGACATGTTGTGGGCTAGGGCATGACGTGATGGCGGTGTCTCAAGAGAGGCTATCTCAGGTTTACAACAGTCAGTGGTTGTGTATGACAGTGTTCCACTTGAGGTACGCAATGAAATGTCGACTTGTGGTGACCGTGACTTACCAGCTCAGACTTGGACGCAGCGAGGACGAGGTACGTGTCCAGTCCGAGTTCCTTGGCGGCGACGGCGGTTGCACGGCCGTGGTTGGTGTTGACACAGCCGGCCGTCACCACAGCCGTACACCCACTGTCCAGAGCATCAGCCAGGAGCAGCTCCAGCTTTCTCACCTGCACCAACACCAGGACCAGGAGAGGATGGACCCTGCACCGATAGGCAATGACCATGACACTGCTGCTGCATATCATTCATCAATGATGGGCAGCAGCATGAGGTCGGATTTCAACGAGCGCAACTGTAGAATAATTCATTCTACAGTTGCACTCGTTGAAATCCGACCTCATGTGCAAAACTGGTGCCCTGGACCAGTTCCGATTACATGTACATCACTTTACTTGCACATGCGTACGTCCAGCCGCATTCGTATCACTCAATGGCAGGTTCAAGGACCGTGCAAGTTGAGGGCGCCAAAAATGCACTTGAGGTCGGATTTCACAGAGCACAACTGTACTTACTTCCATCTGCACTGTACATAGTGTACACTGTATATGGGTGTATCAGAGGATTGACACGCTACTGTACACAGTATATGGGTGTATGAGAGGATTGGCTAACAGCCACAAGCAGCCAAGTAAAGGGAAGCCCTTCGCCAAATTCTTCCGCATGCAATTGCCCTTCCAAAATTACAAATCCTGTAGGGAGACTAAATTCTGCATATCCAAAGCTGAAATTCCACTTCCCCTGGTTGACTTTAGTACAATGTACCTTGTTCCCAGACATTGTGCTGTGGGTCAAATCGTCCCGCTTTATGCCAATCGTGAAGCCATCAGGAGCGCCGGGAAACGATGTCCACTCGTGCAGTGGCGTGGGAAGCTGACAGAGCTGTTGCAACATAGCAGCACACTTGCAAACTTACACACGGGAATACAGTAAAGGAGAGACAGACTGGGTTACCATGGTTACCAGTGGAAAGAAGTGCTGCAACAGAGCTCCTTGCTGAATTCTGCCACATGATATCGGCATCCGAGTGCTATCCCGAATCTCAACTGATAAACCATGCAGGAACAATGAAGCCATCTGGAGCAGTGGAGGGCTCATGTATCGGAGTCTCATTCAAGAGGGAAAAATCCAGATCCACTACACTTGCCATGGCAGTTCTGGTGGCCACAGTAAAGCATGTCCTTTGAAGTTGTGGGGTCACTCGAAATTATTGGTGCATCGCGCGGTGAAGCCAGTCGCGCATGATGGTTTCGCCATCAGAAAGCCTCAGAAAATGCATCCCTTTCTTTCACCTCCGGTAGCACGTTCCAGAAACTGCCCGTGGTTGGCTCATAGTTCAGATGGTAAGAGCATTGCTCATGACAAGCAAGGTCCAGGGGTTCGAGTCCTGGTGGGATTGGTATTTCATTGTACCTTCAGTCTGTACTGATAGTCCAGCGGTTGGCTAGTTATTCATGGGAGTGGATAGGTCATGGCAAGATTTCATAACCCCTGTGGCAGGGCCGGAGGCAGCTTCCGCGGAGCGGTGCAGCCGAAGGGCTATGCTTAAGGGGGGTCTGGGGGTCCTCCCCCAGAAATTTTTTGGAAGTTAGACGGCAAATCCTGCACTCTGGGCGACTCCCTGTACAAAATCATACATCAAAACTTTTTCTCCCCGGTTTTGGACGTTCCACGCCCACTTTTTTTTTGGTACGGCCATGGCCGTACCGGCCGTACCAGTGGCGCCGGCCCTGTGAGGGTTATGAACTCTTGGTCATGGCATGTGGAGTGCACCATGTACATACACGCATCACCGTGTTTGTGCTTGCACAAAACACACTCCTTGCTACCGGCATTGGTTTCGAACTTGGGACTCCGCAAGCAAGCCCACCAACCCCTTCATCCTATGCGCAAGGGTGGAGAATAGCTGACGTGTTATCCTCAAAAACTCTGCAATGCATAGCGTGAGTGATTGCCCGAGGTCCATCTGGGAGTCGCGGCGTGCCTAGCTTCAGTCGGGAGAGATATGCAAGATGTAAACAATGATCATCTCCCTCGCTGTGTCGGGTTCAAATGGAATCTGTTCGCTTAGTCAAATGGAATCCGTTCGTTTAGTGAAATAGTTTGACGCTGGAGGGCTCTAAACAACCAGTGAATGATCTGTTAGCACGATCCGACTCAGTGCGTGGTTATATTACTACAGACAGTACAGCACAAACCTGTACAATGTGCATTTTAATATGTAACATTTATGACTTTATGTGCAGAACGCGCATTCTTGCTGATTATCTGTTCATATTAATACTGCAGCCGCTATATCTAGCGCTAGGCCGCACACACCGTACGGTCATAAGCCATGATTGTACAGCCTACACCACAAGGCTGTTGAAGCCCGCAGCTGACATACCGTGACAATTGACTTAGGAACTGAGTCCGAGGGCAATTCCTTGGTCCATTCCGGAGGGGTGAACGGGGTCACCTTCCTGTATGCTCGTGCCGCCATCCGGTCTGGCTAAGCCAAGGACGTACGGCTTATAGTATACAGCACAACCTTGGAACTTCTGTCTTGTTGCCACCCGGTCACTGACTTGAACAAGTGTGTAGATGGCCCAACCAACTCTCTTGAACAAACTACTTGCAATGATGATAAATCGCACCTGAAATTCTGTAAAAAGGCGATCAGAAGGTCACAATGAAGCTCGAGAATACGATTTCAGCAACAACTAAGCTACCTAACCGCGTTGTGAGCTTCTCCAAACAGTTACTTTTGCATGGAACGTGCTAGAACATTTGCGGATACAATGACATTATGAACATAGTCACAAAAAATGATTTTTCGCGGGCATGCACGACATGCCAACACTGCCTTTAGCAGTTTAGGAAAGTCGAACTCAGTGACGGAATTCGCGTTATGAGAAGGATTACCGATTAGCAAACAGAATTCGTGTCATGCATGTACGACGTACATAATTGTGTACAAACAGTAGACTCTACAGCGTGGTAAATTTATGACTGCCCTGACACGAATTAGGAATTCCGCTAGGACCTGAAAGGTCTGACGTGGAATTCAGGTTACACTAGGAGGTGAAGGCGGAGAATGTGACAGTGTGACAGTGTGTTAGGCCTCAAATCTTCGCTTTTCAAATAATTCACAGCGATTTAAAGAGAAAAATTTACACAAACTCCAACCTCGTCCCCTTGATATTCCCGCCCTTTCCCTCGCTCCTTTGGCCTTTGATGAGCTCATTTATGGACAAGCCAAAGGCAACGTCTGACAGCGGAGAATGAGACAGGGGCGGCGCGGGTGGGAACACACTGTCACATTCTCCGCCTTCACCTCCTAGTGTAACCTGAATTCCACGTCAGACCTTTCAGGTCCTAGCGGAATTCCTAATTACACTTCGGAGGCTCCGGCTACGAATGTGACAGTGTGATGTTTAAAGAAAAGACCTCACATGAGTAGCAAGGTATGAAATTAATGGCTAATGTATGTTGCCATCGACACTACACTCTGTCAAGAGAAAGAAGCTGGAAGGAAACAGCATGTTATAACCGCTGAGGACAGATACACTTTCTCAAATCAATATGAAACAGATTCAACTGTAGTGTTCCACACAAGCAAAGAAACGGCATGGATAGTGAAATAATCAGGGAGCAGGCACGCTAGGCATGATCACTATGAGAAACCATGCATAGAAATCGGAACCACAGTCCGCACTTGTAGAAGACTCCTCACCCAGTGCTAACCGTCAAGACGGCTTGGCCAAAAGAAGCTTGGCTGTGCGGTCGGTAATAGTGGCGGATGAATGTGTTGGGCCGTGACCAGTCAGCTGTCGCCAACACATCCGCCAATGACACCCCGGCTTGTCGTGCAGCGCTAGTGGAGGCACTCCGCGTAGAATGGGCTGAGAAGTCACTTTCAACACCCGCTGCTTGGAGCAGTGTTGTCACCCATCTGGCGACAGTTGAGGTCGAGACTGGCTGAAAGGGTCGGCGAGTGGACACAACGAGAGCACTCTGCGCTGGTGTAGTGCGGCTGGACCTAGTCACGTCTAGATAGGCTTTGATGCATTCCACTGGGCACAGGATCGGATCAGCCGGCAGACCTGGCACAAAGAACTTCCGCGGGCCGCCAGAGCGTTGTGTTTTGGTGACGTGAGTCAGCTCAAACTCGACACCATCTGCCAGGAAGCGCATTGCGCGGATATCCAAGTGACAGATCTCACTTACTCTTGCTGCCTTAGCCAGTGCGAGCAGCATGCACAGCTTCCAGGACAGGTGCGACAGGGTCAAAGCAGTATTCGGGCCCAATGACCGAATGTATTCTAGAACAGTGGCCACGTCCCACGTACGTGAATAGCGAGGCAATGGCGGTCGTTGATTGTAGATACCACGCATAACCCGGACGACGCTAGGCGATTGTCCGACGGGTACATTATCGTGGAGTGGCGGTACGGTGGATGACACCGCCGAACGGTACACGTTCAGGGTACGGTATTGCTTGCCTGCCTCATACTGTGTCGCTAGAAAGTTGGCTAATTGAGTAGGGTCCGCCGATACGGGATCCACACGTCGTTCGCAACACCAGCCCACCCACTGTCGCCATGCTGACTGATACGTTGCGTTGGTGCTAGTTCGCCAGGAGGAGAGCCAGAGAGTGACAGCTCCCTGCGAAAGGCCTCGCAGCGAGGCTGCTTCCCGGAGATACTCCATACGGTCAGTCGTAGGCGTTGTGCCTGTGGATGGACTTGTCCCTGTGGGTCCAGAACGTCTGACGATACTAGTCGTAGCGGAGCACTGCAGGACATTCGGAGCAGCTGAGGGTAATAAGCCTGTGACTGCCAGGCTGGAGCCACCACGATTACCCGTCGAATGTCGTGTTGCCGGATGTAGCGAAGACACCGGGTGAGCAGGCTGAATGGCGGAAAAGGCATAAGCATTCTCCCATAGCTCTGGAGGGGTGGAGAAGGCATCCACTGCTTCTGCCTCTGGATCTGGACGCCAGCTCAGGTAGCGGGGCAGGCGAGCATTGTGGCGGGCCGCAAACAGATCTACACTCAGCGGGCCGAATGTCTGTTGGATGGTAGTAAACACATGGTACGGGAGCATCCAGTCGCCCGTCTCCTCCACGTGACGGGACAGATAGTCTGCTGTGTGGTTCAGGGCTCCTGGCACATGAACCGCTTCCAGCTCCAGGTGTCGGGCTGCAGCCCACTCCAGCACCTGAATCGCAAGCGTACACAGACGCCGAGAATGAGTGCCTACCTGATGATTGAGGTATGCCACGGTGGTCGTATTGTCGATTTCCAACCGGATGGTTTGGTTGGATGCGTTGCGGAGCAGGCTTTTCAAACCTAACCATACCGCGATCAGCTCTTTCCAGTTGATGTGGTGCGCAGCTTCGGACTCGTACCATGGCCCACCGGCATGCGCCGTATCCACAGCAGCACCCCATCCTACATTGGACGCATCTGAGCTCATGGTGACCGAGGGTGGGTCTCTGTGCATGGGTATCGGGCACCCCGCCGTCGTTATCCACCAACGCAGGTCGCTGCAGGCCCATTCGTCCAACTGTTGGGTCTCGAGACGGTGTGCCAGAGCCTCGTTCAGCAGGAACTGCAGTCCCCGGACATGAAGCATAGCGAGGTGTACTGCAGGGCGCGCTGCAACCATCTTGCCTGTCAGTGAACGCAGTTCGGCGAGGGTAGCAAATCCCTTGTTGCGCAGGCGACGGCACTCGGAGCGAATCTTGTCCAGCTTGTCGCGAGGCAAGGAAAATTCCATGCGCACCAAGTTCACTTCGACTCCGAGAAACGTCAGGATCTGCGTCGGCTCCATGATAGATTTCTGGCGGTTGACTATGAAGCCCAGTCGTTCTAGGAGGGCTGCCACAAACTGGATCTGCTGCGCCACTAGAGCAGGGGAGTGTGCTATCAACAGCCAGTCGTCCAGATAGACAACGATGAGCAGACCCATTGTACGGAGCCACGCTGCTACTGGACGAAGCACCTTGGTGAACGTGCGGGGTGACTCCGACAGACCGAACGGGAGGCAAGTGTACTGCCATACCTGGTCGTTCCACATGAACTGGAGGAGGCGTCGGCTGTGAATGTGCACCGGTACCGAGTGAAAGGCGTCCTTCAGATCGAGTTTCGCCAACCACCAGTTCGGCTGAACTAGCTCGGGTACGACTGCCAACGTTTCCATCTTGAAATGGGAGTTGTCCACAAACTCGTTCAGCGCTTTGAGGTTGAACACTAGCCTCCATCGACCACCGCTCTTGGGTACCATGAAGTGCGTGCTCTTGAATGTCGCGTCTCGCACTGTAGTGGGCTCGATGCCCCCCGCTGCTGCCATGTTGGACAGGGCCTCCTGCAGAGCAACCTGCTCCGCCTGAGCCAGGTGCATCTGTCTGGGAGCCTGCCGCTGATGAGGGCGAGCCAGCAGTGGGATACGCAGGCCATGCCGGACGGTACTGCGAACCCATGGGTCCGCCGTCAGTTGCTCCCAGTTCTGCCAGGCCACCGCAATGCGACCAGCGGGTGGAGGTGGATGATGTACCTCCCATCGCCAAGGAACGGGAAGCTGCAGCTCCGATGATGGTGTTGGCGATTCTCGGAGCTGCCCCGCGTGGCCCACTACTGGGCCTGAGGGCGAGGTGGTGACTTGCCCCTCGACCCTGGTGTCCACTGCCCTTGCGGTCTTCCGCGGTGGGGGCGAAATGAGCCTCGGTGGGGCGGCTGCTGGCGGTCCCTGCCGTATTGGCGACTGGAGAAGGTATGCAGCTTCGGGGTACGCGATGACTGGAACGCGAACCCCTTTCGCTGAAAACCCGGCTTTGGCTGTGGCTTGCGCGCCAGCCTCTGCGCCTCGTTCAACGTCGCCTCAGATTTCACTTTCGTGGAGATGGCTGAGATAAACTCCTCACCAAACAGCTCCTTCCCAGTGCCTGGCGGTGGGATACCTTTGGTTACTCTTGCCACGTCTTTGTCCACAGCCTCGATGATGGACTGGCGGCGGATGCCATTGATCGAAGCCATCAGGTCTCCGACCAGGACAAGTGTGCGCTGGAGCACGTCCTTGACTTCCGCCGATGGTACGGAGAGTTCCTCCACTGCCGGAACACCTTCCTCTGCCTCGACCAGGGCGGAGAGCATACATGCAACCGGACCAGAGAGCGATGCCACATCACGTTGAACAGCCGCCCACTGCGAGTCGGATGTCTTGGGGAAACGGGAACCAGCCCAGCGCAACACTGTATCATCCACCTTGGGCACATAGGCTGCTGCCGTGTCAGGCCGTGGATGGTCCTCGTGCATGGCCTTCCGCTGCTCGTCAGAGAGCGGAGACCGAAAATACTTCTCAACATAACTCGTCACCGCCTCAGGGGCGTTGAAAAGGAATTTGCGACTCGCCACCGCAGTGGCCGGTGCGAAGTCCAGAGCTCTGGCCGCTCGCTTGGCTGCAGGCTCTCCGATATTACTACCGGTATTGGCTGCATCACCGCTGGACTCCAGGACCTCAGTCCCTGGGCCAGGCAGTGCTTCGTTCTCGGCGGAAACACAGAGCCCTACAGCCCGCTGTGCAGCCGAAAACGGATGCTCTCCAGTCGGAGCTAGCCCGTGCGGTGGTAGATAAAACGACCCATAGGCCGGGTAACCTCCATGCGGCATGGGCATAGCCGGCACCCCACCACTTCCGCAGACAGTGGGGGATGCGGCAGAAAGCAAATCACGCTGAGTGGGCTGTGGTGGCCTCTCGGGCACAGCATTCCCACTCTGGATCTCTGCAGCTCCACGATTTGCCACAAGCGGGTCGTGCTGCGTGGGACGCGCAGAACCAGCCGTCCCCTGACTGGGGAGGTCACTAACGGATGACATGGCTCTGCAATCAACACGTATGTAGGCTATACGGCTACGTCCAAAGAGAAATAAATCTGCAACTGCAACAATTTGAAGCGAAGAAAAAGGCCAAAGGAGCGAGGGAAAGGGCGGGAATATCAAGGGGACGAGGTTGGAGTTTGTGTAAATTTTTCTCTTTAAATCGCTGTGAATTATTTGAAAAGCGAAGATTTGAGGCCTAACACACTGTCACACTGTCACCAGGTCACATTCGTAGCCGGAGCCTCCGAAGTGTAATCCGCGATTCCTGTTCCGACTACTTTTCCGAACGAAAAATGCGAAAGTTCGCAATCCAGTTCGCGAAAATGTTTGCGAACGCGAACGCGAATTTCGTCTTGCTAATCCTCCGTATAATAGGGAGGTTTAGTTCCCACGTAACGGAAACGCGTACGTGGGTGATCCACGTAAAGTGGATGAAGGGCACCCACGTTGCAATGTTGTGTTTAGTCACACGGAACAAACAAAAGCATAAAGCGAAAGGCCCAAACCTGGTCAAAGACGAAGCTACCCGGGCCTAAGAAGCTCATCGAATATTTTGATTTCGTGCTTCGGAAACTTCTTCAGCTGAGCACCCTCACAGCTTGCACAATGCGCTCCATTCTAATTTTCACCCACGTTCTGGCGGAACGTGGGTGAGCCTCCATACACGGCATGTCGTGAATCAGAAAACGTCTGTACGTGGGTCACTGAGTATCACGTGGTACACCCACGTAAAGTACCCACGGATTACGTGGGACTAAACCTCCCTAATAACACATTCGTTTCTTGCACTTGAAAGAGTTTGGGAATTCTGAAGAAACATTCGTTTCTACACTACAGACTACAGTACTTTATAGTAAATCTACTGTTTCCGCACTACATGTACATGACTGTACACATAGTCCGGGTAGATTATAGCGAAGGACTAAAGGGACCGTCACTTAATTTTTGCCGACTACCCGCCAAAAAAATCTTTTCGTTTCACGTGTCAGACACGTCCGCGAGCGCGTACGATCGACTCGCGCGCGCCCGCGCTACCTTTCACGTTCACGCCACATGGCTGGATAGCGCGTACATGCAAACATGATTGAAGACTTGCAAAATCAATTTTTTTCCAAGTCCAGGCGCTAGGCGCTAGGCCTAGGCAGCACTAATCAGTCTAATGCCTAATGCCCAGGCAGCTGACTTTATTTTCGGAGAAACACTACTCATTGTAGTAAAAAGTAACAATGAATAGCGATATCATCTAGGAAGGATCGCTACCCTAACGCGAAGGAAAGGCCTTGCGCGGCTGCTCTACGAAGTGTTGAAGAAAGACTCATCAAAGTTTAATAGTTGGTGGACGAACAACTCGCTGGCGCCGGAAAACTTGGCCCCCAACGATGGTATTTGGTGAATCATCAAGCATAATGTCTTGTAGCAGTGTTCACCGAGGAAGGAGAACGCTCTAGTCGCTGCTGTTGTCCGTTTCATCCACGTTGGGCGTTAGCTGCACCGCGCCTATTGTGTTTTAGTATTCCATGGACACACATTAGCATTCAGAGCGATTGTGGAGCCACAATTTACTTTACACAGCGTTGTATTGTCCACGAGCGCAAACTTCATTATCAGCAGTAACTGTTACTCTTCATCCTACATGTAGACTTGGAGTATACACGGCCTTGTCACGACAGCGACAGCTCTACAGAGTGTTCAAGTGAGAAACATTAATTTCTATTGTTGGTGGACGAATAAATGGCTGGTTCCGAAAAAACGCGGCCTGCACCGATGGTGTTTGGTGGATCATCAAACAGGGTGACCAGCAGTGTTCACCGAGGAAGGAGAATGCACTCGCCACCACTCCGATTCATCCAAGTGGGCGTTAGCTGCGCCGCGCCTATTGTGTTTTAGTATTCCATGGACGCACACTAGCGTTCTCAGCGATTGTGGAGCCACAACATATCTTCATGCGGCGTTGCACTGTCCAAGAGCAGAAACGTCAGCAGTGACCCATCATCATACATGTAGGTTTGGAGTATACACACCATGCGCCAATGGGCCTTGGCACAACAGCGGCAGCTCTACGAAGTGTTCAAGTGAGAAACATTTGTTTCGACTTTTGGTGGACGAACAAATCGTCGGTGCCGAAAAACGTGGCCTGCGCCGATGGTGTTTGAACCATTGAGGGCTCCGGAAGCAGCAGCTGAGCCAGATCAGCCAGTCTTGCCAACTCTCAGTTGCCGGACTCCGTGCTGCAGCTAGCAGCACTGGCACCAGCCGGAAATATTTTTCCGCCGATACCCGTTACTTCCAGTTCTGTCAAGGGCATGACTGGAATCCATTGCCAGGTGATGACTTTTTACTTTATGTGTTATTTTGCTGGCGAGTTGTTCAGAACTTTTCAGCCCCGATCTGTCCATGTCTACATGTCGGCCATCCGCAAACTTCATGTGGAAGTTGGCTTTACCTACCCGTCGGGCCCAATGACTCTCCTCGCAAGGCTCCTGTCGGGCATCAACAGGTCATCATCGACACAGCGTTATCGCCTGCTGATAACCACTCAACTTCTCAGGGAGATTAGCCGGCATGTTGCCTTTCCACGGATGTGGCACCCTCATGACAAGGCCATGCTAAGGGCAAACTGACTGCTTTATTTTAGCTTTACATTACCGCAGTCAGTCCAGCACAATACGCCAATCGTATTTCACTATTACTCGCGTGTCATAATTGGGGATATGGGCTGCTCCGCCCTATATCCCTGATATGCCAACTAGACGAAAAGTGTGTTCTGAGCCTGTATCGCGTATAATAGGCTCATCGTAAAACAAATAATAAGTCTAAAAATCAGGGTTCACGTGACACTCGGGCTCCAGCCAAGTTTTCCGCATCCGCAGGAACGCTACCCCCCTCTTGAATCATAGCATAGTGGACTCTGCAATGAACAGATTATGAAACTCCCTGCAGATTTACTACGGTCATTTCTGGTGACTGGTCTTGGGGCACCGTGGAAGCTGTGACTGGTTGCCAAGTTTTGTTTTGTGACTGATCATGGGGCATTTGTGACTACTTCGAAGCACAGCTCTGATTGATCACAGAGTCTTACTGTTGTGAATATTTATATCGATTGAGAAGTCAAGCAGCCACGGGGCGCTGGCCTTGCAGCTGTGAGTATGCATACGGTACATATTCACATGACTCTATTGTATGCTGGACACTGCTGGTCCATTGTTGCAGTGTGTAAGTGAACTGCAGAACCTATTCCGTGATGAAACACCTACTCCTGAAAGACTGAATGTTTGAGCTAATAGTCTTTTACTTCACTCTCATGCTGCTCATATAATTATACCATACGCCAGAAGACCCTAAGTTACAAGTAGTTCTAAGATTTTGTGGACCATGTGACCATGTGGTACTTTCACTCTACAGCCAAGTCAACCTCTTCGTCAACACACAGGGTTTTCCTCAGACACAAGCGAATGGTTTACTCCACTCTGGAGAAGAACACAGTTTGCTCTCTCAAACACCAACCGCAGATAACTACGGAATGTACTTCAGAAGTAGGAAGTGCAACAACTGCTAGAATATTGAACTGTCGTCCACACAAAACAAATAAAGACAACTGAAAACCAAACACACATGCAACTGCCAACATGCATGTAACAGCAACTGCAAGCCAGAACTACAGACTCCGCGCAGGGAGGAACAGGGGAACAGAGCTAACGCTTCCGAGAGCTTCGAATAGCAGCGGACAAAACAATCCATCAACCTTGCGTGTCACCTTGCGCTACCGCAAACGAACACCTATGGATGCACAGTGCAGCACAGACTCAGTGCATGCACGGTGTAATAACTGGAGTACATGTAAACCGACAACGGTCACCTTGCACCCTATGCAGTAAGTTACATAGGCGGTGCCAACAAAAGAGCAGGGTTCGTGTATCGTGCACACTCCAATGGCACAGCAGAAAATGTTCTCACCAACAGCCACTGCTAGCTGTTTTGTCATCTTGCTGTGCCAAATGATGCTGTATAGACGCGCCAAGCAGAAATGGACTGCTTATGAGCGTGAACAGGCTGGATGGGGTGACTGATGGACTGTCGGAGTTGGCGAACCACAGAAATCGTGTCGCAACTCTGTATGCTGGGTTGGCACTGATTTGTAAAATGGCCTTCTCAGTATCGCAGGTCATGACGATTGGTGGCAGGCAAAGTCGTAGAACAATGATGAATTGCCTAATGGCTAGGTCGTTGTTAGTAAGATTGCCTGAATCCTGGATGTCAACACAGTCTAGGTCCCACAGATCTGGGATGGTGCAGGAGTCGGAAGTTGCATCAGTTAGAGAAACGATAGCTGGCATGGCTGCTCATCGGCGTAGGTGAGTGTTTGGAGTGACGTGTTCGGCCAGTCACCACAAAACCGACTGTGGTAGGCAGAAACTGTAGTCCTGGCGGAAGTCCTCTGGTGCTCCACGTCAACTGAGACTCCCAGAGGAAATCTGCACCGATCAAGACGACTGACTATCTTACGGTCAATGGCGATACTGGTTGATGCTGCACTAGCTGCTGTTGCGCTAGATGCTGGTACCTCGTCAGCCACAGGCTGGTCAGCTACTATGTTGGTACTGCTGTCAGATTTCTGTTGAGATTCAGGGCAGATCGTGACATGATGGTGACTCTGATTGGTGACCCATGCGAGAACACACATTACACTTGCGGGTGGCCTTGCACTGAGTTGACCGGTGCCCTGTGCGCAAACACACAAAGCAACGCTTCTGTTCAATCAGTTATTCTTTCCGCTGTGCTACTGTTGTGTATTTCGCGCAGCTCTTGTCCAGGTGAGATCCGCCGCAGAATGCACACCCTCTCATACTGCTGGCATTCCAGTTACCATCAGACCGCTTCCTTCTGGTGAACTTGCATGCGCCTGTCACCAGTGCACCTGCAGAATAGTGAGTGACATCTTCTGCTGTAGTACCGCCTGTGTTTGTGCGGCGCAGAAAGGCGTCTTGCATGATAACATAACGCTTCAGTGCTGTTCTGAAGTCATTCAGTTTCCATTGTGTCCCTGCATCTGAAAAGCCTCGCGATTCGTCCAGTTGAATCAGCGTTCGGCATGATCCGTATCTTGGTCACAGCACCGTGTGACGATCTGGTGACATCAGACGGATATAATACACAAGAGACAATTGTGATATTTCTACGTTGTGTTTACTTCAGATACATAATCTAAATAAAAGGGGGGGGGGGTTGTCAACCGACAACCGCTCTATTTAGTTGCTTTTCACTCTTTAGAAGAAAATTCTTTTATTAACTATGTCGAAAAATTATGCGGTTGTCAGTTGACAACCACCCTTTAATTTACAATGCAGTTGCGTGATGTCCACCACTTTCTGTACATAATCTAAGAGTACTAACAGCCACTGACTTCCAACTACCAAGGGAAAGCAAGCCCAAGCGCAGGAGAACCGTGCGCGCGCGCGGGTACGTGACATGTAATATCGTAGTAGAGCTGGCAGGCAAGGCATGATCAGGGGTTCAGGCCCTGCCTGTAAACGCTCTGATTGGCTCAAACCCTGGCAACAATCACGTGACATGTCTGAAAGTACAAGTAGTTGCGATTTATGCTGAAGTTCTAACTAACGGAACACGTGCAGCGCTACACCATGAACCGTGTGGAAACAAAAATAAGTAGAGGAGACACGGGATAACAGACATGAACTCAGGGTCAAACTGATAACTGTGAAACGTGAATGCATGCAGTATATGGAGACAAAACAAAGTCACAGAATTCAGTACGTAACAAGTACTACACACTAACCTCGTACATGAGAATGTCACGACACCATTTGAATTAGCTCTTACACCCCACTTATGTTTCAGTCAGTAAGAGTACACATGCGTACTTACGTTGACTCTATTTTATCTGACTTGTCCAACACCATCGTTGTGAGCCTTCGGCACTTGGGAATACACAGGACGGATAAGATAGCAGCAAGAGCATCTCCCCGCTCTGTGAACACAGCTCAGACGCCATGCTTCATGATTGTGTGCCCATGGAATACAAGGACACAATATACTTGGTGCAGCTAACGAAATGGATGAACGGTCGACGGCCTAAGTGTTCTCCTTCCAAGTTCCTCGATCAACACTGACAGTCACCACATACCATGCTTGATGTTTCAAGCACCATCAGCGCAGGCCACGTTTTTCGGCACCGACGATTTGTTCGTCCACCAAAAGTCGAAACAAATGTTTCTCACTTGAACACTCCATAGAGCTGCCGCTGTTGTTTCCGGCTGGTGCCAGTGCTGCTAGCTGCAGCACGGAGTCCGGCAACTGAGAGTTGGCAAGACTGGCTGATCTGGCTCAGCTGCTGCTTCCGGAGCCCTCAATGGTTCAAACACCATCGGCGCAGGCCACGTTTTTCGGCACCGACGATTTGTTCGTCCACCAAAAGTCGAAACAAATGTTTCTCACTTGAACACTTCGTAGAGCTGCCGCTGTTGTGCCAAGGCCCATTGGCGCATGGTGTGTATACTCCAAACCTACATGTATGATGATGGGTCACTGCTGACGTTTCTGCTCTTGGACAGTGCAACGCCGCATGAAGATATGTTGTGGCTCCACAATCGCTGAGAACGCTAGTGTGCGTCCATGGAATACTAAAACACAATAGGCGCGGCGCAGCTAACGCCCACTTGGATGAATCGGAGTGGTGGCGAGTGCATTCTCCTTCCTCGGTGAACACTGCTGGTCACCCTGTTTGATGATCCACCAAACACCATCGGTGCAGGCCGCGTTTTTTCGGAACCAGCCATTTATTCGTCCACCAACAATAGAAATTAATGTTTCTCACTTGAACACTCTGTAGAGCTGTCGCTGTCGTGACAAGGCCGTGTATACTCCAAGTCTACATGTAGGATGAAGAGTAACAGTTACTGCTGATAATGAAGTTTGCGCTCGTGGACAATACAACGCTGTGTAAAGTAAATTGTGGCTCCACAATCGCTCTGAATGCTAATGTGTGTCCATGGAATACTAAAACACAATAGGCGCGGTGCAGCTAACGCCCAACGTGGATGAAACGGACAACAGCAGCGACTAGAGCGTTCTCCTTCCTCGGTGAACACTGCTACAAGACATTATGCTTGATGATTCACCAAATACCATCGTTGGGGGCCAAGTTTTCCGGCGCCAGCGAGTTGTTCGTCCACCAACTATTAAACTTTGATGAGTCTTTCTTCAACACTTCGTAGAGCAGCCGCGCAAGGCCTTTCCTTCGCGTTAGGGTAGCGATCCTTCCTAGATGATATCGCTATTCATTGTTACTTTTTACTACAATGAGTAGTGTTTCTCCGAAAATAAAGTCAGCTGCCTGGGCATTAGGCATTAGACTGATTAGTGCTGCCTGACGTGAAAGGTAGCGCGGGCGCGCGCGAGTCGATCGTACGCGCTCGCGGACGTGTCTGACACGTGAAACGAAAAGATTTTTTTGGCGGGTAGTCGGCAAAAATTAAGTGACGGTCCCTTTAGTCCTTCGCTAGATTATAAACGCGAAGGACTAAAGGGACGCTGGTCTAGGAGTGCGGCAGTTTTTGCACCATGGCAACCAGGAGTGCGCGCACACGACAGCCACCAGCGCAAAGCGTTGTGTACTAGTAGGCTGCGGAGATCCGGAGAGCAGGGAGAGCGACGACACTTCGCCGTGACTAGGCCTCCGCGGAATATGCCGGCATAATTTCGGGAATTATCGGTGTGATTTTTAAAACAGGAATTATTGGCAATTTTTGTGGAATAATCGGTAAAATTTGAGCAATGCCCCCCTTTTTTCAATTTTTTTCCATTTTAACACCCTGATTTGTACCAAAAAGCTTGTGATCCTGAATGAGTTGATCGCCCGGTATTTCAAAAGAGAAAGAAAAAAAAGCTTCCAGCCGAGTTTCACGCGAACCGTGATTTTTTTGCCCGTACAAGTGGCAAAAAAACCCGTAAGCGGTACGGTATCTGCAAAAAAGGGAAGAAAAAAGCATTATTGTGAGAATTATTGGTGGAATTACGGGAATTATCGGACGTAATTTTGAGCAATGCTCAAAGGAATTATCGGTAAAAATACGAGCATATTCCGCGGAGGCCTAGCCGTGACCATGGTGACCCAGGTGAGCGGCTGAGCGCATACATCTCGTAACTCAAAAGTCAAAGACAGTGCAGAAGCGAAAAAAGCACTGTCTTTGAATGAACAAGACGTTGGATTTATAGTTCCTGAAAGTCACTCTACTTGGATTGGTTGGAACTAGCTTCTTTGCTAACTGTAATGATTTTGTGGAGGAGCGGTTTGAATTCGTTACTTTTCACGACAGGCTGACGCCAGCCTGACTTCTGGCTTGCAGTAGAGCTCTCCTTCCGATCCTGTCAATGGTCTCAGATTTGAAAGAAAAATACTCGAACAGTGATATTATTATTCTATACATCGCTTGTGGAAGGAAAGGGCGAGTGCTGGCAATCACTCAGTCTTCGCAAGTAGAGAATGTCCCTGCTGATTACCAGCTGAGAGACAGCTATTCTGTGCTGTGAAACGAAGGGACGATTCTTGAAGTGGAAGAACAATCGTACTAGATGTGATGATCTACTTGTATGCAATGTCACCCACAGTGTGTACAAACCTGTAGGCTAAAGCCGGTGTTACACTGGGGTTTTCTGGATCTTCAAAGCACCAGAAGTAGTATGTGTACTATTGAAAGCGCCCATTCCGTCTTGGAGGTGTGCATCACATTGACATTGTGCATGCGGTCTTTTACTAGTACATGTGTTTGGTCAGGGTCTCATCTGTGTGTGTGTCTGTCTCTCTGTTTGCTTGTGTGTCGGTGTGTGTGTGTGCGCGCGTGCGCGCGCATATGTGCTTATGTGTCTTCATGTGTGAGCAGTGTGTACTTTGAATGTGCCGTGCACAACTGTTTTGTGTGTGTATGCGCTTGCAATTGCCTTGCATGCGCTTTGAACATGTGTTCGTGTACGTGCTCCGCAGGACTTGTGATTTTGCCTGACCTTTGAAACCAATTGGACTGCCTGCCCTGGCAAGGGACTCTTATTGCCTAGCTTGTTGTTATGGCGGCATCAACAGTAGCACGTAACGCCACTCGACCTGTCGTTGCTTCACAGCGGCTGCTTTCTCGCTCCCGCTGTATCAGTTCGGCGTATTGCCCAGCTGCACCGTGTGGTGAAACAGCATACCGGTGCTCCCTGCTCAGTAGCTGTTGTCAGTACCAGGAACTTGGTGAGTGTAGCGGACACAGGTCGTGGCGAGTACACTGCGTCGCTGGTGACACACCATCACTGGCAATGCCCCGCGTCACGCAGTGCAGCGCGTCACTATTCCGCTCCACCGCGTGTCACAACCGCAGCGTTGCAAGGGCTGCTAGCGCAAGTGCAGCGTCTCCAGCAGGAACAGCGCAGCAACGGTGGCGGAGCACTGAGCCCGGAGCAGAGGTCCCGATTGGCTTCCGCTTGTCATATGCTGTGCGCTGCGATCGGGTCGTTGCTCAGCACCATCCCTTACTTGCTGCAGCAATGTTCCCGTTACAATGCTTACCCGGGTGTAGCCAGCAACGGACTGCGATCTAGTGTATCCATATTCTCCACGTGTACATTGGCGCTTGATGACATCATCAAGTCACTGCTTACGTCATCGAATACTAAGAGAGATTTCGCACAGGCTGTGTCAGCACTTGAAGAACATTCAGAGCTGCTCAGGGATCACGCGCAGCTTTTTAAAGTCATCTACGCTGTCGTGCAAGTGGCATGGACAAGACTGGCGACCTGATCGTTGATCATACTCAGTTTCCGGACGACTTTCTGGACACTGCTGAGAGTATGGAGCGGAGAAGCTTCTATGGACGGTGCCTCGGCCTTCATGTAAGTCACTGTGAGAAGTAAGGTGGCATTTGTATGTGTGCTCTGCGACCGTAGAGTACAATAGCTGTCCGTGGTCTTTTGGATACTCCTACTCGATCCCCCTTTGGTGCGTCCATGGAGCTATAAAGCCGAGACCTCTGGTCGGCTGAGCCCCACCACCACATGCACACTCCATTATTCACCCCAGTGTCTGGAGATAATGTGGATTTTGTAGAGAAAAAAAAGAAGAAAAAAACATCCGAGTTTCAAAACAAACAAACAAAGGTGTTAGCATGTCATGTGCGGTTGACGTTGACGATTTGTTCTGTACCATGCTCAACACTCTCTTTTTGCTGCAGAGTGCCAGCTCTGAGCCTTCTAAGGCAGTCATCATTCACTTCCATGGTGGAGGGTTTCTGGCGCAAACGTCACAGTCACATGTGCTAGGTCATTGGAAACAAATGGGTGTGCTTTGCTGCCACCATGCTCCATCCATTTCTCCGCTGCCGTAGCCAATAAAACAAGATACTGTACCATGTGTGTAACACGGATGTGCACCAGGTTTTCATTTGGCCCCATATACAATAGTACAGTACTGCTCCATGACATCCAGTCGCGTCACTCAAGTACGTGCCGGGCGTTGCGCAGCCCTAGACCTGCGAACACTGGGCTGCGAAATGGTGCAAGGCGCAAACTTGACTCGCGTGACCGGATTTCATTGAGCATCACTGTACATAATATTAGTATACCCTATGCATGTGTCTTCCTTGCGGTGTATTGTTCATGCAGAGCTATCTAAGCCACTGGGCCAACCAGCTCAACGTTCCCGTGGTGTCCGTTGACTACATGACGGCCCCCGAGCACCCGTACCCACGTGCCGTCAACGACTGTTTCTACGCGTACGCCTGGGTGCTGAGGAACGCCACCAGCCTGGGCACCACTGCCGAGAAAGTCATCCTGGCCGGCGACTCGGCCGGAGGTAACTTTGTCTTCGGAGTGGCATTCCTCGCTGCGCAGTACCAGCTTCCGAAGCCATGTCTGGTGCTGGGCGCGTACCCTGCTCTGAAAATCTCACTGGATCTGTCACCGGCACGCTGCCTAAGCGTAATGGATCCGCTGTTACCCATTGGAACGCTGCGGGCATGTTTGAATGCGTACCGGGGAGTGGCAGGTGAGATACCAGTTCTTCTTTTCCTTGGAAATTTCACTGTATAGTGCATTCCTGGGATTAGCAAATTAGAATTGGCAAACGTTGGCATCTTTGGATAGTGACAGCTGATAAGAGGTGCATAGACTGTCACTCCAGTAAAAATTCCTTCGGTGCAAATAGGATTGCCCATTTCACAATAATATATACCCTTACCTTGTAATGTGAACAGTCGGCGTGGAGACAGTAACTTGTAAAATTATAGCTAACGTGGTTGCGATATTGGTGTGTGACAAGCAAGGTGGCATGAAATAAAAGTTAAACTTCAACATTAAATACCCAGGGTCTAACACCCTTTTCTCCTTTCATCGGGTGTGGAGTGCTGTTTCGACGACCCTGCGTATCCTTTCCCAGACCTCAGGTGTGAAGTACCTCACCTGTGAATCACTGAGGTGGATGTCCCCTAGAGGTACGCTCAGGGAGTACGTAAATACCAGCGTTTTACTACTCCCTCATACGTTCTACTGAAGTTTGACTGTATGCGACGTAGTGACAATGATAGGCGTTACATTACTTTGTCCACGCCAACGTAGGCACCTTCTCTGGGAGGTTGCTCAGTGCACCCAATGTGAGAGCTGTTCGCACAATATGGGCCGGAATTGGCTGTAGGCTGCAGTCTCCCTCTGCGTGCGTGTGTGTGTGTGTCCACGTGTACTACGGTGAAACTACACCAAGTCACGTTCTTAGCACATCGACAATCAACTTTCACACTTCATGTCTTGTGCTTATGCAATGTGAAAGAACCTACAGTGCTGCTCAATGAAATCCAGTCGAGTCACTCACGTACGTGCTGGGCGTTGCCCTAGACCTGCGAACATTGGGCTGCGAAATGGTGCAAGGCGCAAACTTGACTCACGCGACCGGATTTCATTGAGCAGCACTGTACTTTAAAGTGCTTTGCTGTGACTTTGTCACTTTCTGGTTAGCTGTGATTTTGTCACTTTCTGGGTAGCTGTGTATGCTGTGCACAACCGGATTTCATTGAGCAGCATTGTATGGTTTTGTCACTTTCTGGGTAGCTGTGTGCACATCACCTCAAGCTTTGATTTTCATCACCTCGAGCTTTGATTTTCATCACCTGGAATTGAAACAAAACTGCGTCGCTTCCTTTGTCCTGCTTTCTTTATCTGATGCAACGTTGGTGATGGATGAGGACAGAGAGCTCTGTGACTAGAGGCAGGTGTTTGGTGGACGTGGACCGTGTGACTTGCCTTTGCCCTTGCTATAGTCTCCTTAAAGTCATCGGAATCCACTCTCTCAGTCTCTCTGTGCTCGCGCTGCTAGGCTATGCTGTGGATGTACTCCGCAATGCTGATTGCTCTGTGAGTACCAGTTCATGGTGTTCTTCTCTTGTCCTGTCCAGCACGCCAGAGTATCACCCGAACACCGGTCACCTGTCACAGCTGCAGTCGGGCATCCACCAACGTCATGCCACCATCCTGAATGCTTCGCCGGCCTACCTCTCTCCACTGCTGGCCAGTGATGAGATGCTGCACAGCTTACCATCGGTTGCATTGCTGGTAAGCCACTATAGCACACATGGCAGTACGGTATGAGCTATGTATTCACATACCAGTAGCTGAGGAGTGCTAATTCCGTACTTATCGTATTGACAAACTGGCCTATTGATCAGGAACTGTCCGCAAATACACCCCTGTCCAATACTCTTTCGAGAAGGAACCTTTCCGATGCCCCGGAAAACCCAAGCACTGCTATACCACACGTAGGTGTGTGAATTGTGACTAGATGCAATAGTCATGTACATGTAACTAAGTCAGGCAACCTTACAACATGTGCAATGTTGGAAGTGTGTTTCACCAAAAAGGAGACCTAGAGTAGAGAGTCTTCTGTGTAGTCTCTACATGTGACATGATGAGCATGTAAACAACCTAATTCTGAAGTACAGTCATGCACATGTACGTACTTCACAGGATCTGCTGGAGCCACAGAGTCAGAGGTCAGCAATGTTGTGACAGGCCCTGGCCTGTAGCTCTGGGTCTGGGTGTGATGTACAGTCAGATCTCGCTTATCCGGATCCCTCGCGACCCGGAAGAAAATAGCTGGCTACAGATTTACAGCATACGTGATGCATCCAATGTAACCGGTGTTCGGTTATCCAGTTCCCTCGCCTATCCGGATATTTTTGTGGAAAACGGATGTGTGCGGTTAAGCGAGGTCTGACTGTACTGTTAGCATTTTCAAGCCTTTAATACTGATCAATGCAAGGAGCAGTCTGTGTGTATTGAGTAGCGATGTCCGGAGCAGCTAGTCTGTGTGTAATGAGTAGCTGGCCATGTGAGTTCCATAGAAAATCGATTGTGCCTGAGACATATTGCGTGTCTGGGAAGGGGTGTTAATTGAGAGGTTAAGCTTTACGTGACACGAAAGTTCAGCTCGCGCGTTGGAAAACAACGCAAGTGACCTGCAGCTCACGTCGAAATTTGGAGGTTTACGCCTAATTTGACGTGATATTGCGCATCACGTCAGAAATAACGTGCAGCTTAACCTCTCTCTAATAGTCAGTCATGTGAAGTGTACACAGAGCACCTTGGTAAGCACATAATTATAGATCATCTACATGTATGTGCTGGACCCTGCTAGGAATGGGAAGGTGGGTTACTAGCACCCCTTCCACAGAGAGTAGTGTGCAGTATGAGCTGATAGAACTTCCATGACAGCGACCTCCATTGGAGAAGGACCCCTGCTGTCTAGTGGAAGAGTTGCCTGAGGCTCAGCCGTACTTCTTATCGGTATCTTTGAGTACAAGAACATTTCAAAATGCTACATTATTGTGCTCCTTTGTGGGTGTTCAAGTAAGAAAGCTATGTTTCTTTGCCGATAGATTTCTTCGTGCTATGGGTCATCTCTTACTCTGTGTGTGTGTGTGTGTGTGTGTGTGCCAGCTAGTTCAGTTGGTGGGTACACTTATGCCTGTGTTGGGTATGTTGCCAACGGGCTCGGCTGCTTGAAGGTGTAATGTTGTACTTGCCACCTTTGTTGGTTCCAGGGTTCATATACTTTCTATTTGAAGTATACATACCTGTTAACCATGGACTGCTTCTGGCTAGATTAACTCTTGTGTAATCGATGGTGCTAGTGATGTCTAATTCAGATCCAGCCTGATTTAGCCACCCGCACTAGTAGCAAGTATTACCTCCACTGGGGGCAGGGGTAACTGCAGTTGGATCCCAGGACGGATACCCTGATGCCGTCAATCCTTTTTCTGCACCTTGTCCACACCCACTTACTGAGGTGTGGTGAGCCCATAAGTGGGATCGTTTTCAAGTCCACCCAGAGTTTTGGGGATTTCAGGGGGTGTCGGCCGTTGGGCGGTTCAATAACCAATTGAGTCATCTTTCCAAGATTCCTTTAGAGTCTCTCTCCCCTCTCCCGGGGAGACCCACGTGACCAGTTTTGGCAGTGAGCAACAAGTACAAGTACAGGTGTGTGTGTGTGTGTGTGCGTGTGTGTGCATGTCTCTCTCTCTCTCTCTCTCTCTCTCTCTCTCTCTCTCTCTCTCTCTCTCTCTCTCTCTCTCTCTCTCTCTCTCTCTCTCTCTCTCTCTCTCTCTCTCTCACACACACACACACTCTCTCTCTCTCTCACACTCTCTCTCTCCATCCGTTCTGTTGTACCTTTCAGCCAAGTTCATTTGACCCCCTCTTGGATGATTCCATCGTCATGGCGCGTCGTCTGCACGCACTCGGCAAGGATGTGACACTACACCCATTCGACGGAATATCCCATGGCTTCCTCAACTTCCACGCAGTCAGCCGCTTGGCGCAGCAAGCCACCGACGTGTGCATTGAGTTGATGGACGCAGCAATCAAGCAACACGACCAAGTTGTTTAGTCGTGATACAAGTAGTCCCTATTGCAGTATGAGATGTCACCACTCATGCGTTCTCAGTGCAGCACCGGACATTTGCCCATTGGCACTCATTTTACGAGTATTGAACTATTTAAAAAAATACTTAAGCAAGGTCCATAATTAGTTTTATTCCCGTAGCTATGCAGAAGACGTTACTTCAGTAACGTCTGGCGCTAGCCAGGGTCCACACAGCTTTAATTTAGTGTTTGTGTGTTTGTGTCACGCCTGGCGCTATCCCGTACCTGTCCCGTACCGTACCATCAAACACAGCTGGCCGCAATATTCAAATAGGGCTTTCAACCGCAAGATCATAACGTGAAGCAACTTGGAAGAATGAGTATGAATGCGAAGTGTATGGGGGAATGCATGTAGGGCGATAGTGCGGGTTCGAATCCCAGGTAATGCCCGAAAAAAATAGGAGAATTGAAAAATTTATAACATCCAAAATTTTTTTTGCCGTCATCAAGGCGGTAGACGGTGTCGTATTACCCTCGACCGTACCTATCCCGACCGTACCGTACAATCAAAAACGGCTGGCCACAATGCATATTCCAATAGGGCTTTCAAATACAAGATCATAACGTGAAGCAACTTGGAAGAATTAGTATGTATGCGAAGTGTATCGGGGGATGCATGCAGGGCGATAGTGCGGGTTCGAATCCCAGGTTTAATATGTCTAAAAACAAAAAGTAGAAACTTATAAGAATTTATGACATCCCTATGCTTTTTTTTGTCTCGGTCATCAAGGCAAAAAAGCATAGCGTAGGGCCCTGAGCTTCCAAGCTCTCTCGTTACCAAGCATCAAGTTGAAGTGGTTTGGACATGTTGCAAGGCATCAGGATAGCTACTCCCACTATTTCTTGGATGGAATAGTGCCTGGTTCTTGGCTGCATGTAGTCTAGCCTATTTTGCACTAGCGTGACCCATGCTACCGGCATACCGACAGCTCCTAAACAAAAAATAATGCGGTGCCCACGTTATTGTTGATATAAATATGACTGTGGCTAGTAGGGTAGTGAGTCAACACAGTAAAGAAATATACACCAGTTCTATGTGCGATAGTGCAGATCTGATACTTGCTGGATATAACATTGGAGGTTAGCGTCAGTATGCACTTGGAACACTAGGGACAGTCCAGCTGTCCTAGATGACTACATTATCATACTCCCATCAGAGGGTGTACATGATTTAAACATACACACATAAAACGAGGCACTCAACTGTGAATGTACAAAGAGCCATGCGAACACGTAGTCTATGTCTTTTTCTTAGCCTTGGCGCGGGGCACCTTCGTGTGCGCGGATGCCCATGCCTTGAGGGCAAACAGCTTCTTGCCCAGGTCAGTCAAGTCGACACCAGCTAGTTCAACCTACAAGTACACCGTGTAAACACAGAGATAACACTGTGTTACATGTGTGTATCAAGACTCGCTGACTGAAGACTCACGAATCATGCATGCTCATATCACACGTGCGCATGCGAGACAGGAGACAGTTTGGGGAATGTCATCACACAGGAAAACAATACTAGCACATCGTTACACCACTGGCACTATGATAGGCATGTGACGTCACCCGGATGATGTGGATACATGAATGCAAGGGAATCCGGCATGTGAATACAAGAACACAGACAACAGCACAATAAGCACACAGCTACAGGAAACAACGCGAGGGGCAGTACCCAGAGCACACACAGGGAAGCGAACAATCACATGATCCGCTAGGCAGCAGCAGGACAACAAAACAGCCTAAGGACTACGAGATCTCGTATACTTAGCAGCAGGACAGACACATCCATTACTGGTCACATCAGCCGGCGGAGCACCCGCAACATACCTTGTCCTTGATAAGCTGTCCACGATTCTTAGCTCGTTCTGAGCGGAGGTTGATGGATGGGAACATCTTTACAAATTGAACATACCTGCAGAGGACATTGTAGGTCCACAAGAACTTGTCATAACACGAACCCACACATAGCCTAGAGGGATGATCCTTTCCCACCAACGACTACTATTCAAGACTTCAAGTACCATAGTACAATACATGTCAGTAGCCTATAGCGATAAGCAGCCCATAATTAAGTTCTCCGTATTCCAGGAGGGTCTAGATGCTGCTAGATATCCGGAGAGCATCATCTACTCATGTACCGTAGACCAGAGCTTTATCATAGATATCAGTCTGGTTGGTGAGAACTGAGTAGGCGGGAAAGCACCTAGTACAAACCACTGCATCAAACTTTAAAACAAATACGGACACACACACACGAGCGCACACTCATACACACAGGCACACGAATACTCATATACGTAGCAGTGTTCTGACGTACCTTGCTCGCGTGCTGTTGTTGGGCCGACTGCCGTGCGCCACACGCTGGTCCCAGATGAGTAAGCTGCCAGCACGCATGGGTACTCTCTGGGGCTGTTTGTACATGGGATCATGGCCATGCACAGGTATAAAGTTCTACAAAGAGAACACAGAGATCACAGGTAACAACCAACCATTTGAATGGTAAAGTAGTCGTTGTTGATGAAATCCAGCCAAATAAAACATCAGTACCCCGCAGCAGTACACAGACAACTGTCCCTGTGGGCAACAACTGTATGGTCCTGACCCTAGTTGAGCATGATAAGGCTGGATTTTGCTGGACATGACAGTCGTTTTAAAAAGCAGCACAGTCCCGGAGAAGGTTGCAGGAGAAAACAAGTAGCTGTAGAGAGAGTTTGTTTTTTGCAGATTTAGATTTATATTGCTCCAGGAATGGTCAAGGGTGAACAAGGGTCTTGTCAACTGCACAAAGGTGTTGTTTGTTGCTCGGACCGCGGTCACGTTCTCAGTACTGAATATCACACCAGCCTTGTCGCGCTATACATTGTGCCGTGGTGGTCACAGGTGAACGCGTTGGAGTGTCGCTTCTCAACAGAGCCTACAAAACAAAGTCATGGCGCGTGTGCCGTTATCACCGTTTGCATGAAGCCTCAGATGTCGCGGAGTGATTCTTAGTTTCTTACCTTGACTTTCGCTCAGCTCCCCGGCAAGTTTTCCTGTTTCTGTAGTTACGTCATGACCAGTATGGCACTCAGCTGTGGGGTAGCTAAACGATGAACCTAGTAGGGTGCAGAAAAAAAACACATATACATCATACATTAAAAATCCGGTTTGCATCAGCTGTGGATTTTTCAACTCCCATCCTCCCAGTCCCTGCAGAGAAACTTTGGTATAATTAGTCTGATGTGATATTGAGTCGCGTGATATTGCAAGATAACACACAAAATGTCACACATTGAGTGCCAGATTAGATAACATTCATATCACTTATGTTACATGGACAAATGTGGGCACAAGTTATGCGATTGAGTCTACCAACTAAGCCAGATTTTGAAGAGTCAGACGTGCACAATCCAGCACAAAACTGACAAGGAGCACGGAGACATTCCACGGCATGAAAGTGCCTTGTGCCCACATTTTTCCATGTTACAATTTTTTCTTGGCTCACCGTCTGAGTTCCAATCTCTTATGTGTTGAGTTATAGTATTCTTGAATTGTGTTCAGTTTATCATCATTATAATAAGGTCGAGCATTGAAACGATTGTTTTCAGAATCAGAATATTCATTGAAATGCTGATAAGTAGTTGATACGTGTGGATAACACAAGTGGTTATTTGTAGAGGTTATTCTTCTGGCAACTTTTTATTTCGCCATTTGTTTGGATAATGAACCTACCGTTCGCACAGACTGAGCTCACACAACTTCTCAGCTTCAAGGGCAGTCGTAACTGACTTCTTTAGTTTCTCCAGCTGGGTGTTGTGTCCTCCGCCTTGTTTCATGCTGTCAAACTAACAACATGTGTGAACTATAACAAGGTTTATCTAATACTAGTATTGTACTAGTATTGGGTTTGTACAGTCTATATCCAGCCCACTGATAATGGTGCAGAGCCACTCCGTTTTATGTGTCTATCAGCACTGCTTGTTGTACTGTTGTGCATTATCATACTACTACGCATTCGTTCCTCATGTTGTATTCACGTCTGATGCGCGTAGTCGCGTACACTGCTTTCATTCCTCATGTTGTATTCACGTCTGGATGCGCGTAGTCGCGTACACTGCTTTCACTTCTCATGTTGTATTCACGTCTGATGCGCGTAGTCGCGTACACTGCTTTCGCGCAATCTTTTGATTTGAATGTTTTTTGAATCTCCGCTTCTGCTTCGAGAGAAGCAGAACTTTCCTTTGTACTGCAAGATGATTTCGATCAGAGTCAGAGTAAAACATTATAATACAGTCTTCTAAAACAACGAGTCGTGTGCTATCCGGAGGCATGTTCGAGTAAGAACAGGGTTATATAATAGTACTTGTCTGTATCAGAGGGTCCCGGGCATCATACAGGCGTAGGAATAGGGCCTTTGTAAATAGCTGCCGTTCTTTGCCAGTACGGTAATGTTTCTGTGGGCTCTTTTACCTAGGGTTTTTGTCTCTTTTTTGTGTTCCAATTGATTTTTACTTTTTATTTTTGTGTTTAATACTAACATTCATGCATTTTTATGACTTGAGGCTGCACGCGTGCTAGAGTGTACGTGAAGTGTGTGGGTACAGTGAGGGCTGCGTCCCACCCGCCTGTGTGGATTCACAGGAAGTGTGAGTTACGAAGTCTGAAGAAAATGTTGAACGGTCTCTGCTGGGATGACGACTACACCATAGCTCAGTGGTTAGAGCATCGCTAGCTACAAGCGAGGGTCCCTGGTTCGAGTCCTGGTGGTGACAGTCAATTTTTTGTTCAGACTTTTCCCGTTTGTCTCTTTCCCTCAAACTAGTGAAGATTCATGCATTTAAATTGATTTTTGTACTTCAAAGTAGTTTACTGAATTTGAATTTGTTTGATGATATGTGCAATTCATTTTTCCCGCACAAGAGGCTTTACTAGTACTTACCTGCGGAGGCATTGGTTGTGAGAGTTACCACCTCACCCTCGCAGTTTGGCGCTGCATCCCCTCTGAGATGAACGGCTGCTGAAAATGTTATTGCGTCTGCGTTGTTGTGACTGCTTTTGCTACGCTGCCTGCTCTTCTTGACATTGCTGCTGCTACGAGTACGAGTTCGTACTGCAGTCTTCTGTCTTGGCAATTACTGCACTAATAAATAATATTGAAGTGATAATATTCACTGGTACAGTGGTAGAATTATTAGAAGTTGAAAAAGACATCATGATATTGATAATACTAGTAATCATCGAAAGAAGTGAACATGAACCGCTTCGAACACACGTTCGGCAAATATTTTTCCCTTGGCCGCGGGCCTAGCCTGGCCGTAGCTGTAGCTCAAGACTGCACTCGTACTGGGTCACGGCGAAGTGTCTCACTCGCTCTACCGCCGCAAGTCTGGAGCGCTTTGCGCTGGTGGCTGTCGCGTGCGCGCACTCCTGGTTGCCATGGTGCAAAAACTGCCGCACTCCTAGACCAGCGTCCCTTTAGTCCTTCGCATTATAAACCTTGTTTTAGTTGTCACTGTTTCCGAACACGGTGTCCTTGTTACATGCTGTCAACCAACAACATGACATTGTGTGATGACTGAGTCTGTACTGTATACCATGGTATACACTATACAGTAAACTACAGTTACTTACTACCTTTGTAGTGCAGTAAACAGCTAAACTGAGTTTACTGCATGTCTTTGTCAGTGTGTGATCGAATCATAGCGACTACGCCTACCGCCGCTTACCTGGCGCCGCGTGGCACCGGACTTTGCAGCGCCGCCGAACTGTGCGACTACGTACGTGTAGACTACATGTACTGTAGCTGTAGTGTAGTGTAGACCAGTCCAGGGAGTCGTAGGCCGGGCACTACAATGTCATGTACCATGTACTACAGACCTCAGTGCTGGCAACTGAAATCCGATCCCCTTGGCGGCGCACCGCCGCGCCGCCAAGGGGGTCGGATTTCAGTTGCCAGCACTGCAGTACAAGTGTCAAGTACAGATACGACTCCCTGGTAGATATGACTGTGTCTGTGTACCTGGTGTAGATCTACCATGGTGTACAGTCAGTGTACTGTACTAGCAGACGATGAACAAAACAACGTCAAGTCAGTTGAAGTCACACAACTACATCATGATTGTATAGATGATATGCCAAATAAGCCCTCGAAAAGTTGAGAGGGCATGCGATTGATGCTCCCAGGCTTAGCTTGTCAAGTGCACGGGATGTGCAAAGTACACGGATTTTAGGCTTGTCGCGTGCTTATGTGATCAGGTGCTGCATGTGCATGAATGGAATGCATGCAGTTCCACCGTTACTAGTTTTAGCACTTCCTTCGGCATTGAGATTACTGAAATTATTAAAGCTGTAAATCTGGATAGAAGAAACAGTTTTGCTTGCTTTATAGCGGCTGGAGTGATTTTTCGCTGTCTTGTTTTCGGATGCCGACCAACCACGACCATTGCTGTGTTCCAGGATGTACTGGTGACCGGCGTTACTCCCCGGCCCCAGCAAATGGTATTCGTCTTTTCCATAAATTTCCATCATCCTGAACTGTGGAAGGAAATGGACTGTTGCTATTCGAAGGGAGGAAAGAGAAGGAGAGTAAAAAAAAGGTGACACTACAGTGGTGTGATCTGACCATTTCTTGCCAGAAGATTACGTACAAGGGGAGAAAATCGCCAGAGCAAGACTGGTAAAACATTTTGTATCTGGAGTTTTCAATCTGGTCCACCAAGACAACAGCGGCTGATGCTAACCGGCGTCGCTCTACCTCGTGTCGCGAGCTACTGCACAGGAGCTGCCTGAAGACATACGACTCATACCTAGTGATATCCCAGGCATACTGTCCCTACGCTGGAGGAAGCATTCGACAGTATTCAATGCAATGGGTGACTGCAAGAATAAAGTAGCAAGATTGAGCGAAATGACTAACAGTCGCATGTTTGGAGTTCTAGTATCCAGATTCAAAGACAAGGCATCATAATCAGTAACCTTGCACAACACACTCATTCTACGCTTCCAGCGGAGTCTCAAGATAACATTTGGCTACCCAGCAGCCACCATTTGTCACCGCCACAAAATATTCCAGTCGCCATCCATTATAACCTTATAATAATTATTTCGCCTTCTTTTTGCCTTGTTTTATAAATGTGTGCATGGCCGCCACAGCCCCCTCTTTGCAGAGTTTCCTTTGTTTTTAGGTCAAATATTCACCCTACGCTGGCTACGGAAGCCTTGACCAGGGGATAGTACACCCTCGCTTTAGCCCTACCTAATGCTTCTTCACGACATGGCTTCTCTTTGCAAAACATACAGGTACCTGGTCTCTGATAGCTGGAGTTTTCTTCCATCGGGGTGCTGCTAGGCAGCCTCCTTCGTCATGCCGCAGAGGCTGCGTAGAAGGCTGTTATGTTATAACAACCTTCTAAATGTACGTAACCTCCTTAGCAATACGTAATGGCGTAGTATGCAGCCTCGGTTTTTCATTCAACTTTGTTTTACCCACTTACCTCGAGCACCCTGTAAAAAGGCGTATTGTCTGCAGGGATTGCCCAAGTAAAATAATAAATACAATACAAATAGAACAACTCCTATTTGTGCTGGCCCTGACTACCAGCGAAAGCACATGAGAAACTGGTTGCCTGGAGCAATGACGGAAGAAACGCTGATCTCACTCGGGTGAGGGATGAGGTGAAACCGCGAAGCAGTCAGGGTCTTGCTTCTCAGCCTATGCCATATGCCGCTGCCAATCTGCTGTTGGGTACGGCGCTCTATTGCTATTGCTTCTGTTAGGAGCACCTTCTCTGTGATGTGGTATAAGGAAGGCGGGATTTTCCAGTACAAAGGCAAATCAATGTTGCCAGTGTCAGTATGCCCAGGTGGTTGATAAGGAGTTTTCATAAGTACGTTCCTTGGCCCTTGGGCCCCATTGCTGTTGTTGCTAGGTTGCATATGCCAGGTATCGACCTTTCATCTCACAATAGTTGAGGGTCAGCAGCAATGCAACAATGACTATGTGGTGGAAGGAGCATGCAATGCTGCAGTGCAAGTGCAATATGCAGACATCACTTCCAGTACATGCTTTCCTCTAGTTTAGCACTGTAGCACACACTTAGCTCTCCTTCTTCTTTTGAGATGCCCAACACTTTGCCTTGACAAAGTATCTCTGCGGTCCAGAATTATTTGGCTCTGGGAAGCAACACTCAACACTGTAAACGAATGGCGAGAAGAAGGACTCATCCCCGAATGGTTTCTGTGTCGTTAGGTACCTTTCTCGATTCTGAAGATGCTGGAGTACAGCACTAGCAGAAACACCACATAGCTAATCATCCGAGCGATGGGTCCAGGCCTCGGCGGGAAATTCTGCGTCTGTTTTTTTCTTCACCGGAGAAGCAGCTTCTTCTGTTCCCGAAGCAGATGGTGTCAAGGTATTTGCTGCTGTAGCGACCAGTGAAGGAGGAACGGATTTTCATCGCCCTTTCGCTGCTCGGCGCCGACTGCCATCATTGTGCCCTGTCCTAGGCTCTGGGGCGTTGGGAATAAAATAAAATCTTTCGGTCTTACCTCTGCAACAAAATTAATCATCTCGCTTTCCATCTACCGGTATCTCTCACTCACGTAAGTTTCAGCTGAGCAAAAGTCCATCTAGCAATCGTTTCGCCCACAGGTGGGCTCGCAAAACGAGAAGCAATTGCTGGTGTACTTTTTCTTGCTGCCATATCCGGGTATCAAAATGAAAAATTGAAAGCAAACTATGCACAAAGGTGTCAGAGTTCCTTTTCTCCATCCGAAAATTTTCTCCGACGGAATGCTAAAATGCGGTAACAGTGGAACTGCATGCATTCCATTCATGCACGTGCAGCACCTGATCGCGTAAGCGCGCAACAAGCCTAAAATCCGTGTACTTTGCACATCCCGTGCACTTGACAAGCTAAGCCTGGGCGCATCAATCGCATGCCCTCTCAACTTTTCGAGCGCTTATTTGGCATATCATCTATTGTACTCGTACAGTAGTAAACTGTTCACTGTAAAGACTAAAGACTACCGGTAGTATTACATGTACTATAGTAAAGTAAAGTATTAAAGGGGAAGTTAAGGCAAAAATTAAAATTTCACCAGTTGTAGTCTTCGGGGTGCAAAGTCGAATGGTCTTGGTCCGAGGAAGCTGAGACGCTCCCTTCCTACTTGAATCCCAATCGAACTCGCGCACTTCCACCGAAACTGGGTGACTGCGCCCTACGAGATGGGGATTTGTATGCAAAATGTCACTAAAAGCGCCATTTTGTTCTTATAAAAGCACGGATGACCGCGATTGGCCCATATGTTGTAGTCTTTTGGACGCTGAGTCGATTGGTTTTGGTCCGAAAAGGCTGCGATGCAGCGTTCCTCCTTTATTCCCAATCGAACATGGTTGAAGAAGCGGTCACGTGCTCCTGCGTACACCAGTCACCTGGTCACCGTGCCTGCAGTAGGCCTAGCCCAAATTTGCTCGGGGCGCTTCGATATTTTGCCGGCAAATTTTGCCCGATCACTTTCCATATTTTGCTAGGCATTGCCTTTCATTTCCGATATTTTGCTCCATTTTGCTCCTGCTTTGTGGCAAAAATGGCTTCGAATGAACCGTCTACTTTGGTAAAAATGGATGGTGACTCTGATGAGGAAAGCAAAACTTATAATTGTGTCAGTATTACGGATTTTGGAGCATGATTTCAAATTTATGTACCCCTGACAACCTGCACGAGCTATTTCAGCACGACGTTGGTCCAATGAAACCAACGAAATTTGAATAAAATTGCCAAAACACACCCGGATCCTCTGTAAATTCGATATTTTGCTCGGAATTTGCCAGCAATTTCTTTTCGTTGGAAAATTCGATATTTTGCTGGAAGAATTGCCGGCAAATTTGGGCTAGGCCTAGCCTGCAGGGTACAACTTAGCCTGTTTGACCTTTTTTGGGTGCAGTCCTGTCACCCGAGTTGAACTCGAGTTGACCCTTGGTGTGAAAGTTGTCGCCTGCTGGCGTGGTGACCAGGTGATTTGGGCACCCAGGAGCACGTGACCGCTTGTTCAACCATGTTCGATTAGGAATAAAGGAGGAACGCTGCATCGCAGCCTTTTCGGACCAAAACCAGTCGACTCAGCGTCCAAAAGACTACAACATATGGGCCAATCGCGGTCATCCGTGCTTTTATAAGAACGAAATGGCGCTTTTAGTGACATTTTGCATACAAATCCCCATCTAGTAGGGCGCAGTCACCCAGTTTCGGTGGAAGTGCGCGAGTTCGATTGGGATTCAAGTAGGAAGGAAGCGTCTCAGCTTTCTCGGACCAAGACCATTCGACTCAGCACCCCGAAGACTACAACTGGTGAAATTTTAATTTTTGCCTTAAAGGGGAAGTTAAGGCAAAAATTAAAATTTCACCAGTTGTAGTCTTCGGGGTGCTGAGTCGAATGGTCTTGGTCCGAGAAAGCTGAGACGCTCCCTTCCTACTTGAATCCCAATCGAACTCGCGCACTTCCACCGAAACTAGGTGACGGCGCCCTACTAGATGGGGATTTGTATGCAAAATGTCACTAAAAGCGCCATTTCGTTCTTATAAAAGCACGGATGACCGCGATTGGCCCATATGTTGTAGTCTTTTGGACGCTGAGTCGACTGGTTTTGGTCCGAAAAGGCTGCGATGCAGCGTTCCTCCTTTATTCCCAATCGAACATGGTTGATCAAGCGGTCACGTGCTCCTGGGTGCCCAAATCACCTGGTCACCACGCCAGCAGGTGACAACTTTCACACCAAGGTTCAACTCGAGTTCAACTCGAGTGACAGGACTGCACCCAAAAAAGGACAAACAGGCTAGTAAGTTGTACCCTGCAGGCACGGTGACCAGCTGACTGGTGTACGCAGGAGCACGTGACCACTTGTTCAACCATGTTCGATTGGGAATAAAGGAGGAACGCTGTATCGCAGCCTTTTCGGACCAAAACCAGTCGACTCAGCGTCCAAAAGACTACAACATATGGGCCAATCGCGGTCATCCGTGCTTTTATAAGAACGAAATGGCGCTTTTAGTGACATTTTGCATACAAATCCCCATCTAGTAGGGCGCAGTCACCCAGTTTCGGTGGAAGTGCGCGAGTTCGATTGGGATTCAAGTAGGAAGGGAGCGTCTCAGCTTTCTCGGACCAAGACCATTCGACTCAGCACCCCGAAGACTACAACTGGTGAAATTTTAATTTTTGCCTTAACTTCCCCTTTAACTTCCCCTTTTAGTTTAAGACACAACACAAACACACCATCGTCATCGATCACAACATCACTAGTGCACTGACTGCAGCCTGTGCAGGCTGCAGCCTACGCAACTGGCCAAGCTAGCTGGGACACGGTCACAAGCTGGCTGCATGCTGCGCGGGCATGCATGGCGCATGGAATACTCTACTTGTCACACTTTCCTTTCAAAGTTAGTTAGTTTATTTGTTTTGATGATTTTGAATAGCGAATAAATACTAAGGCGTGCGAGAGTCGAGTGCTATCGATCGTAGTAAGTGCGCTGTTTGCGCGGAGACAACTTCCCACTAGTAATATTTACGGGGAAATCAGAATAGGTGACTTGTTTTATCGGAGTACAGTAAACACTCCATGTTCCAACCTTCACTGTCGGAAGCAATTCTGTGGCTGAGCTGAAAGAAACGATTTGCATGTAGAGGGCACCTGGAGCAGCGGTATGCAGCTGAAAATGGCTAATCGAGGCGACTCTCCATCTGACAACAGCGATGAGGAGCAGAGTAGTTTCAAGCTGATAGTTCGTAATCTGTCTGATTCCATATTCACCGACGACGACGTCAGGGTGAGGCTTCACAGCTATCTGCTTTCGTTATCTGCTTCATAATCTTCATAATTATTATTATAACTATGCATGCTGACCCGTCGCTGGTTTTACGTTGCAAATATTGGGCGGAGCGCTGACACAATTCTTCTTTCCTTCTACAAATTTGCACCAGCAGGAAAGCCTCGAACGACTGTTCCTGAGCTTTAGCGTCCACGCCACTTTCCACTACATGAAAACATTCCGGCGCCTGCGAGTGGCCTACTTGAACGAGTCGCAGGCAGAAGCCGCTAGATCAGCGCTCCATGGCACCATGTTCGAGGAACAAAAATTGTCAGTTTTTAGAGCAAGAGAAAGTCTTACCGAGGTAAGGGCAAATTATTCTAAGGGGCCGTCCGTAAATATCGATGTTTTTTTAGAGACGATATTGGTGCTTCTCTCCCTTGACCCCCCCCCCCTCCCCCCAGAAGACGCACATGTACATCTAGATCATGGAATCAATATTTTTTTCAAATCCTTGTTCAGACAGTAGGGAGGTTCTGCTCTACGTTTTGGGAACGCGACGCAAAGAATCACGCGAACTTTCTTCGCGTTCCCGTAACGTAAAGAAATGCTGTTCTGCTCTACGTTTCACCTAGAGAAGTCACGTGGAATGTGTACTGGGAATTTCCCCTTCCATATTTGGCAGTTTTCTGCATGCAGTTGATCGATACCCAGCAAATCCGTACGCATTTTCTCTGCGTGTGCCACAACGTAGAGAACCCCATCTCCGCGTAGAAATCTGGAGCCAAAACACGCGAAGCCGTAGACTCTAACCCAGACACCTGCTCTCTACGTGATTTCTCTACGTTTCACGTATAGCAGAACCTCCCTAGTGAAGACTGGAAACTCTTGTGGAGTTCGTCCGTGTTTGTTCGCACTGCCTCTACGTCTTGAAAAAGGTCTCCTGCAGGCATCGTTCGGCCGATTTCCACAATCAATAGCTCATTCTTTTGCTCTTGAAATTCGCCATGGGCGTACAGCTTCCAATTTTTGATTTTGTTCTTGTGTCGCGAGTTTTAGCTCCGCGAACGGAAGCTGGTTTCACATTTCTTCTATAGCCATTTAGACGTCCGCGTGCAGGGATCGGCGAAACTTCAGATATTTACATCGATATTTTTCTGATGCTCGAAAAGACGCACATGGCTCAAACCCCCTCCCCCCCCCAGACGCACCAATATCGTCTCTAAAAAAACATCGATATTTACGGACGGCCCCTAAGCGTGTGTACTATTCTACAATTGATAGATTTACGATATTCTGAGGATTTCGCAAAGTATTTGATCAGTGAGTTTAAAATTAGGAAGAACTTCATTACTTATTCACTACCACCATACATATTATGTCAACGCGGAAAAAGAATTTCATTCTGGCCACATCACTGGTGGAGAGTGCAGTACAGGGTTGACTGTAGCCCGGTGGCGATATGCAGAACATGACGTGCACACGCACGCGTGTACGCATGCACACACGCGCACACGCACATACCTCTACCTTGACCAGTGTGAATTAGCAATAGCCAATGGAAAAAATTCTTGGGTGCACTGACTGGTGACACCTCAGGTAGCTGTTTCTGTCGTAAAACACAAGGCAGCAGATAATTATAATTATGGGAAACTACTAGTATCAGAGGGCTGCTTTGATAGTCAACAAGTAGTGGCACATTAGTCCGAAAAGGTACTGAGCAACTGCATTAAATTTTCATTTGAATCCCAGCATTGGTGGTTAGATTTACAATTGCACATCGGAGCTTCAATATAACAGTGTATACCAACCCGAAATCGGGTTTTCCTTTGCTCGAGATAGCATTTTCATAACGCAGTTTTGCTAAAAATTCAAAAATCGAATTTTGGTAAAAGAAAAACTGCTCCACACGTGATCCATCAGCTCAAACGCGGGAACTCTAGCTTCTTCTTCACCTTTTTTCTTTGCTCGAGGAAGTGTGCAGTTGAAGTTTTCTGTTGTCTGAGTTTTCGGTATGGATTCCCGACCTCGGGATGTTTTTTCGCTAGTCCAGCAGGCTCTGGACCATGCTCTACGCCCACTGGAGAGGTGTTTGGCACCCCTGGAAGGCCACAACACGTCGATGCCCGTGGGAAATTTGGAGTCCAACTCCAGGCAAGAGCATGACTCGCGAATCGTGGATGGTGCATGCACACCGGAAACTGATCCACTCCTGATCCCGGTTGCTTCCCAATCGGCTGACTCCTCTTTGGCAAGGTCTACTGCATGCAGTAGTCATCCCGGTTGCTTCCCAGCTGAACGAAAGGACAGATGGTCGTCACGATTTGGACAAGACCAGGGGGACAGCGACAGTAAATGCCACAAGCCTTCGGAGGCTTCCCATGAGCCATTTTTTTTCAAGGGAGCGGAGCCCGCAGGGACGGGTAGACCTCCGCAAGCCATGCCCCTAACCTTCCACATTGCTCCGCTTCCTGGCTGAACTCCCGGCAAAACCCTTGCACGTCTTGCGTGACTTCTGGACCTCTGGTCAGCTGACGTCAGCGTCTGGTCTGACTACCAATTCGGCAGCTCGGATGTCTCTGGACCTCCAGGTCGGTTCAAAGGGCATTCAACTCGAGCCACTGCATCGTCGACGGCTGGAGCTGCTGGCCTGTCAGCTGATGAGGTCATACGCGCCGTGGGCTGGAAACAAGAGTCTACATTCCGGCGCTTCTATTTCAGAGATCCAATGCCTTCTGCTGTGCCAGCATCTACACGGCCCTGAATTTTAATTCAGGGAAAAACGATGCTGACAGTGTGCTTCTTCACCTATGTCATGATGGTGTGAATGTATGCAAACACATACCGTGACTATGCTGTACTAATCCGTTAGTTTACCTGCGTGGGGTACATATTACTGTGCAAGTAAGTTACGGGACAGCCTTTATGTTAGCGTCTTGCCATACTGGATTATGATTATGTTCCCGATGTTGGTTTTCGTGTGGCCACACACTTAGTTGGTGTTAGGCCCTTGTGTTATATTCCCGCCGGGGTGTTCTGGTTTGCTGCTGCATATCACCGGCGCTCGTAGTAGCCATTTGTGCATAAGATAACTGTTGCCACGGATGCCGGTTGATGTGCGCTGTGAAGTATACACTGTTATATCGAAGCTCGAAGCTCCGATATGCAATTGCCCATTTCACAAGCAATGATGCATTGTGATGTGAAGTGGGGATTGTATGAGGAGCGGAAAGCGGAGATATAACAGTCCCACCCTGGTACCCTCCCAATAAGATCTATAATGCGCTGAAAAAAGGGTGAAGAAGAAGCTAGAGTTCCCGTGTTTGAGCTGATGGATCACATATGGCGCAGTTTTTCTTTTACCAAAATTTGATTTTTGAATTTTTAGTAAAACTGCGTTTTGAAAATGCTGTCTCGAGCAAAGGAAAACCCGATTTCGGGCTGGTATACACTGTTATATCTCCGCTCTCCGCTCCTCATACAATCCCCACTTCACATCACAATGCATCATTGCTTGTGAAATGGGCAAGTTTACATCAGTTCAGCGACCTGTATTGATGCACTACCACTGTTCGCACGAGCGAGTTTACTGCCATGTCCTTGGCCATGGGTACTTGACGCACACAGGCGCGTACCCCGTATCCTAGTTAGCATAGCCCGGTCACCATACCTGCGAATGCGGGCTAGCATGTGTACTACTACACAGTGGAAATAGGTAAAACATGGCGAATATGAGGTACATGGTCACCACACCACAGATGTGCGAGCTACGCCCCTGGTACGTACACTGATCGTGAAACTCCATTGTGCAGCACGTGAGACGGCATCGCAGAGTCCTGTCGTTCCCGGACTGCTGAGGAAAGCGCAGCGTTGTCATCAAGCTGGCCCGGTCTTAAGCCTGATTCATACTTCATCCCGCATACGGGAAACCCATCGCGTGACTGTCGCGCGATGGGTTTCCCGTACGCGAAATAGTTGAGCTCAGATCAACTTTTTCGCGACGCGACGCGTTTCCCGTACGCGACATGAAGTATGAATCGGGCTTTAGTCAATGATCATAGGGGGAAAGGAGTCATGTCCTTGCCGGTCGGTTGCCAACGAGGTTATCCTCCAAGCCGCTGTGTTCAATGGCCATGCCGGCATGTAGGCAGTGGAGCACTTCACTGGTCTAGCCCCCCCCCCCCCCCCCCCCAGCTGCCCGGAACCAAATGTGGCGGCTGTTCGGGGATGACAGGGGAACGATGAGATGAAAGCAACTTTCAATGCGTGACTGTCTGTCACATGCCTGGACATATCGAAGAATCCTTGGTCATGAGACAACTTTGTGAAGGAGTGGTCCTACTCATCAAAGATAAATGTAACATTTGAACGTACACCACTCTCCCAGTTTCACACTGTGCTGCATCTGTCTAGACATGGCATGATTGGTGTATCGCCATTTTGGTTTACCATGGTCACATGATACCCATCCTCCCTACTAATACCCATCCTCCCTACCTCCCTCATGATACCCATCCTCCCTACCTCCCTACTGATATCCTCTATCTACTTGGTCCTGTTGTGTGTGTGTGTGTGTGTGTGTGTGTGTGTGTGTGTGTGTGTATGTGTATGTGTATGTGTTTGTGTATGTGTGCATGATCGTGTGTGTGCATATGGGCTTGTGTGTGTGTGTACGTGCTTGTGTGTGGTGTGTGTGTATGTGTGTGTGTGTGTGTGTGTGTGTGTGTGTATGTGTGTGTGTGGTGGAGGGGGGTCACTTACTGTGAGCTGTGGAACCATGGGAAATTGGTGAATTCCGCAGTAAAACCAATCTCCTTCATTTGCAGTTAGGCCGTGAGCTTATCGTATGTGCTTTGAATACCCCCTGCCATTGTTGTGAATGGCATTCGAGCACACATGGAAGCATGGAAAGAAAAATGTGTGGGGGATGATTGCGATGAGTGGATCTCAGTCATAGCATGATCCAACATGTATATGCCGGGTTTGTGTGCGCCTATCACACGCGCATGTCAGGAAGAACAACAGCTGCATGCCACGCAAAGCATATGGAGAGCTTTTTCCTCACCACTCTGGCTACAAACTAGTACATGTTGTTGGTTGACAGCACATAACAAGGTGGAGGACACCGTGTTCGGAAACAGTGACCTTTCTACAACCATCCACGGTCGGTAGAGCCCCGGTCTTGCGACCATCTGAACCGTAAGGAACAACATGTTTGAACAAACGAGGTTATCTAATACATGCACCATGCTAGTACATGTATCAAGCGAAGAGTCTTAGCTGACGTGTCTGGCGGGTGTGAAATCCATTTTTCGTCTGGCCTTGTATGTTCGTGTTTCAGTGGAAACGATGTCTCCATCTGTTGTGTTCTCGTGCTTCCTGCAGCTCTTCTCCAGAGGCCGGTTTCTCAAGCCTCCCAAACCGGAACGGATGGAACTGATCTCGCCGCCTCCGTCACCGCCTGTTGGCTGGGTTCAATCTGTGGAAGCACCGCCAGTTGTGGACTTTCAGCTGCAGGCTGCTGTGGCAGGCCTAGCAGAGTCTGGATCAGTGGTTGAACTATACAGTGGCGAAGGCTCATTGCCGACGATACAAGTTACGTCATGTGACTAAGCATGTAGCCCGCGCGGTCATCATACTGGAACCTGCTCTCGTGTTGTTTTCCGTGTGCCGCCTCACTGGCCGTTACCCGGTTGACCTGAGGCTGATGGCTGTCTTCACCGAGTCACTGTGGCTTGACAGCAGAGCCAGACACCTAGCGCAAGGTGGGAACATTGGAGAACTTGTGTGTCACCCATCGGCTCAGCTAGCCAGTGCTCGTAATGTTTCCGTGAGAAATGCCGTTGAATCGTGGACTTGAATATTGGCGCCTTGGTCACTGAGATCGGCACAAAACGGTTGAACATGATGTAAGTGTTGACTTGATACTCTGATGAAATATATTGTTACTGGACTGACTCCGGCAATGTATAATATAACATGGCCTTGCTGCAGAGTAAGGGTTTGATATTTTAAATAATTGATTGACTGCTATTTGGTGTAGGTGTTCTTGCTTCTGGTTTGGTTGCCGCTTCCCGGCAACCACTGATTGTGAACATATCTCAATGCTTTCTTTTTAAAACACTGCTCGCTTGCTGCGGCGGTGATATGTTTCTGCTGAGTATTGTACATGTGCCTTGAGCTGTTTTAAAATTAAGCGTGAGTCACAGACTCTCTTCAGCTTATCAAGCTCTGTCTTTCTGCATCTAGCTACGATGCAGGCACTCTGCTGCCGTAAAAGTCCGTAAATAAGTGCGTACCCGAAAAATGTAACTTATCCCGGTCTTCATGTTTTTGACTCTGCCTATTGCGGTCCGGCATGAGTTTAGCCCGAAATAAGTACCAATAATCAATATGGTTTTCACATGCTCAGCATAGCAAACACATCATACAGTGTACTTATGCATGCTGCTGCAACACTAACTGGAGAAAACAATTCTCCAATACATGCCATGGCAAGTCGAGTCCAAAGTTTAGTCCGTGCCCGAAAGGTGTTACGAGTGCAGCCACTAAATTCGAACATGAAATACTTTTTACATATTTACGGACTTTTATGGCAGTCGCCGGCTCGGTTGAGGGCCTGCCTGATGTACTGCATACTTCCTAATGCCACCACAGGCCTGTGGCTTCCCAGCCCTGCCGATGTGTTGGTGGTTGGTGGTTGCTAGCCATGCCCTGAGTTTTCCTGGGGCTGCTAAGTCCGCTGGCTGCAGTACAGTACCGTCGGTCGTCGAAGAACTGGGGGGGGGGTCAGCCTTCTACTGAGCCTAGACCGTTCTTAATTTCATGTATTACAGTCTATGTACAGTTGAGTGACCGTGTATACATTGGTATGCTGGGCTGGCCGTTCTTCGGCGCTCCGTTCTTCGGCGCCCGACAGTACCATGGTACAATGACTACTACCTCTCTGTTTTATAGTACAATGACTATGTAGTGCTCAGTTCCCACGTCTTTACCCACAATCCTGATAATCAGTGAAGCGGCCATCATTGGCCCTGCTGTTGTACACTGCTGCATGAAATGAACTGCCAAGCACTCACCATGTGTAAAGATTTACTCACTGGTCCGCGTGGATTGCTGATACGCGGACATGTCGACATCGGTGCTATACTGTATACAGGCTGAATTGCCACACAAACTGTGACAATGAGCCTGCCCAAGCCGGCCATGATCGGACACGGCCCACAGCAGTGTCCATGCACGGCATGATGGTGTCAAACTATAGTCAGTACCCTACACTGTGCAGACTACCGACCCATTCCCAGACACAGTCATGTGTGCAGACTGCAGTGACTGTTAGTCTGTACTCTGTATGCAAGGAGAAAGAGAACGTCAAAACAAGTTACATGAGAGAGAATGCCACTTGTCTTTGTCAGCATTGAATCTACGTCTTGTACATTGTCATTTGTGTCAGATTCTACTCTGCTGCATGACATGTCGACACCTTGAACATGTGAAGTCTTCATTAATTTTCTTGGCTTGAATTCGGGAATGAACGAGGAGTTTGTTTGACGCTGGAATACAATCTACCACGGATTTGCAAAGTAGCCCGGATCTGGATAGGTTTATTGCATTACCCGCGTGATGTTAACAAACTTTACTTGAAAATCCCTTGGTCGACCGGTCCTTCACGTGGATCCCCATGGATTCAGGATTATTTTTCAAATAATTCTATGTCCTGCACCCTGGAATACCTGTGCAGAGTCGACGAATCCACCAGCTGTGGTGTATGTGCACATGGCAAAAATGCAATGAACCAATGAAACGAGAAAGAAATAATTGCAGATGTGGGATATGTAATCTTGTTCAGGCGCAGGTAGTCGTGAAATACAATAATGGCGAGCGAGGAAGATTTGATTTCTTTGGCAGTAGTTGGTGCGCTGTCGGGTGTAGCTTACTGGTCATCGAATTACTATATACCAGCTCTTGGCGAATTGTTTATCAAAGCTCATCTCTTTGGACGTGATCTCAACAAATCTTCTGATGCCAAAGTGTAAGTCATTTCATGTTGTGGTTGTCCGCCATAGCTACAGAAGGCCGCGGATGTGAACTAAGCTACTGTCTTCAATATAAAATTGGTTGTGAAACAAGTATTTGGCGATACGTGTAGTTATCTTCTAATTCCTACATTGAGCATGCAAAATCATTGCAATGTGAGTACATGTACACACTGGGAATGGTTTGGTAGAGTGCTCAAGGTCGCATTGGAACATCAGCAGAGCTCCCTATCACAAAGAAGACAGGTGTAGTTTCAGAGAATGTTCAGAAGTGAAACCCTTTTTCCAGAAAGAGTCCTGGGGCATGAATTTTGTTACCAAAACCAATCACTCTCTCTCTGTCATACTAGGTGACATAATTCGCATCTTTTTTGGCGCTACACTCTGCGTATATACTGCTCTTGTGTGGCTTCCACGGTATTCATTGTTATTACCTGATGATGGCCAAGAGCCGAAACGTTGTAAAATAACGGAACTGGTTCGGATGTGATATGCAGCGCTATGGGAATGGGTGTGTCCAGCCGAATTCTTTTCACAGATGAAGCTGCAGGAAGCCTCAGCCCTTCTTCAAAACCAATCAAACATGAAAATGGGCGTGTAGCAACCCAACCTGGTGTAGTTCACGTACATTACATATACCTCCTTCTATTGTGCATTGGAATCGTATTTCTATAATAGAATGCTCAATCTCCAGACAGCTAGCTGTTTCGACCTTGTTAGGTCTGATCGGCGGAGCTCAGAGTGGCGGACTGACCCCAGTGATCGCAATGGAGTCCAGTGAATAGCAATTTGAAACAAAACATTAGTGGTCCAACGGGTAGCCCAGGTACTAGTACCCGAGAACTCGCTCCCTAGATGATCAACTCGGTAGTGACCGGGTACTCGATACCACCTGCAAGTGAAGAAAATACACATTTCGATATTTTGCAGGGAAAGTGCAAGCAGTTCAGACAAGAAACACAGTCTCTGTCACTACATCCTGCGTACATGCATGGTATGTGTAGGGCTCCCTGAACAAAGTGAACGCAACTGCTACCCTTTTCCAAGTTCGTTTATTATTGAAACTGCTATATGGAGGAATTTAATTTTTTACACATTTCCTTAGGGCCGGGTTCCACTGCGGCTCCGCTGCTCTGCTGCTCGTCTTTCGCGGCTTGAAACGTCATCATTACCATAGTGACCGCGGCTCGAGCTGGAGCAGCGAGTCCGCGGCTCACCGCGAGCTTTTGCTACGATTCTTGACCAAAAACTGCGAGCCGCGGTCGCGGCTCGACCTGTTTCCCGTACTTTGCATTGTTTTGTACGCCAGAATTTTAAAATTCAAATTTTAATTCGTTGCGCAGGCCGCCAGAACACGAGGATTTTTTTGATTTCGCGCGCGCGCGCGCGCGCGCAGGCAGGTGAAACGTCATCAAAAAGTGTGGAGCACGACCGCGGTACCGCGAATGGCGAGTGTCAGTGGAACCGCGCTGCTCCGCTGCATGCAGCCAAGTGCCGCGGAGCCGCAGTGGAACCCGGCCCTTACAACCCCCTCATGGCTAGCACTCTCGGCACACTGCATACATCATTGGTGAATAATGTAACGCTTCGACATCTTCTAACTGGGCGACCCCTCCATTCAGGAGGGTGAGCAGCAGCTTTTGGCCGGCTCATTACAAATTTAGTCCAAACTCCTCCACATGAGCTCTCCAGCCGACCTCATTCACCATACCATCCAGCACCACGACCCCCAGTTATTGAAGATAATGGCATAAATTCCTCCATATACTATATATATAGTAGCAGTTTCAATAATAAACGAACTTGGAAAAGGTATCACCCGGTGGACATGCCAGCCGGACTCGTACGGCGACAGCCGTTTCTGGTGGCGGTGTGGCCGACGCAGCAACACAGCATCGCCGCCCGTGAACGGGCACGGGACGTCAGGCTCGTCCATGAAGTCCAGCGCTGACAGCTCGCCCTCCAGGGAATCTCTCGTCTGGGCGGCTTGCCTCCGTTGGCGATCCATCCATGCACTCTCCGAGAGTTCCTCCAGATCTCTCTGCACCAGCAACTCGCGTGGCTCCCAGCCGACCATGGCGGCCATCGGCGAGATCTTAGTGACCGAGTGCGGTCGGATGCGGTAGTAGTGCAGCATGAAGTCTAGCGCAGACTTCCAGTCGTCGGCATCCTCCAGCGTCTTCCGGATGAGCGTCAGGAGCGTACGATTGAATCGCTCAGCTGACCCTTGCGACTGAGGTTGCCTCACCGCACCATGATGCACTCGCACGCCGAACGCGTCGAACACGGCGTCCATGATTGCGTTTACGAATTCGGTGCCGTTGTCGCAGCGGACAATCTGGGGCGGGCCCCAGCGAGTGTAAACCGACACGAATGCCCGTGCGACGCTAGCTGCATCGTGGCGTGGCAGCGGCACCACCTCCACCCACTTGGTGAACGAATCGACGATCACCAAGACACAGTGAAAGCGACCCAGCTTCAGCGTGTCAATCTGAACCGTCCTCCACGGGCCGCTCGGTACGCCAGGCCGCGTCGGGGGAACACGTTCACCCCGCCGTGGACTTGCGGCCGCACAGGACGGGCAGCCGGTAACGTATTCCGGACACCGCGACACCATTGCCGGAAAGTAGCACCGGGCTCGCAGGAACCGCCAGGTGGTCTCCCATGACGAGTGGCCGGTCTGCTGATGGGCGATGCGCACACCGGCATCCTCCAGCGCTGGGGGAAAAAAGCAGTGGCACAACGACCACCTCGTTGGTGGGCAGCTTCACGCTCCGCATCAGCATACCGTCAACCACCGTCAGCTGATCTTGTACCTTGACGAAATTCGGCACGTCGACCTTCACGCCGGCGACCGTCTGCTGAATCACGTTGACGATGACGTTGTCGCGCAGCTGGGCGGCAGCGATGTCGTCCAGCTTTAGTGGAGTCAAGGGTGTGGACGCCCTGGCAGCGGCGGACACCTCAGGCTCGACTGCCGTAGCCTTCATCGTCTTCCAGTACCGACCCAGCTTCTCCGGCACGCGCGTCAGCTTGTCGGCCAGATTCTCTGCCGAAGGCACCCACTGGACATCGACCGTCAGTCCAGACGTCGACACCAGATCCTCGATGATGTCGAGACGGCACAAGACAAGGATCTCGTACAGCCCGCCGACCTTCACGCGTCGCAGGTTGTTCAGCAGCGTTCCCAGCCATCCCGCCACCGTCTTCGAGTCAGTCATCAGGGTGACCGTCGTCAGCTTCCACTAGACAGCAAGGGTGAGCGCCTTGATCGCCGCGTCCAGCTCGGCGACGTTGATGTGACGCCGATCCTCCTTCGTGCGGAGCCAGCACTTGTCCTCGATGACTTGTCCTTGTCCTCGATGACAATTCCGTCAGCCTCGAGGACGACGCCATAGGCGATATCGGAGGCATCGCACCATGCCTTCCATGGACCCGCCGGCTGCGCATCCCAGACACCGCGAACTGGATCCTCGTCCTGGACGCGCGCCGCCACGTCGTCGCACAGCGCCTGCAGCTCGTCCTTTTGTCAGTCTTATTGTTCGTCTCTGTCAGAGCAGTTTGCTTTTCCGTGTTGTCAATATAAATAATGTAACAAACAAGTCTTGTCCTTTGTGTCCTGCGTCCCGGGGGACGGAATGGCTGAGATTCCGTTACAGGGTGTTACAGCTTAGTACAGCCGCCGAACAGTGGTTAACAACAGGTGCAGTGTTGCTACTCACATTGCCTCGTGCCCACACAGTATACAGTGTAATCACCAGCCGACATTGCTTCAGTCTTGTGTGAACCTTTTTTTACACTCTTTCATCATCAGGTTCTCGAAAAGAGATCGATAAGTTCAGGAGCCGGGCCCTCAATGTATGGACACTGATAGAGAACACCCTGCTGTTCCCTTTACTGATGGCTCAAACTGAACAATATTACTTACGCCATATTGGTTTTGGATTTTGATTCCGTCATCACTGCTAGCTGGAATTGAAATTAGAGTAAAACCTGTGAAGGCGACCACTCTGATAAAGCGACCACCTGTCCTAGAGGACCACTACAACTAGGACCAAGGGGTGTTATTTCCAGTCGAATGACCCTGGATACGGAGACCACCTGTACATGGGGACCACATTTTTGAAAGTCCCATGAGTGGTCGGCTTGGACAGGTTTCACTGTACTTAATCCAACCCCTGCTGTCATGTCTTGTATTCTCCTGCAGACCTGAAGCTCTCGGCGTTGTCGCTGGCATGGTATTTCTGGTGACTCGCATTCTGTACCTAGTGGTCTCCTCAATCTCTGAGCTGGCGTTCAACTATGAACTGAAGAGGTTCTCGCATGACGAGGTACATGACGCACTGAGGGAGGCCTTAGCGTATTGAAGCTGTTTCCTTTCCCTGCCCGAAACCGTGCTCTCAGTCTCTGGCCTGTATTGTTGTGTATGGTGGACCCTTGAAACCGAACAGGGCCAGCTTGTTGAACTGCCCGTTGTCACTGTTTCATGTTTCATTAAACCGTGTGCTTGCCTACCCGCTATGGACTGCAGGGCATATTTGCTAACTGGTGCGCTCCTGAGTAGTCGATGGTTACGCTTTTGAAACGCTCCTTTCCCTTTGCAACTGTACCTTTGACTGCTTCTTCTGTGTGTAGAGCGCAGTGCACGCAATTGCACTGATGCTTTTCCTTGGCTTTGCCGACGACGTGCTGAACCTGAAGTGGAGGCATAAGATCGTCCTGTCCACGCTGGCATCGTTTCCTCTCGTCACCAGCTTTCCCGGCTCGACAAAGGTCATCTTCCCCAAGCCTGTTCGCGGCGTCCTCGGCACTGAGTTTGATGTTGGTACGTGCCCTTATGCGCTCACTGTGGTGTGCCTGTACAGTGCAGCATATGTGCAATCTTGAGGAGCTGCTGATTGTTCACCTTGTGTACTGACTCTACTGATTCTAACCTATCTCAATGTTGGGGGTGCCTCTGCACACAGATCCTTTCAGAGGCCCTCCATCCACCAGGAAAACGAATGATGCCTGTTTGTGCATGTGCTATTAAAATGTTCGTGTTTCCTGCAGGAATTCTCTACTACATCTACATGAGTATGCTGGCAGTGTTCTGCACGAATGCTATCAATATCCTGGCTGGTGTCAATGGACTAGAAGCTGGACAAACCATCGTTATTGCAGCCAGCGTACTTGCTTTCAACCTTGTCGAGTGCTTTGTGTACGGGAACGCCGTCGACCAGCATCTTTTCTCCATCTTTCTCTTCCTGCCGTTCATTGCCGTGACCGCTGCATTGCTCAAGCATAACTGGTATGTTACACTCACACACGTGTATGTGTGTGTGTGTGTGTGCATGTGCACGTGCCAATGTGTTTGAAGTGACTGGCTTGCTTATATAGAGTGTCGTAGACGCATGCTTTGTGACTGTGGCCGTTCACCAGCCAGTGTCTGGGCTTATAACTAAACTGGACTAATATTTTCGCTGATCCCAGTGTGTTCAGTAGAAAAGAGACCATAGTTGCAGGCTTTTGGTTTATGGTCTCTTGTCAGCAGTACTGTAATAATCCAATATGATGTAACCATTAGTCATGTGATGTGCTGTGTACCCTATCTTGATGATGGTCCCTGTCCAGGTACCCGTCACGTGTGTTTGTCGGCGACACGTTCTGCTACTTTGCTGGAATGACTTTCGCCGCCGCCGGCATCCTGGGCATCTTCAGCAAGACGCTGCTACTGTTCTTCATCCCACAGGTGCTCAACTTCCTGTATTCGGTACCGCAGCTCTTCCACATCATACCTTGTCCCCGACACCGCATGCCACGGTGAGTGAGGAAGAACGATTCTAGTGCAATGTCTTGTGAGTGTGTGTGAGTGAGTGTGAGAGGGAGAAAGAGAGAGAGAGAGAGAGAGAGAGAGAGAGAGAGAGAGAGAGAGAGAGAGAGAGAGAGAGAGAGAGAGAGAGAGAGAGAGAGAGAGGGAAAGAGAGAGAGAGAGCACAGTTTAATGTGCGTGTATAATCGTGTTTGAGACTGCGTTCCAAGCTGGCTTGGGTTTTAAATATTATTGTACCGGCTTCCGTAGCATTTCTTGCAGTAGCGGCAATGATTCCCAGATTGGCCATCGGTCATGCTTGTGCAGATAGAATGAGCGGTGCAGCTTTTTTATTTCTTCTTGGCGTTATCTGTACTGTGCTTTTACACGAATACATTTGTATGCCTCTGTTTGATTGACCTCTCTTCCCGTAGGGTCAATGCCCAGGGCTTGCTGGGCATGTCATTCACCGAGTTCAACCCCGATGAGCTGGGTGGTCTTGGACGGCTGATTGTGAACGTGGTGAGAATGTTCCGCTTAGCCCACGTCGAGAAGATTGACGACGGGAAACGCTTGCGTATGAACAATCTCACTCTGATCAACTTTGTCCTGTACGTGCTGGGACCGGTGCATGAGCAGAGCCTCACAATCATCTTACTCTTCATTCAGGTAAGAAGGATTATTGAACCTTGCAATGGCTCTCCCTTCGTTCTCTTTTGTTACTCTCCGGCTCTGTCTGTTTGTTCATTTGTCTGGTGGTCTTATCTGTTGTGTCTGTCTCTCCATCAGTCTGTTTTAATCTGTTACCTATTGCACACACCCGTGTCTACGTTTTGTGTGTTCTGGCAGAGAGAGGGGCATGTCTTAGTGTTGGTGCTCGTGCTGGTTATGTTCATCGTGGTTTTGTGTACGCGAACCGAACAGGTAATTTTTGCATTTTTAACCTTTGTGCTCACTTTTCTGTGGTGTCTGTGTATCTACTCTTTCATTCCTGCAGCTACTTGGGACATGCATGGCCTTTGCCATTCGCTATCCACTTGCCTGGATGTTTTACTGAACCCTTGTACCTTTTGCCTTTACTTCACCCTTCCCAGCCCCAGATTGAAATTATCTGTATTATTCTACTACTAGTATTAGTTAGTTTTTTGTAGCATTCAATTCATATATGCCCAGAGGTTCCTGGCTTGTGTCTTGTCATCTTTTCTTCTCTGTGATGTCTTCCGTTTCTGGAATGATGATTTTTTTGCAGCTGGCCTGCGCTTGACAATATATATTTTTTAAGTCCAATGTTCCCTCTGGGTGTGTCCAGCCTGTGTGGAGAAAAAGGTTGTCCTGCACCGCTTCTCTGTCCCCTTCCTGGCAATAACGCCCATGCACATGCATCGCCGCTGCAGGCACTATCACACCCATGGCAGGGCTACAGAATGTATACAATGTACATGGCCCCAGAGGCCCAAAATGAGTGTCAAAGAGGCACTGTCAACCAGGCAGCAGCATATTAATTTTTAAAAATGAGTCGAATGACGACTCCTGGAGACTGAGAATGTAATGAGACAATGCCGGAGGGGAGGGCAGGCGTGGTTGGATAACCAATTTATTGTGCAGTGCTCGTACTGTGGCTCCGGGAGTCGTCAAATACTTGACGACTCCCTGTATTATGTATATGCTGTATTTAGAAAAGCGATCCTGTCAGCTTTTCTATTATTGTGTTCACATGGCAGAAAAAACGACATCGCTATGCTACGTAAGTTTCTACGTAAGGTGCTCGGTATTTCACTTAGGCTACGTAAGTCTCTACGTAAGGTGCTCGGATCTACACTGTACCAACGGGTGGTAGCCGCGTGCTGTGCACGTGCACGGCAGACATTGTGTTGCATGCAGTGCATGCAGTCCGTGTTCGGATGTGCATGCGCGAGGAACTTCCTCCTTTGGAACTGCTTCTTGTATGAGCTGTTTCGGATATTTCGTCTCCTGGCCTGGCTTATTTCGTTTCGGCGCTGCTGAGACCTCCTTTCGTGGAATATTACTCAATGACAGGTGAGTTGACCAGTTTCCTTTGATTCATTTGCTTGTGTTGACTCTTTCATTTACGAAAAGTGTGCCTATTTTGGGCGGAATGCAATAAATAATGGAAAAGCTGACAGGATCTCTTTTCCAAATTCAGCTTTTCCGCTGCCGAGGCCTCCTTTTACGGAATACTAGATGACAGGTGATCTCTGAGTTAACCGGTTTCCTTCGATTCATTTGCTTATGCTCACCCTTTCATTTACGGAAACGTGTGCTGATTTTACTCGGGTTTAGATCCATTTTTATCTCTTTGTCCTTGTCTACAGTGTGCGAAGAACGCGAGTTCACCTTCTTGACGGCAAGGCTTATGTTAGATGTGTTGTCGAAATACTCATGTTCATTGCACATTGGTACGTTACAAGTAAGGCACTGGTCAGTGGCATACTATCGTTGGCAGTTCCCAATCTGGAGGGAAAGGTTCAAGGACTCATTGACCGAGTTTGCCAAATAAATTCGCATATCAGGAAAAATGTCCATTGTGGAGATGTTCAGTAACTTGTTTGCTTCATACGAAACAAGCCAATGGGTGCAGTCTAGTCTCGTGAAAATCTCGTACTTGTATTATTGGATTTGTTTACTCGAGTCTGGGCTGTTTGATTTGTGAGTACTGGCGAGATTGCACTGCCCCAAATAAAGTTTCGTGCCGCCAAAGCAAGAAATACGATCTGCAATCTGTTTGTAGTACCTGCAAGAATGTGCAGTACATGTATCATACTTTCTCTGTTGCTGTCTCAGTTGCCGTCATGTTGCTAAAGAAAGGTTCAGTACGAGGTGAATTGCTATTTCTGGACATTGTACATTTCTGGACATTTCGAGTAAAATAATTTTTCGTCGCGTGTAGAGTCAAGTCAGTCAGGTTGATGAAGTTTTTTCTTGCCGTAGTTGACAGCTGCAGCTGGGCTGTTGTAGTTTCTCCTCGTGTCGGTGCCTTGTTGATAGCCTTTGCTTGTGCGGCATTTCAACGGGTTTTGTTGTACTATGTCGCATGAGAATTTTGAGTAAAATAAGAAGTAATGGACGAATCGTTGGCTTCCCCATGTGCACTCCACTTCAGACGCTGTATAGTCTTGGGCCTGTTGGCTGGAAGTGTGAAGAGGCCAACTGCAGTCCACCAATAGAAAAAATAACCAAAATGGTGCAGTATAGGATGCCTATTGACGCTATTTTACTTTCATGTCCAGAATTCCATACACTGAAATTTAGGCCGAAAAATTGGCCTGTCGAAAACGTCCTGCTATAAAGTCTCTGGGATCACAGCATGAGCAATTGTCACATATTTGGAAAGATGAAGGATTAGACCATACAATAGATACAAAAAGATATGAAAAATGTGAAACACACAGCCAGTGGGGCTCTATTTTATTTTCATGTCCAGAAATTGCTATTCACCTCTTAGAGATGTTCTGCAAAACGAAAATTCGAACGAAGTTTCGCGACAGTCCTTGTGAAAGTGTGTACGAACTTTGCGTTCTGCATATTTTCGTAGTTTGCGCGGGCCAAGTGCACGTACGCCAGGACTAGTGCTGACCCGAATTTGCCAGCTGAATCTCGATATTTTGCGGCATAATTTTGCTCGTGCATCGTCGAAATTTTGCTTTCATTTTGCTAGGCCACTCGATATTTTGCTCCCTTTTTGCTCCAAAATTTGTGTCACGTGTGAGAAAACTGACCGAAAGTGGGTTACGTGTTGGCAAAAATGAGAAAAAGTGAGTCACGTGTTGGTAAAATTGTGCCGAAATGAGTCATGTGCACCGTATATGTGTAAAATCTCCCAATTCCCAGCCAACACACCGATATTTTGCTCCATTTTGCCAGCAAATTCCCTTTCAAAATTCTTCGATATTTTGCTAGAAGAATTGCTAGCAAATTCGGGTCAGCACTAGCCAGGACCCGATCTCACGAAATTTCCTAAGACAGTTCATTTCGCGTTCCCTGCAAGTAACTTTCGCGTCCAAAGTTGCGAAAGTTTGTGCGAATTTTCGCACTTCAAAATGTAGAGCGAAAGTTTATACGCATTTTCTTTTTGCAGAACCTCTAGTGACTCATTTGTTTCATACGAGGCGAATGAGTCGGCGTGGCTTAGAATCTTTCGCTGTAGAAAAAATCTATTCGTATGTCTATTGGAGAAATAATTGTACTCACTGGTTATTAAATAGGTTAAGACAAACTCACAGAATAAATACCATCGGTCCCTTGGTGTTCGTCCTAAAGAGGTTCGACTGGATATCATTCAGACTCACCGATATATGTGTATTAAAAGATGTTATTATCATGGAGTGCATTGTTTATCTCTCAGTACCTCCAACCATAGCCTTGCCCCTTTTATCCTCAGGATCAGTGTAGTTGTTGGAACGAGGTGTCGGACTCAGCAATGTGTTTGTTTACATTTTATTACATGTTTATTGTTCCTCCTTTTCTGTGTTGTTTTAGAAAATCGTGGACTAATAGTTTGAAGTCATTGAACTACTTCCAAAAGTTGTATCGACATCAACAGGATAACGATTTCAATGCAATATGATGCCGGATGACCTTATCACGATAACCCATGATTATAAACCATTATAAACACTGAATCAACAAAAACATCTGCGACACGCACCTGGCTACATTTCTCAAATAAATCTGATCGAGGGTGGGGAAATCTGAAATATCTGAAAGGCAAGACAATTTTATGACAGAGTCATGACATTCTGCAACAGCAACGTGCACAGAATGACCTCCGTATAAAAAAGTATCACCACCACTACTCACATGTTTCCCCGCAGAAGAACATGCATTATGCTAGTGCCATTTTCTGCAAGAAAATGCTTGCACATCAATGCGTATAATACGGTATTGATATGATGTGAAGGCCATCATTTACATATTGATATAGGGCATTCCATTGATTGGTGACAGAAAAAAACAAAAGAAATTATAGCAATAAAAACTGCTTTATGGCAGTTTTCTAAAAAAAGTTATTGTGTTCTAGTCCATGGACCCCGTCTAAAAAGTAAGAAATTTACGAAATGTGATAGCTGAAAATTAAAATTTCACACAAAACCTCACAATAATCACACACAATGAAAAGCTACATGTAGAAGACCTTTTCCCCTCGTGATCCTCTTTCCTATGCATGCATGTTGGTGCAGTACAAGTTTAGTGTTGAAAGCAGTATTTCAAGTGTTGTGATTATTGTGAGGTTTTGTGTGAAATTTTAATTTTCAGCTATCACATTTCGTAAATTTCTTACTTTTTAGACGGGGTCCATGGACTAGAACACAATAACTTTTTTTAGAAAACTGCCATAAAGCAGTTTTTATTGCTATAATTTCACATGTACCGCGGTACATGTACATCAGGGAGTCGTACTCAAACTCCCTGATGTACATGTATAGCTGCTCCGACCGTGTCAGCAACATTTTTGTGATGGAAGTGCTGTACATCATGACGTAAGGGTACTTCCCCACTGCACTGCACTGTACACTCTTGCAGGGTGCATGCCAGTGAAGCCACGAACTGTGATCGTGAGGAAGCGCAGCTTTGTGGATCTGTGCTGGAAAACCACAGGCACAGGATCGCGGTGTTTTCACGACTTCCTGGGCCTGGCGGCTTTCATTTTCATCAGTCACTCTTGATAGTTGAACGCAGGCCATCAAATTCTTTTCGTGTCAATATTGTCAGAGCAGATTTTCTTGCCGGCCAAGTCATCTCTCTGCAAGCCGTGTCTCTGTTTTATAATCGCGTGTGTGAAGATCATTGTGTGGAACACATTGGTTCCTCTCTACCATTTCTCAGTGAGGAACTTGGCTATCTCGTTATCTCTGTATCAGGGTTGATATTGTCAACAGCCATGGCGATGGTAAGTGAGATTTTCTAATCGACGTTGGTTTGTTTTGGAGGTCAAACTTGCTGTGTGGACAGTGTGGTTGCCTACTTGTGCGGTGTTGGCCGTGAGCTTGTGCATCCCGACTCATGTTGTGACTCAATTTGACAACGTGTGTATTGTATTCGTCGTATTGTCGCTTGCGAATCTTTCTAGCACAGGTTACAGTACTCTCTCACTTCGAGCAAAATCCACTGAGAGTCACTCACAGACCCGCGGGCCTCCCTCAGGCCCGCAGGTCTGTGAACTGAGGCCCTCAGTTCATGAACAAGTAAATGAGCAGAAACACAATGCGAGGTTCATGCTGGTACTACCCATGCAGTGGTTTAGAAACGTTGACCACAGACTGGGCAGTGGGCACCTGTCACCTGTGCACAGTTGACAACGACCCGACCCTTCTCATGCATGCTGTTGGCTTGAATCACAAATTCGCATGGAAAGGACAACACACCTTCTTGTCAATGTGGGGTGCTGGTCCTAACTAAACTTGTGCACCCGCACTCTGTTCAGACTAAAGTGGTGCACGATCAGCTTTCTCGTGTTTTCACTTGCGAAGCTGCCTAGCACGGGTTGTTCTCCCTCCAAGCATAATCCACTTTTGACTCGCAGACCTGGTCCTGGGGGAGTTCACCTAAAGCCAAAACGAGCAGAAACGCTCACACGCACACGCGCGTGCATGCACAGTGCTGCTCAATGGAATCCAGTCGCGGTGTCACTCAAGCTTGCACCTCGCACCATTTCACAGCCCAGTGTTCGCAGGTCTAGGGCTGCGCAACGCCCCCGGCGCGTACTTGAGAAGGCTCGACTGGATTTCATTGAGCAGTATTGTACATGTCTACATGCATGGAGGGACCGTACTGGATAAGATAACATGTGCCTGTACGATGACAACAGCGTTCTCAATACATGCACTGCTCATATGCATGTGGCAAAGAGCAAGGGCCATACACCAGGCTTGCATGCACTACTACAACCTCATAACTGTGCTTGAAAATAACAGTGTACAGTCGAATCCACTTAAAACGAACTCGCATGTAGCGGATTTCGTGATATAGCGACCCAGCGTTCATGTCCCGGTTTGAACCCATCCAAAATGGACTCTTTGAAGCGGACCATTTTTTCGTTTATAACGAACCACGTCTTGAAGGACCGCATGCAAACCAAGTGCACTCATGCAGTCATGCGTCACATGCCAGTCATGACTTGCTGCTTGTACAGTGTGAGTGCATTTCGTTATAACCAACTTCCGGCTAGAAAGAACTACGATAATTCTCCTGCACAATGGTTCGTTATGCCAAGAGTCGACGGTTGTTTTAACACTAGGTGCCATGATGGCACTTTATCTACACTGTCTCAGTGTTCTTTTCGTGTTTCACCTTGTGTTGGTTCCGTTACTGCAGTCTCCTGGAATGCTCACGCCGACATACTGGAGTCCTCTTCGACCGCAAGGGGTGAGTGACGTTGATGTGCTAGTAATGAGCTGTTGTTGGTGCTCCGACAGGAGCCGCATAACTGCCTCTCCTGAACCATAAGCTGAGCTAGGCTCTGCGCCATCATGTGTAACTTCAGTCACAAGTCTGTTGTTCGCAAACACCTTGACATCAGTCCATTACCTGTTTGGATAAGAGAATAGAGAGGTGCTTCACAGTCCACGGTGAAACGAGCGCAAAATGAAAACTCCGCTCGGAGAAACCGGCAGATAAAACAACATGCACGCATGTCAATCAGGCTCTCTAGTTTCTACAGTACTCTTGTGAATGTTCAAACTCAGGTAACTAGTCGCCGTTTAGCTCATGCTCATGCTTGTCTTGTATGAAAGTGTAAAGGGGTCTCTCCACTAATTTTGATACCTAGAAAACAAATCCTTGTTCCACCGTAGTCCTCTGCTGCTTACCGTAGTTTCTGATCCTCGTATACCGGCATCGCTGCTATCTTCATCACAGTACCAAACTGTGTGCTGTGCTCCATGCACAAGTACAGTCAGACCTCACTTTAAAACCGCCCACATCCGTTTTCGGCAAAAATATCCGGATAGTCGAGGGAACCGGATAATCGAACACACATACTGTATGTATGCATGGCATACGCTGTAAATCGGTAACCAACGATTTTCTTCCGGATGGCGAGGGATCCGGATAAGCGAGGTCTGACTGTGATTACACTGGAATGATACTGGTCATTCTGAAGCATGCAAATGATGAATCCTAATGAGCTGACGTCGTACAATTTCCCCTAGGGTCAGTGGTTCGGTTGATCAACGTGTTCAGACTAGCGAAGCCTGGGTAGCCGACTTGCTACCGCATCGGCCTGTTTTGTAGCAACATTTATGGTCGGCTTATTTTAACACCCGATCATGTGGTGGTGGTGTCCCACGGAAGCTGAAAGGCGGTTCTTGACCCGCCCTGTAGACAAACTCGTTTCCTTTGGTGGGAATGAGTGCATAGCCGGCATGTAACTTGCTTTTGCTTTTGCTGTTGCTACTCACACACATACCTCATGCAAGTACTTCACCATAGCTGTAGATATAGGACGACCTTGCTCCTACGACCGTACAGGGTTCTAGCCAAAGGGGGTGGGGGGGGGGGGGGGCGCAGCGCCCCCTATGAAAAATTGCCGCCCCCTACTCATTTTCCGCTTTTCGTGTTTTTTCATGCATAGATGGTTCATAAAGGCACATTTGTCTGGGGTGAAGTCAGGGATTTGTCCCATACGTTGCATTTGGCGTGGCAAGACAATATTGGAAAGTGGAAAAATGGGATATAGGGTAACTGTTTCCCATGCCCACCTCCCTACTATTTTGACCTGGCTAGAACCCTGCCGTAGTGTCATACGCCTGCGTTGCTCAGAAACATCCCTGAGAATGCTGGTCTTGATGATGCCGCCGTGTGTTTGCATTTTTCTTCTTCAGATCACAACTGTTCATCCCATCAAGGCCGAGAAGGCAACGATAGAGGCCATGATGGATGATGAGAATGATGATGACATTGTTGAGATAGTGGAGGAGCCGCAACGGTCTTCTGTAAGTTGATGCCTTGTATTGTGTATAATTATACTTGCTGAGTATCGCAGTAGAGAGAGAGAGAGAGAGAGAGAGACTAAGGTAACACTTTTATTTTTCCCTCACTGTAGAAATTCTCCTGTGTTCTGACATAAAAACACTACTTGTAATTGCAATACCCGAAAGAGAATCATTACACAGAAACCGGCGCAGGATTTATCTGAGCTCCGCGCTCAATGCTGCACTATCCTGCAGGCATGCGCCACTGTGTCTGGTACCTCACATCGTAAATGGACTATGGATGTACCCTGCACCCATACATCATGCTGCCATGACATCGCTCTTTCCGTTCTTTCTCGACACCACTACATGTTCAGTGCTTGCTTCGGTAGTTTGTCTGTAATATATACTTGTAAGATACTCGTGTGTTCTGTGAGTGTGTCAGATGGTCATAACATGGTGTACGATATGGGGCATCCTCACATAACATTTAGGGTTGGTTCACATAAGCAAAATCGGCGCCGCAAGACATCGGCGGTGAGCCAGCTCCCGATCTGTTGCGTACTGTAAGACATGTTATTATAACGAGTCGCAAATTTAACGATTGTCCAAAATTCATAGGTTAACGAGAAGATATGTTAACGATCTTGCAGTATTCTGCCATATCCACACACAGCATATATGAAGCAGTACGGCCTCAACGGATCTTATTATAACGAAGAAATGTCGTCCGTTAAAACGTTAGATTTGCTTCCTCGTTATATATACATGTCTTACAGTATACGGTTCGAGTACCAAATCTACTACAAAGTAGCACAGAATGTGCCCAAATGCTACGACAGGTTTGCAAATGGAAGCTTGAATTCTTTGTTTCTTCAATAGTTCAAGGTCTTTCGGTGATGGCCACTCGGTGCTACCTTTTACTGGAGATCATGAAAATACTTCTACACATTTTATTTCAGTCTAGTAAGCGATTTTGTCGAAATTATGCTTGCAAACGTCGGTGAAGTCACAAGAACTTGCCAATGTATCCATCATATCTTTTTATTTGTTTCAATTGTATTTGTCTCATAAGTTGCACAATGGTCAAGCAGATCATCCGAGAAGGACGGGCTGGTATGCTGACTTATTTGCCACCTTGAAGCGACTACAAGAATGGCGAACGGACCTCCTCTCTAGCTTCAATTTAGGAAAATTTAGGACAAGTATTGGTTTAACATTTTGACAAAGTCTGGCTCCCGGCAGCCGGCGATCACTGGCGCAAACGGTTCACAAACCACTTTTGGTCAAAATTGTACGGGATCGGCGCCGGGGCAGATCACAAGAGTTGGGCACTGTCCAACTTTGCCGGCGGTCCCTTGCGATATTTTACTGTATGATTTTGTTACGACTGCACTGGTTCACACAATCGCAATGCGCCGGGAGAGGTTGCAAGAAGCCCAGCGCCGGTGACTCCCGGCGCGTACCGGCGATATGTGAACCAACCCTTACTTGCTTTGACCTTAGAGGGCGATCACTCATCTTTGCTGTTATCACCCCTGGCATTTGAAATATTCAGGCGTATGCAACTGACTGAATCCGAATCTCCATCTGCATCTCTCTCTCTCTCTCTCTCTCTCTCTCTCTCTCTCTCTCCCTCTCTCTCCCATCATGACTTGGGTCAACACAGACATATGGACAGTATTTGGAACCACCCAAGCCACACCGGCTCATGCTGATTTCACCACCGTCATCACCGCCCATCGGATGGACCTCGTTCGAGGAGGATGGCCCGGTCATCAACTACGAGCTCATTGCCGCGCTCGCCAGCATGGGCAACGAAGACGAAGCGGAAGTAGAACTGTACCCTGGGTCAGACGCCGCGCCGAAGCTTGTCGTGAAATGCACATGATCACATGATACTCTACGAGTTCACGCTACACTGGATAGTGTTACTGCTACTGCTGCTGCTGCTGCTAGATCCGGGTGACGTACCTCTCTTTCCCGTCAACATTATCGCATAGCTGCTTTGTCAGATCTCTTAGGCATCTGACCAATTTCTATTATGTTATTGTGCGCGCGAACATCGCATTAGGGTTCACGTTTCCATACCATATTGATACATCATGACATTCATGGTACGCTGGGCACACACTGTAACTCACATGTAGATTACTTTTCTGCTGGTCATGTGTCCTGCATGTCACCCCCCCCCCCCCCCCATGTTGAGAACCCCGCTGTTCGTTGTACCCGGTCCTATTTCACGTGAAAAGAATATATTTACACTGCCGAGAAGTGTGTACAATAGAGTATGATTGTTGACTTCTCTGTTTTCTCCATGTCAGGTACATTGGATCTACATGTACATGTATGTGTTCTCCGATTGAGCTTCTGTTCGCTCTGTCTTCTTCCTATTGACATTGGTAGAGGATGTCAGTGAATATTTTGCTCTCGGCTGGCTGTCTTGCAAACAATCCTATCTGAGCATCAGTATAATCAATACTATGTTAGAGAGCTTGTCCAATTGTTTGTCAACTTCAACACGGCCATTCAGTCCGTATCTATTCTTTCTCTATCTCCCAACCAGTCTCTTTGGCAGATTGAGAAGTGATAAATGAATGTATATTAGGCCTGATGTGCTATACTGTAACTGAATGCCTTGTAGCAATCATCGTCGGTCACGGGTGCATGCAATGTTTACGCATTCCGGTACGTAAAACCAAGAGTACATAACCCCCCCCGGGTTATGTACTCTTGGTAAAACTGGTGAATAGATTCTTGGTTGGAGGGAAGCAAACCAGCACACGAAGCCATGATTAGTTTCGATAATAAGGCCTTTCGTACAATTTCTTTTCAAGTCGAATACAGTGTCTAAAACTGGTGAACCTTAACCCCTTGCGCATGCCTCTCCGGCACGGCCGCCAGGGCCCTACACATAAGAACCCACCCTAAGTATCTAATATGACTGAGTTCGAGGTCGATAGGAAATAAGAAGACCGAGACGAAGCCGAGGTCTTCGAGGTTTTTATTTCCTATACTGACCAAGTACGAAGTCAATACGTATGATTTACTGCACGAGTACAAACGAGTACAAGGGCAATACCGGCTGATACATGACCGAACGGCGCCAGCCGTGAGGTCATGTATCAAGCCGGTATTGCCCGTGTACGAGTGCGTACGAGGCGCAGTAAATCATTTATTGCATGCTTGACCCAAACTTTCCAGAAAATGGAGAGAAGCCTTTCCGACTTTCTCAGTCTCCCGACACACTTGTTCAGTGGTAAACGTCGTTTGTGGTTTTGAAATTCTCTATTTCTTTACGATATCGATGGTGTTGTTGTGATTGAGCACTGCGTGTAGGAACCGGAACTGAAAGTGGGATGGGCTCCACAACTTCGTCTCGAACGCATTCAGTTCGTCTAGTTCGTCGGCTGCTCATCAACGCATCGATATCGATGTCAAGGTTGCATTCACCTTCTGAGGCGGCTGGTTCAGGTGGCTGGAACAAGTAAGTTATTGTCCGCTCAGTTACATGCGAGTGTTTGGTCTGTCATTCTCGTGCTTTGTAGTTTGTAGTCAGATCAAGTTGCTGTTTTGTGTTTCAAATTTGAAACTCCGAACAGTAGACACTTGATCTGATCACGAACCACAAAGTACAAGAATGACAGTCCGCATGCGCGTACATGTAACTGAGCGGGCAATAACTTGCCGGGCAATACCGAGAAATACAGACCGCTGAGCAAGAGCGCTCATTGGCTGTAGTACAGGCAACCCTCACGTGACATGCAATAATGTAAATATACAAATAATTTTCGGCAGCTATTTAATTTCGGCTATATTCGGCACCGACCCAAAACGCCTAAATTAAAACGCCGATGAAATTTTTCACAGCATCTGTCGCACTATATATGCCCTCTATATCTACCCCACGCCGAAAATAAATCGCCGCCGAAATGTCAAAAATCGTGAACTGCCGAAATTTTGCAGCGCCGAAATTTTGTATATTTACAGTACTAGTATTAGATTTGACACGACTAACCAAAGCATGTGTTCAATCCCTAAAAACGGTCAACGATATCTCCCACAACAGGAGTGAAAACTTATTTACAAAGCACGAAGAAGTGTAAAAACAACAGAAAAATGATAAGGCACCCATTTGGCATTTTGATAATCTGTCCCCGGGGAAAATTGCGGAAAAAAATCGCAAAAAACGCGGGGAAAAACGCGGCATAATATGGCATAATTTGCGGTGAATTTGCGGTAAATATGCGGTAAATATGCGGTGAATAATATTGATGTGCGGCAATTTTCAGTGAGTATGTAGTGAAATCAATCAGTTACAAGTCTCTGGTGTAAGCACTCGTCATATTTGAGTAAAAAGCCGCCACGATGAGACGTTGCTGACCGAACAGTGCACTGTGTGTACGTGTAGTGCAACAAAAAAGTTCAAAAAACGCGGGAAAATCGCGGAAAACGCGGTCTTTTAAAAAATCGCAAAAAACGCGGAAAATAACGCGGCCGCGGAATTGCAATTTTCCCCGGGGACAGGATAATCCAGGGGATGGCACTGTCTCAGCTACACACTAGTATAGTCTGGCCGCTGGGGTCTATCACTCAGTCTTGATCTGACTAACATTTCATTTTACTTAGTACAGAGACATTCTAGTCACATTGTGTGGAGTGACACATTGCACCAAGAGTCCATAAACACTCTTATGCACTCTTGATTGCACTGGGTATCTTTCTGTGCTTTCGTAGCCGGTGATAGAGCTTCAAGCCTGTCCACGTGTCTGCAGCATGGGAGTGTGCACAGGAAATAGAAAGTACACTAAGGACGACAGTTTTCCTACCCTGATAGTTGTTCTCAATTACGTTGGGACTATTATCGCTATTCAGATTCTAGCAACTGTACTGAGTGGTACGATATTCATGCAACCACGCCTAAAACAGTAACCGCTATAGACAGAGATATATGCACACAATCAACTTACTCTGGTTCAGTTTGGCAGGATTGGTCAGACATTTCCTTGTGCATGCTGCCTGCGCATCGCAAGCAAACATTTCTGTACCCTTCGTACTTGCTCGGGGGGTCGTGTGTTTGTGTTGCAGTTGATGAGAACGAAGGGTTTACAGTTTGCGTACCAACGTTAGTGGGAGTACATGTACATGGCTCATCAACCTCGACCTCAGGTTCATCGACCTCAGCTGCAATAACTGTTGGAGTTGATGGCAATGCAATCTGAGGATATGCAGGCAACATTGATGAGAACGAACAAACAGTAGAGTCGCAGCATGAGGACTACATCCAACATCAGACCCAGAAAATTTCAAAAGTTGCATGGCACGTACCTCCTGCTTACTCAGTTGCAGTTTGTTGAATTTCCGCTTCGCTGGAGGCTCACGGTCCGGAAAAACTGAGGGCACTGCTCCATGGGTGAGTGTCTTCCTGGACGGAGTATTCATCAACTCGGCTCTCAAGTCCCTCTGTATCGCGAAATCCTCTTTGCAGAAATGCAGGGAACAAACGTAGCTAGTGCTGCGAAAATCCGCTGGCAAGTTCTCCCGACGTATAGCAACATCCCAGCGCTTTGCCAGGTCGTCATGCTTGGGAAATCTGTGAAAACTAACCCCAGGAGGATGATTTGCTCTACTGGAACAACCGACCACACAACAATTCGGCATCACGGTAGTTCAGGTGAAATGGCAAACTTTCCTAAGGGCGCGTTCAGACTGGCGTAAAAAACAAGCGGAATGTGAAAGTTGTCAAGGTGAATCGCTCACGTGACGTTCCCGCCAGCGTAAACACGGAAAAGGTTTCCCACCACTCTGCAGGCCAGTGGAATGCAGATTCCGGCGGAACGCGGAGCGCTTTTGATATCCTTGCAGCACATGTTCCGTCTTTTCGTTTTATTTCAGCCTCTACTCTTGCAGTCTGACTGCATGCTTTTGAGTTTTGAGTTTTGACTTCTAGACTGCCAACTTCTCCCATCATGCCGAAATCTTTGTTCGATTCAGCAATGGAGAGGGAGTTCATGGAGCTGTACGTGGTGATTTTTGCGGGCCGCTCTGCAGCCAGTGCAGGCAAAACGTTACTGCGAACGAGAAGCATACTCTGATCGCGAAACGGATGAATGCCACGCAAGCACCAAACACTCCGGACATAGTATTCTTTCCGTCGACAAGCACAAGCAAAAGCACAATGATCCAGTATCTCAACAGACTGAATTAGTTTATTTTGATATCCAACTCAAACTGAGTCAACTCAAATTTTTCAAATGTCGAAGCTTCACATGTACTGGCCATTCCAGCGGGATACACGTGCAGTGTGATTGCGATTCCCGGGATTACGCTGCAGCTTTCCGGCGGCTATTCACGCCAGTCTGAACGCGCCCTAAGCAGGAAGGGAAGTTGCACATGACAAAAAGAAAGTGCGATCCCAAACCCTGCTAGTTTCGCACTTTGCCACAATGACGTCACACATACATTGGTATAGGGGCGTGTCTAAAATAATTGAAATATCTCAAGAACGCTTCGTCGTAGAGGCGTCGGACCAAGACCATTCGACTCAGCGCCCGAAACTCTACAGGCTATCAAATTTTCATTTTTTCGTGGAGTTCCCCTTTAAAAAGGAGTCAAATATAAGCAGTCAATACAGCCATAGGCATAGGCCTAAAAGGAGTGAAATATGTATGCAGGAACATTTTGACCGCAGGTACAACTACTGTAGGTATGCACCGGTAATAGCAAGAATCCTGGGAGTGATAAACATCGCTAAAATGAGGCCAAGGATTATTTTGGACGCAATAAAAACAAGAGTCAGTATAATAGAGTAGGTCTACGAGTACCGTACCGTACCGTATCATGTTTGGGTTCTATGCATGCTGTCATCATCATACCAAAATGTGGTCATCATGGTCATCGAAATTAAATTTTCATAGCTGCTCTGAACATTTTTTGTTTTCTTGTCCGGGGCAAGTCATCTCTACAACTCTTGTACTTTAGTTGTAGTGCAGTGTAGTCTTCGGCTGTTTTGTCGTCTTTGTCTTTTACCCGAGTGCATGTAGATTAGTTTGAGGAATCCATTCGTGCATCTACTACGATTAATAGCAAAATTAGCAGTGAGGAAGTTAGTTATTTTGTCATCTCTGCACCAGAGTGGCAGAGAACGTACTTAGAGAATAGGTTGATACTGTCAACAACAACCATGGCGAAGGTAAGTGAGATTTCTGATCGGCGTTTGTTTGTGTAGGAGGTCAAGCTTGCTGAGTGGGAAGTATGCTTGCCTACTTCTGTGTGTGGTTGGTCCTGAGCTTGTGCATACCACTCTGCTGTGACTCAAGGTGACGACGTGCATGACAAACATTCGCGTATTGTTGAATAATATGCGAATGTCAACGTCTGTTCCGGCCACGTTCGCTGCCCTGGAAGGTGCCACCAATTTCTTCATCGTAGATTCACGTCATGTTGAGGAGCTGTCCAGCCCTGAGCCACGCGTGGATCGGTTTGCTGCAGTTGGTAAGCAACAGCTGCAAGACAGTCGTACTTGTATGCTTGTACAGTATGTGCGTTCTCCATGTGTATTGCAAGCATCTCAGCGGCAATGCATCCACCAAGTCCATTGTGCACTGTCTGTTTCGCTACGGTTCCAAGTTCAGGCTCGACGTGCTGCACATCATTCAACAGACAGTCCTAGGCTGGTTTATGAACTTTATTCCCGTAGCTAAGCAAAAGACGTTACGAATACACTCGTACCTCGTTTCTTAGGGCGGTCTGGGACCGGGGACTGCCCGTGACTTGAAATGTCTGCAACTCTGAATCACATACATTTTGACGGGGAAAGGCCGTAGATATGGAATATGATGTCACTATTTCCGTTAAAAGGGGACAAAAAAGTAGTGACTACAGTGCATTTCAAAACTATAGACGCGTAGGGTTTTTGAAATATTTCAAATTTGGCTGGAACTTTTTGAGAATAGTTTTCGGAATATTGCTCAGGACCGCTCCACAATTACTCTCATATAGTTTCTAAACGATTGGATAACAGACGCCCAATTTGGAAAAATTTATGCACAAAGTGATCAAAGATTTTATGTGGTATAGATGCTGGCATAACGGTTTTTGCCTAGGTACGCGTCTATAGTTTTGAAATGGACTGTAGTGATATTTCCATTGAAACTCGCCCAAAGGGTGCCCGGTAGACCGAAGTGCCTGTAACTTCGGGGTCCGGATAACCAATATATGAGTGTAGTGGTGTCTGGCCCTAGCCAGCGTCCACAACGCTTTAAATTGTGTGTGCGTGTGTGTGTGTGTGCGGTACGGGCGTACAGGGCGGCCGTCATCACATGACTGGGTGAAAAAAGGCCGGCAGCACGCTAGATGCACTTGGGCGTATACCCGTGACACGTGACTGAGCACGAGCTCAGTTGCATGTAGCTCAGCAAAATGACGATGATCATGATGACGACAAGCATAGCGAAGGGTCCTGAGCTAGCTCTCTCGTATCTACTTCTATTGGCAGGATTTTCCTTGCCTGTCAGACTAAAATGTAGATAGTGCTGTAGTTCATGTTGCCTTTGGAGTTTGGGCATTTGCAAACTTGAATCTTTCATGTCACTACTCTGCTAAGAGTATTTTGGTCATTATCCCCCTTTCCAATTCCAGTGTTTGTACAAGTAAATGGACAGGCTATGATATTTGCAAAGCTCAAACTTTGCTTCTGCTTACCCTCAAGTTCAACCTCTCCAATCTAATGGACCGATTGCCATTTGTACAGATCCACAAAATCCCGTAGACCCGGTAGGGTGTTCATTGTGTGCTATGCATGCGCATTTGACCTTTTTAGCATCATAATTCAATGACCAGCAATCGCTTTTCCAGCTTCTTCACTTTGGTTAGAACTAATGACTAGCTAGATCTTTGTCAGAAAAAGGTTTTCGTATGAAATGCCTTCAGGCCCCATTTCTTAGTGGAAATAGCAGAAAACACAATAGGGTCCTGCACACTCAACACCCTACCGGGTCTACGGGATTCTACGGGAAATCGTGGATCTGTACAAATGGCAATCGGTCTATTCTATAGACTCCACGAGTGGAATTCTGTGTCGCTCCCTACTAGTGGGCTGTATATATTCATGATGTGTTCTGCTCAATTTCATGAGCAACAGATGTGTCGGGTTCTCCCGCTCAATACAGTATGTTTTTCTGTAATGGTGTCTCTCTTGTCCGCTGCTGCAGACACACAGTCAGTCGGCGCTGCCGTCAAGAAGAGCTACGCGTTCCCCATGCCGGGCCTTGTCGGACCCAACATGTCCAGTGACAGGTCGTCAGTAGAGTTTTTGCGTGCTACCGGCGGGGCAAGTGATGCACAGCCTGTAGAGGACGACATGAGCATGGAGGAGTTCCAGAAAGCACTGTCCAACATCACTGAGGACATGACAGTCCAACCGATGGGAAAGCCTTCTCCATTTGGTCAGGTAGGCTGCCAAGAGTACAGATATCACCTTGATCATTTCATGTAGAACTTCCGAATCCGGATTCGATACGCACGTAGCTTCGGTACTATGATTTCATGTGGTGTCGTCTCCATAGATGCTACACCTCCCAGTTGTACACGTACTGTAATGTGTGACTGGCCTCGTACCATGTATCATGAAAACAATAACAGTACCCTGCCGCCGCTGGCTGGACAGTGCATGTAGGCTTCTGTGCAGCTCACCGTGTCTGCTTGTTGGCATGCTTGGTTATGACTGCAGGACTTGCTGGAGTGTGAATGCAGCGTGCAGACAGTTAATCGGCGTGTGCAGCGCAGCATGATGGAGATGTTCCCCGAGGCGCCAGCCCTGCCACGCGACGGGCTCACCATCATGACGGTCAGCCAGCATACGCATGCAAACATGTCAAACTGGTCCGATTCGGTTGCCGAGGAGCGCGATGATGCTCTTGCCAGGGTAAGGCTTGGGCTCAGGGGCTACCGCTTAGAGTTTCTGCTAGTAGCATAGCAGACTGCAGTTGAGCCACGATAAGGGTTTTGAGGAGACACAGTGTTACATATAGAGGTTATGCGATTACCTGATCAGCTGAGATACTTTAGTGAAGTCGCGGACTCGCGGCACAGCGCTACGCTTGCACAAGCGACTCGCGCTGTACACTTGCACTAGCAACTCGCGCTGTACACTTAGCACCCATTTGAAAATTCGCCAGGAAATCATTCGCATAACCTCTATACAGTATAATTACAAGCAAGTGCGGCTCTATGCCCCACCCTGTTGTGCGTAAATGTCCCTGTTTGGAAATGAACCCAAGTAGGAATGTACGAGCGGGTTCTGGGCCAGGGGGCGCCCGGGTCCCAAAAAATGGGGTATTATTGAAAAATGGGGTACTAATAGTACCCCATTTTTGCGGTGAAAATAATTTTTGGCCCGGTTTTTTTGCGGATAAAAATATGTGCCAGGGGGTGCCCTGACCCCAAAAAATGGGGTATTATTGAAAATATGTGTTGTGCACATGTGGGTTTGAATCTCACTTTTTTGGGCCACCTTGCCCCGGATGGGAGTGGGTATAAAAAGTAGAATGTTGAATATGGTGTTTATCATGAAGTTTTTTCCGTGACCTACCCCACCTCCCCATGCAATTTTTCAAAAATGGTCCTGCTCGCACACACGTCAGAAAGGTCAGTTCTTGATAGATACGATACATGTCATTACAAAGAATAATGGAACGAACAGTGAATATCGCAATGGAGTGGAGGAGAAAGGTAGTACAATTCAGTTCTTGTTGTCCTGATTTCATCAAGCTGGTATTGGATGAGAGACCACAAAGTTTACTCTTCGAATACGTGTGAGGATGGATTCACCCATGATCTCTTCCGTGACACGCAGTACGAGGTGGAGTTGTCGGACGCTCTGATGTGCACCAATGGTTCCACCCAGTCAGCAATGGAACTGTCAGTCGACGACCTCCTTTGCACCGCCATCGTGTCAACAGTCGACTCGGGTAATTTGGAGATAAATCCATCGTCGCCGATGTCGATCGTACCAACTCGCACACGAATCCGCGTTACTCTTGTTGCAACGGCACGGAGTTGAACGGCCTTGGTACTACGTCGTACACGCACACGATCAACTCGAGAGACTTCATTTTTCGTTCACCTCCTTGACAAGTTGCATTACGTCGCTGGAATCCAAATAGGTTGCATCAGCGAAGAGGTCGATGATGTGTTGAGAGCACGGTTCGTCACGCATGTCACTAAGCTTGTAGAATGAGTGTCTACCATCAGTCCACCTTCGCAGTATGACACCATCATCAGTCTCACTAATAGTTCCGTAGTCCTCCACACCACCGATGACGATTTTAGGAAGGTGCTGTTTCCTATTCTTCACATTCAAGATCAGACTGGTGACCCTGCAGATAATATACTCAGCAGCAGTGAGTGGTGACATATCGAATCTTCTGGGATGTGCTATCATCGGGTCAAGATCCCTGGTTGTCTTGCTAGCACTGAGGCGACGGATTGAGAACTCTTCATTATCGCATGAAAATAAATACCATTTCTCTGCTCTGCACGTCTCAGAAAATGTCCACGCCATTTTAGCTTCTTCACACTGCAAGAAGGAGTCGATAATGAAACTGCAGGTTGAGACTACTTCACCTCGAGGTCAAAGTTCACGCCGCGATGACCTTTGTAAACAAGGCTACGTCTAGACGTCTCAAACAAGACCAAGGGGTCACGCCACGGGGAGGTGACGACCTTGGAGAACACGATGTGTTTCGAAAGCGGAAAGACGCCCCCGTCATGGTGAGTCTTTTTTGTTCGGGTTTGGAATCTTTCGACTATGATATCAGATTGAGATGTGAATGCCTTTCTTCTATTGCTTTGACCTTTGGGCCAAATAAGGCACACTGTGTCGGTCGTGCTTGGTCTGACCCCGGGACTCCCCCAGGGTTTGACCTTTGACCTTTGGGTTGAATAAGGCACACTTATCGTCATTGTTAATCTTTATTCTGTTCATTTTTTATTTATTTTTTCAGGAGTATTTTGCTATTATCCCCGGATAGGAGTGGGTATAAAAGTAGATATATTGATGGATAATGTTTCACTATGAAGATGATGGTGTGGGGTGAAGATGGATTCTGAATTAGAGATCTTACGTGCCTATGTACGTGAAAAGAGACTTCGTGAAGAAGAAGAAGAACAAGAAGAAGAAGAAGAACAAGAAGGAGGAGAAGAAGAAGAAGAGCAAGAAGGGAAGGAAAAGCAGTGTCATCATCTTGATCATGTTGTTCATGAAGGAAGATACGTATGTTCTTCTTGTGGACTTGTCATGGATGTGGTTTACTTACCTGAAGTTGATGTGCATCAGAGATGTAGTTTGATGAAGAAGCCTTACGCTGCGCATGAGCGGTTATGTGGTGTGGATCGTCATCTTTTGCATTTTCTTTCGAAAACTGAACTCTTATCCGATCAGCTTCGTGTACACCCTCTTCGAGAGCAGATACGTGCGATGAAGAAGTCCTGTTTGTACAAGAGTATAAATTATGCTATAGCATTATCCTGTATAGTATACGATACGAATGTGGATGCATTACGTAAACTGTATTCCTACTTACCTCATAGCAATGTAGCCTGGTTGAGGTTCAGTCGAATCATGAAACCTCTTCCTCAGCATTTTCCACTCCTATACGTACTGCATCTCATGGAGTCGACTAGGATGGTGTCTTCATTGCAATTGTCCATGTTGCGTTCGAATTTGCTGCTTTTATCTCAATCTGATATATCTCTTATGACATCATTGATTGATGCTTATTGCTGGGAAATCTATTCACTTGATCACGTGATCCAGAACATGCACACGTTTGACTGTGATCTTCTTTCCATACTGTATCAATTCACCAAGGTGGCGGTATCATGTAAGGAATCTTTATAATGAGATATGATTTTGGCGGGCACGATGCTGATTAAAAAAAAGTAAATTATCGTGTCCGTTCCCGAAGGGAACTCACGACGGCCGCTAACACCCGGTAAATCCTAGCGGCAGATGCAGCGCCTAACGGTGGGGGTGAGTGGATAAGTCTCACAACCACTGGCACAAGTGCCGAGAACGGCCCCATTACGATGCTGATTGGTCAAATGTTTTTGGCGGGCTTGATGCTGATTGGTGAAATGTTTTTGGCGGGCTTGATTGGTTGACACATATCTTATCATTTCAATCCACATACCTCTCTGGCTCGTATAAACGAATGATTGTCTGCAGTTGAGTCATTCGTTCATCGAATACAGTGCTGACGAGTTGTCCTGACTTCACTTCCTAGAAGATGGCTTCCCTATACGAGCGAAGGATGAAGAAGAATTCCGCTCTTCCTGCTGACCCTCCTCGAGTTGTGCTCTCTTCGAATCCAGTACCGGCTAAGCGTCGCTATGCATCACCTGCTCCTACCAAGCTCCACAAAGAGATTGTGGTGGATGGGTTTCAGGAGGACATGCAGCTGCCCTACAAGTTATCTGGTAAATCCTTCTACAAGCCTGGATATAAGATGTACTTCCCTTCGGGAGCTCTGCCAGCCTGTGGTAGTACGGCAACAGCTCGCAAAGATGCTCAAGGACAAGTTTACATCGAACTGAACGAGTCCACTGAGTTCATCATTACGAACTTGATCAAGACTTGTCCATCGCTCCGTGACACTCTCCGAAGTGGACGTGTGGAGAAGATCATAACCAACTTCTATACATCACGTTCGTCCGACGGTCAATGTCGGGTGTACATCAACGGTGAAAACAAGCTAGTCCCGACCAGCTCGTTTGAACTGGATGTGGAACAAGATGTATTCATCTACCCCGGGGCAGTCTCCCTCGACACTGACGAGCAAGTGATGAAGGTACGTCTTGCTGTTGCTCCAATCATCTGCATCAACGTGGAACCCAGATGTTTTCATCGTGCTCTGGACGCACACATGGCACTTTCTATCACGGAGCTGAAACAGCTGACTGAGAGCTTCACATCATTATGCAGTGTCGTCGTCCAACAAGACGATCAGCTGGTAGAGACCTTCCAAGAAGTCTTTAATGAACTGCCTTCTTTATCACACAGCTGATCATTCATTCTTATTCTATCCTATACTATCCTATACTACTTTCTACGTCAATACCTCATGATACAAATTTAAAAAAAAAAACTTCTAAAGAACAAGTATGGGTGGTGTTGTGTCGAGTAGTACGTCCACGGAAGAGTGCTGCCTTGCCTCTTCGGACTCTAGTATCCCCACTGCTACTACTAGTGGAGAATGGGTTGCAGGATGTGAAAAGAATGGAATTGGGAAAGATGAACCAGGGTGATCTCATGTGAACACCATCAATGAATGCGTCATTCATGACAAGATCAATCATGTCAAGGTTACATCATCTGTTTTTGGCGGGCTTGATGGTGATTGGTTGACAACTTTGCATTTTCAACCCACCCCATTCTGACTTGTATAAATATGCATGCTTGACATGCAGTCGAGTCATTCCTTCACCCGATACAGTATTGATCAGTTGCCTCGTGTCTTCGCATTCTAGGAAATGAATTCCCTTTACGAGAGATGGTTTCACGTTGCAAAGAGTCTTAACGGATCGGCTGACCACAAGACTCACGAATGTCAGGTGTGTCATCTGCTAGTACGAGTTGCTGACCATGTTCTTGCAACATACGCAAAGGATGAAGGTGAATGCTCGGAGACTCGTCATGCCTTTGCCATTGACCATTTGTTCGTTCGTGATTCGACATTGTTTCACGTGTGGACATCTGCTAAACATGTCGCTATGAAGAGACCTGACATTCTCAGGTATGCTGCGAGCTTTACTGTTGGCGATGGTGATCGTGAACAAGCTGAACGACTTGAAAGTTGCATATGCGGCATCATGGAAGGTTTATGGAGTCATGCGTCAAACGACGTCGTTGCCCTGGAGATGACC